GGGTGCCGGGTACCTGATCGTCGTCGGGCAGAGACAGAACCGAAACGAGATCGGAGTGCTTTGTCAGTCTTCTTTTGAGACCTGGTTTGCTGCTTCGACGCGAAACATTGCTCCTCGTGAGGCCAGTAGTTTGTGTAACTGTAGTCTCGGACAGTTCAGAGGTCATGTCGGAATAGGCGCTTTGGGCGTCGGCGGATCCCAGAATGGTAGAAAGTTCATGGACACCATTTGTAGGCGGCTTGCGACGCGGTGTTCGATCCTCACGTATGGAGGACTCATCAGAATATGTCCAGTCATCAGTGAAAGTTCGATCGGAGTAGGACTGGCTGGAGCCAGAAGAGCGGCGACGCATGGCGCGTTTAGGTTCATCGTCCTCTTCATAGCTATCGTATTCTTGCTCCAGGCGCCGCTCTTCTTCGCTGATGTATTTGGACGGAGGAGTCTGGTGACCACTGGATTCTCCTCTGAACGCCTCCTTTAGAATCTCGCGGAATGGCTTCTTGACTGATTTCAAGGGTGAAGGCGAGCTTCGCGTCGCCGCTCTTCTGCGTAAGCCGGCAGAGCCAGAGCCAGCGGATGTCGGCGTCTTTGGCTTTTCTTTGGGCTTCCCTTCTACCCGCCTTGGTGTCGCGTCCTCATCGTTCCCGGTAGATGCACTCAAATCCGTTTCAGTGAAAGTCGATTCTGTCCAATCTGTTGACTGTGTGGTTTGCGTCATGTCGGTTGTTTGCGTCATATCGGTTGTCTGTGTTACATCGGTTGTTTGCGTGGATTCCGTAAGTCCCGTGGACTCGGATAGCTCGGTCTGGGTTGGAGGAGAAGGCTTCCTCTGGCGCGGCTCAGCAGATGATTGTCTACGGGTGTCTTGAGATTTTGCCTTCTCGAGAGACTTGCCCTCAGACGGCTTTCTCTTCGGGGCCGGTGCCTCCCTCTTTTTGGTGGGCTCGTCGACAAAGGGATCGACCGTACCGTTGAGCCATTTCTCGATGCTCGGAGGATTGTTAGCGACGGGTTGCTTGGGGGTTTCGACGGCATCGTGTAATATCTTTTTGCCTTCGGTGACAACCTTCTTGAACACATCGGCAGCCTTGAAGCTTGGGTTATGCTGCGTCTTCTTCCTCGTTTTACTTCGGTCGAGAGGGAGATCTAGCTCACTAAAGGCAGAGAACCCAACAGGGATGTCTGCCAGTGGCTTCGCGCCAGGTGCGCTTGTAAGTGAGCTGGGGGCAAGCTCCGAGTCACCCAGCCCTGTCTTGACTGCAGACTCTGAGCTGCTGACCCAGGACTTTTCGTCCGTCGTTTCCGTACGGGGCGGTACGTTCTTCTTGCGACTCGCTTTGTGTGATTTTGATGGCTTTCGCGTTGGCGTTGCGGGAAGACTCGATGCGGCATCTTCAATGACCTCGATGTGGTCGGACTCATCTTCTTCAACCACCACAATATGGTCAGACGAGTCTTGCCTTGAGCTAGCGCCGAGACTACGGTCACGAGACTTGGCTCCTGTGCTATGTGGCCTCGGTGTCTTGACACTCGACCCTTCCGACGCTGGCGTCTTGACAGGTCTAACGCGAATACCATCGTCGTCGAGCCTCTTCGTTCGTATAGGTGTAACTCTGATGCCGTCGTCGTCGAGTCTTTTTTTCGGTAAGGTTGCTTGCTTCTCCTGAAGCTCCTTGAGCCTCGCCTGTATCCTACTGCCATCAAGAGAGTCGGTCGATTTTGACGCTCCATGCTTACTACTCGGCGGGGGTTCTGGCAGCTCGACCTTGGCCACCCAATCCTGTATCTTTTTGGCGATAGGCGCCTGGATTGGCGTCTTTTGTACAAAGCCTTTAGGTAACGGACTTGGGCCCGGGCTCGCCGCATTTTTCGCTCTTGGTGATTTGGACCTTGGAGGGCTCTTCTTTTTCTTCTGCGCCATCCAGTGGTCGTCGCTAACAACACGCTTTTTGGGTGCCTGTTTGGTCTGGCCGCCGGGAAACTCCTCCACCGTCTCGTCCCTTTCGTCGGCCACAGCCTCATTATGCACCTCAATCTTCGGCGCCGACTTTCTCTTCTGTCGCAGCTTGATCCGGACGCGGTCCTCCTCTGTAACACTTTCCGTCTCGCCCGGGAATGCAATTTCTGTGGGCTCGCTTGGAGTGGCAAGGGGATCGCCGGCTACCATAAGTGCGGCGTTGGCCTTTTGCCATTTCTGGACGCGATCCCTGACACCACCGGGCTGTTGTACCTTTGCTACAGCGGCCTCGCGCATCTCGGCCCTCATCTCGGCCTTGACTGCGTCCAGACTCATCCTTCGTTTTCGTTCGGCGGCGATGCGCTGTGGAGACGGGCGTCCCCTTAGGAAGTCGGCGAGCAATGTTGGGGGTTCGGGTGGCTTCTTCATGGTTGCTGCTCGAGGACGGGCAGGCGCGCTCTTGGGTGTTGTCGCCGCCGGCGCATCCGCAGCAGGAGTGCCAGCCTTTTTGGGCGTTGTCGGATCATTACCTCCTTTGGAAACGGGTGTAATAGGGAGTTTGGTTCCTGCTGCTGCCGTAGTGTTTGGCGATTCTTTCTCGTCGGGAGGTTTGGGAGCCATGGTCTAGAGTCCGCTGTCAGTCACAGTCGTGGTCTGTGTAAAAGCGGGGGCATGGAAGAGTCTCGTCGTCGTACAGGTAGGTATGTATATGCCCCTCTTCTCCCTCTGGGTAAAGGTGACGAGGAAATGACTGACTTAGGTGAGCTGCATGCTGCCGCGCAAGGCTAGACTGTTTGGTGTGTTTCTAGCAGCTCATGAAGGCGAAGTCGAGAGGCAAGTCGTACGTAAGCGAGAGGGGGCAATTGGAGCCGCAAGTGAGTACAAGTTTCAGCGTCAGAAGAGCGACGGCAAGGCTGTCGGTGAGATCGGGTCGGATCAAGAAGCCAACTTCGATGCATGGGCATGAGTACAAAAAGAGAAGCCCGATAGACAATGCCGCTGTGTGGACAGAGACAGAAGCGGCACGAAGTGTCAGGTGTCGGATGCGGTGTATTGTCTTGTCTTGTCTCGTATCAGAAAGGCATCGGGCTTTCTCGTCGAACCCAGGCTTGAAGCGGATTTGTCCAACGTAGGGCGCCGTTGAGTTGGCACTGCCGGAGTAACCAGCGGATGTTGACGCCAGAAGCTTAGACGTAAACAAACCGAAAGTGGTGGGGCCGTCAGTACCTTACCTTGGGACGATGATGCATCCTGGCGGGGACGGGGACGCTAATTATCAGGTAGCTACTTAGTTTATTTGTACACTAGTATCTGCCTATCTAGACACCTGCCTATGTACCTACAATGTATGTCCTGGGTGAAGTACTCCGTACGCTAAATAAAAAGGATAGCTTCCCGGTAATACCTAGTGCGGTAAACCGTCTATGCCTATGCCATCAGACACGGTTAATATCGCTGATTGGCCAGGAATCGGGACGTCTGTGCCATGGACAATTGACGCTCTTACATGTAGGTACCTGCCTAGCAGGTACCTAAATAGGTGGCAGGCACGGTACACTACAAAAACAAGTCAGAGAGAAGGAAAGAAAGGGGGGAAAAGAAAGGCTTTGGGACGTGGGTGGGTAGGATCAGTACAAGGATCCTCGCCACAGCTTCCCTGCTTGGCCGTGTATCTCTCCCAAGAAGCGTGCGAATACGCTAGCGAAATCTGTCACTCGCTCTTGTTGCTCCCTGATCTTCTCTGATCTCCAAGTACCCGTAGCGGATTGGAGTCCAGCCGGTCATCATTTCCCACCACGGACTTGTAATATGTAGTCGCCTCGCGCTTTATCCTCCTCGCCTAGGTACCTAGGTAGCCTAGCTTCTGCCAGTATCTTGGATAGATCGGATCTCTTTCGGCCAGCCTATGATCGACATCCCAAGGTGCAGAGAGCACTTCTTCGCGACGGCCGCTGCGAAATGCGCATAAGAAGGCCAGCTCATCCTGCTGCGTGCATGTCTCACTCTCCCGGGTGAACATCTGCCCTCTCAAGCAATCTCCTTAGTCGATTTCGTTGGCACCGTAACAGCGGTCATCCTTGATTCAAGTTTTGTTACCCTACGCAGTAGGTATGCATATGTGCCCCATACCCACTTTGTCGCCTTGCATGGAAGCGGCTCGATGAATCGATGGCCGCCTTATCAGCATGGGCCTCCAACGAGCTGTTCACTCGCCAACTCGCCATATATAACACGGGCCGATATATGGCACGATGCAAGGATGGAATTCTCCGCCGATGTTGACTTCATAACACATCTTGGTAACCAAACCAAGGTCTTCCACCAGCAATGAATTCACCAAGATAACGCTCTGGTGTCACTGCGAAACTGATATACAATGCAGGAGCTGTTTCGTCCAATTATCGCCACCAGCCAATCCGCACACAAAAATGTCTCGGATGCCGCAGCGCCAATATTGTCGCATCACGGGTTTCCTCACGAGTCCCCTGCACGTGAGTGAACTGCCCCTCCTCTGTAGGGCTGCTTGACCTGGCAAAGGCTGCATCGCGTGAGCTGCGATCGAGATCTCGCAGTATCACAGCCTTCATTTTCGCGCACCCACTATACTGGCCCCGCCTCTTCCTGCCTCCTCCTACCCTTCACTGGACTGTAATTGCTCGTCGCTTTCATCATTTGTTCACTAACCTCACAGAAATATACCACTAGCCAAATCGGCCAGTGTAGATCAGGGTTCAACTCGCTCGAATTGGATTGCTCCATTATGCCCCTAAAATCCTTCTCTGTCTGTGTGTATGTGTGCGAAAAGCAGATAAAAAAAAGAGAAGGGAAAAGATTGCCCCCAAGATTACCATCCAAAGTTGATAGGTATCATGCAAACTCCATCCCATGCGGCTGTGTGTCCATGTGCCCTGCCAAGATGCACTACCAAGACGCCCTCCCTCCCCGAGGGAATAGCGCCGACCGTTAGAAGAACAAACGGAGCTCCCAATGTAGATGGAACAAATCCCAAAACGCCGTATAATGCCACGTTGATGCTTGTCGCTCACTCCATCGCCGGCAACAAGAATCGAACTCTCTTCTTTGGCTTCGCAGCCTCTACGTCTTCGTTCATGCGCGTCTCCGCCACATCCTCTGCGTCCCCGACGTCACTCATGGCGCCGATGCTGCTGCCCATTTCGCTCACGAGCTCCTCCTCCGTCTCCTCCTCGATTGACCATACGTCCGGGCTGGGCTCACGCCAAACGTGCTGCGGCCGTTGATGGCGGAACGAGACGCTCCGTTGACGACCTCGCCCCCCGGACCGCACAGGAGCCTTGCCCCGGCCTGCCGGGAATGACGAAGGCGACAGAAGCGCCCCCGAGGGTTTGGATCGTACTTTGGACTTAACGCCGTCGACGGTTAAGTCGCGCAGACTGAATGGAACCATGAAGCCCTGTGGTGCAAAGCGAATGTAGTCCTCCTCTTCCTCATCCGTATCAGGTGTGGCAAGGTCGGAGAGATCGGGTACCGGGGGTGATTTGCGGCCGCCCTTGGCCTTGTTCAGACCATCCAAGGCCGACGGACTCACGCTGCGTACGATCTCGCGCGGGCTGTTGTCTTCGATCCCGGCGTCAAAATCCATCATATTGGCGTCTTCGTCCTCATCCTCGAGATCGGGTGCGGGCGTCAAGAAATAGGTGAGCGGGTCCTCATCGATATCGTCGAGCGAGGGATACTCCTTTGGGGTCGTTGGGGCGAGGCGCACCAGAGTGGGTGGCCAAGAGTCCCGCCATGAGGGAGACATTGGTGATTGAGGCATCTCGCCGTTATGTGGAAGAAACAGTAGAGACCGTTCTGATATTGGTAGCCTTGGAAATGCGCCTGCACAGCAATCACTGACAAGACGTGTAAAGCCCACGCCGGCCTGGCCGGCTCAAAAGTAGTACCAAACGAAAGAGGCAAGAATAGGAAGAGTTTCTCTTGACTTCAGCACTGGGAAAATGCTGAAAGGCACAACAGACCGAGGTGGAGAGTAAATCGCAGGTGAAGTGGTGGAGTCGGACTTATATAGCCGTATCACAGCCTCAGCAGGCAGATGGTATGAAAGCGGAGGTTATCCGACACTACCCTCCACCACGCACACACACACACGCACGCACCAACAAGGATTCCAGACGACTGGTTGGCGATACGGCTGAATCATGTCGACATCCCAAGGGTTGCCTTGCATGGTTGCAAGAAGGTGGTCACCAGCGCCCATGGCCCGGTGCTGAGGTCTCAAAATCGCGGGGCAGCCAGCCACCATCAACCCCCCCACGTGGAGGAAGCCTATGATAGCGTGACTCTCCAACCCCCAGGCCTGACTGGAAGAGCAATGCAGGTTTCCAAATGGCCAGTATGTTGCCAGAAGAAGAGGTGCGTGCCCAGAAGTGGTGGTAAGCTGAGGCCAGGGCTGGGGTTCGTATTGGTTCCATCATTGTTCCGCATGGGCTGTAAGAAAACCGCCATTTTGCAAGCTTCGCGTTCCTCCGGGTGGGTGTTGTTTGGTGCGCGACTACGGCGGCTCATATGAATAAGCTGAGACAAACTGGCAACCACCACGCGAATTGGTTGGGTGTCAAGCTAGGCAGATGACTACCTCGCCCACCATAGCGCCAACCGAACGTGCCGACGCCCCAGAGTAAAAGACCACCGTCGCTTGACCGGTGCGCGGCCTCGAGGCCATTAATGTGTGATAACCAAGGAACTTGTAAGACAGTTCTTCGCTAGACTGGGCGAGGAACAAGTTTTGATTGCCCTCTCACGCTTACTGAAGCGACTGGCGTACCTTACATGACGCCTTGAGGTGGCGTGTTTGACTCAAGTGCCCAAACCAGCCTCGTATCGTGCTGCGAATTGGATAATGGGCAGTCAAATTTCGATAATCTTTCGGTGAGGTGTGGGTGGGCTTTGATTATTGCCGTTCGCTTCGGCAGAGTCATCCGTCTGAATCCCATATCTCAGCCTTGGAAATGGAATCGCCACAGTGCATGAACCGCTGCGAGATTGTCATGCAGCACACCCATCAAAGGCAGTTCTAATCCCTCTGCTTCCCTATTCTCTCTAAGCAGCGCCCGAGGTATTGAAGAATAGGAAAGCAAATCCAGGGAGGCTCGTTATCGTTCTGGCTCTGCGGCAACTTACGATGTAGATAGCTCTAGTTGACTTGCGGATCTTGTCTCGATCTTCATAGTCAGCTGTTTCCTGACTACGTATAGATTGCGTCATGACTTGGATTTGACGAGGGCGGACGAACTCCATCAAGACTATAACCGCTGCCATCCCATGAGGCCTGAATCACAGCCCACATTTGAAGTCGGGCAGCGGGCCGTGAATAGAACGTGACCGGTTTCGGTGGGTCTCCGTGCCGGTATCAGCCTGCCGCACCAATGTGTTTGCTGAGGAGAAGCCAGGTTTGTGAAGGGCTGAAGGGATCCTGTGACATGCTATTTCCTTGGTTGCCTTCCGATAGTGAGTAATCAACCCTAAAAAAGCGCGACTTGGGCCCCCCTGCTTACCTGTCATCCCGCATCAAAACGGCAACCATGATCTCTCGAGACGTCGATGTGGAGGGCTGGGTCCGCGGCATAAGCATAAAGGCCGCGTATTCATAGAACTGTGGAGATAAGGACGATAAGCAAATGTTCCAGTCACAGCTTTAATGGCGGATGGGTTGGTTGACAATACCCAAGGGCGTGTGCTACTGGCAGGCGGCGAGATAGATTCGCGGTGAAAGTAACACTAGCAACAACCAGTTTGCGCCATCGACATGGATCCAAATGAAGCCTAGAACCCGGCGGTTGGATCCTGCTCATGGATAACAAACGAAACAGCCATGATGGGATGTTAAGCTTGGAATTCCAGGGGGAAGCAAACGAGGCAGCCCTATTGCCAGCACTCAGGTACGTACCTAATTGGACCCGGGATTGCCCATCAAAGAGTGCGGGTGGGAGCTTGGGCCTCTTATTACCATTCACTCCGCGTTACAGGCCTAGCACGTGACCTACTCAACGGTTGGAGCAGATACCTACTCTCAAGTCCGCTATTGCGCTGGCCTTTTTCTAGAGTTCTACTCCGTACATTCCAACTGATCGGCCTCAAGTTTCGCCGTACCCGTTCTCACCGACACATCTAGTCTACCTTCAAGCCCCCAAAAATATTATTTCGACGGCGTCCTTGCGGCTCGATTTGTCATCTATCAGAGAGTTATAATGCTTGTCAAGATGGACGCTCCCAAGGTGGAGGCTGCGCCTTCAATGTTGCTCCGCATCGTCACCCAAAACGTTCGGTACGCCACAGAGCATCCCACTCCTAAGGAGAAGCCGTGGAGCTTTCGCGGTCCAAGACTTTGCAACCAACTAGATTTCATCACATCTGGTCACGAGTCGGCTTTCATATGCCTCCAGGAAGTCCTCTATTCTCAGATCGAGGACGTCCAGTCCTATCTCGGTTCCGCCTGGGGTTACATTGGGCTTGGCCGCGACGATGGGAAGCGTGGTGGCGAGTTTTCTCCCGTATTTTATCAGGTTGACCGCTGGAAGTGCGAGCGAAGTGAAACACTTTGGCTGAGCAAAACGCCAGAAAAGCCGTCTAGAGGCTGGGATGCAGCACTGAACCGCGTTGTCACCGTTGGGGAGTTCCTCGACAAAGCTACCGACACGAGGGTGGTGGTTATGAGCACCCATTTCGATCACCAAGGCGTCGTGGCGCGCGAGGAAAGCGCCAAATTGCTTCTCAGGATTGCTCGGGAGTGGGGCAAGGGTGCAAACGGTAAACCACCGACTGCCGTTTTGCTCGCGGGCGACTTCAACAGCACGCCCGAGGATAACGCATACAAGACAATGGTGGCACCAGAGTCAGGCATGGTTGATGTTTCAACACAGGTTCCGGAAGAAAAGCGGTATGGCAATAAGCTCACGTACACCTCTTTTAATGAGCCGGACGAAGAGCCATTAAGGATCGACTTTCTGTTCGTCAAGGACCCGAGCCCCGTCACTATCAAGACGTTTGGAGTGCTATCCAACAAATTCGATGATGACGTCTACCTGTCCGACCACAGGCCAGTCGTCGCCGACATTGAGATTCCTGTCTTACGGACAGGAGAAATGTCTTAACCAGAACCGCCTGTCAGTCCTGGCTTGCATCTGGCTTTGCTGTGCAACGCCACGCAACCTAGGTTACGCAGAGGCAGATCCAGACCTGTCCGATGCTCCGAGACAAGCTCCCTGCATGACTAGCATGTTGAGGTGCCATCGTCAAGTTGTTCTGGCTAGCACGAGGTACATAGGCAATTGTTCAAATTGAACGAAACATCCCGGGGCGGCAGATTATGCCGAGGACCGCAAGACAACCAACCTTTGATAACAGTGTCGTTCGGCATGGAAGTCGCATTTCGAATCACCAATCTCGGCTGCCAGGCATGCTCACGCACGACATGGCAAGACGGTCTTGCCGTTCCGAGGCTTGCTGCGCGCTTCCCTGGCTTTGTTCCCCCCAACTCGACGAAACTGTTATTGGTCCACGGGCTGTGTTGTGGTTGGCCAATGTGGCGCCCCGGGAAACATTTAACAGTGGCGTCGAGGGATCATGTTTCAAGCGAAAAGGCGGTGTGGTTCCGGGATGGTGTCAATCACGCACTGCGCTCCACAGCCAACAAACACCTGTCCCTTCGTCCGCCCCGAGATGATGGCACTTCGCCCTATCTAGCCTCTACAGTACTGTCTTCTCTCGGCTCCATGCGGTCCAAGCAAGCAGATTATAGCCTCAAGCAAATCATAAACTCGCAACCACGCTTGACTATGTGAGATATTGCTACGCAATGCAACCATGGCGTGCATCAAAACCTGGGGATCTTCCTTTACACTAACAGTTTAACACATTTGCCACCAAGGATCGCGTGCTTCTGGTTATAACTACAAGTTGGCATTGTATCTGGTACAACAATCGATACAACACTTATTCGTTTGTAACATTGCTTACTGGCGACACGGCGAGATTATTGAGGTCGTCGAATATGGATGAAGAACGTCTGGCATTAACAAACACATTGATTCGGAAGGACGAACGAGGAGAGCCCACACCAGCAGCGCAGCAAGCATGTTCGTGCCTTGGATGCAACAATGCCCGACATCTGGACAACGAGGGGATCAGCCAGTACTAGCTTCCTCGACAGGACGGAACCATGAGAGGCTCCGGGAGGGTCTCAGTCGTACCCCGTTTCGGCATGTCCTCGCGCTAGATGGAGTTCGATCTCGGTGGATGCTTGTTCTTGGTAACACCGTCTGTAGGAATGCATGCTATGCAGCCGGAATGCGCTATGGCGAACCATGCGAACCGAAAATGGCCTCGACACCAACGAAACCGATACCAACCGCGCATGTTTCTTTGTGTCTCCACTCGCCTCGTTACTGTATACTTGAAGAGGTTCCACGGTGGCGGCCCAGCAATGCTTTAACGGAGCGATTGTGATAGCTGAGTAGATGGAGGGAATACTTGAAGCACTTCGGAGGCTTCCAGTTTGTGTCGACTTGACGACGAGCCCAGCGCCATAAGAGCCGATGATCGGGGCGTTGGTAGCCATGTTCGAGAACCAAACAAAGGGCCAATGAGATTGGAACAACACTTCCGTGGCGACCACGCCTTCTGGAGTCACCTCAAAGACAAGCTTCGAAGACTCAACACAAGGACCTGACGTTGATCCCGCATTTGTGCTCTCGGTTATTTTCATTTGTGTGAACGCCGAAGTCTTCCATGGCTTTAATGTTTAATACGCACGCGTGAGCAATTTGTTTTCAACAGCGCGACTCTCTCAAACAGTGGATCGTCGGAAGTACGAGACGCAGAGAGCCAGATCTAGACATGGAGTGCAGCAGCAATTCAGCAACGTGATGCCATCTTACATGGACTCGTTCACCAAGCCGTGGAGACCAGTCCCCTGGCCGAACCGGTGGGTGGAATAAGTAACCGTTCGATCTCGAGATGGGGAAATGACTCCCATTGCCGTCCCGGGTCCGCCCTATGGGAAGAGCGAGCGGGCCAGTGTTGCAGGAGTCTGCATTCCAGGCCGGGTGGGTCGGGCCCATGATTGGGCTTTCCGGGGTAGTCAGGTGTGTTGGCGATGCTAAACTTTGAAGGGCGATGCAGTCAGTACTCTGCATTATGTGCAGTTTCTGCCTGTCAGCGTCACGAAAGCAACCAGTTGTCTAGGAAGGCTTCGGGGGTTCGAATATCGTCTCCTAATGGCTGAGTCGCGAGTGCGCTGGACATCTGATCCTGGCTTCCGCGACAAGCTACTCTCGCTCAACCCTGATCAATCAAGTCCTTTGAGTCATTTTCTTCTTTCTCGCTTACCAACTTCCCAGTTCCCAAGTTGAACCTCCGGTTACTGCTTCGGGCAAAAGAGAGGGAAACAAACCCTCTACAAGAGGCGCGACAAATCGATTGGATTGGAACCAGAGCAGTCGTTCGCCAGCTCGTCAGTCGCGTTGATACCCAAAAGCCCAAGCCCAGCCCAGCGTCGGGCTGGAAACCAGCCAAAGAGAGCACGCAAACACCGCCGAAAAGGGCACAAGGCACCGGACACCATGACGTTCCGTCATCTTCGAGTGGCACCCACCCCCCTTCTGGTTCGGCCCTGGTGGTGGATCTTCTGAGCCTATCTCGTTCGTTTGGACAGACAGCTGGCAGCAAGCGTGTTTCCGTCAACCTGTCTCGATCAATGTTCCCACACCCACCAGCCATTCCCTCCTTCCCGCCCTTCCACCCCCGGGTCTTCCCAATGGAACAATTCGCTCGTCGTGCGTTTCGTCACCGTCGAGATTTCATTCCTGAGAGGTGCTTTGAAGACAAGACAAGCAGAGCGTTGCGCAAGGCAGTCAAGTTTTTGGTCGTAGAAAGGCAGAGCTAGGTGGTGAACGGTACCACCCCATCAAGGACGTCGGCGCTTTTGCCATTGCCGCAGTTTTCACCAGCGGCACCTGATGGGCCTGCCGAGGACAGCTGGTGTTACGAAGAATACCGCACGCACCCTAGGTAGTTGCCATAGCCTGGCCATTGCAACGGTCGCGGGCGGGAAGAAACGAAAGACAAGCTTCTCCACAGTTGGGCCTGAGTGCTTCTAACGTTCTGACTCGAAGCGGTGACGATTTGCACCGGTGTCAGTACCAGCAGCCGAAACCAGGGGCCGCCCAGCTCTCCAGTTTACGGTCGATCGCTGGGTCCAACGGATTTCCTGGTCGACGCAGAGCGATGCGGAAGAACGAGAGCCAACGGGAGAGCTGCTGAAGCAAGACGAACCGCCTCTTGGTCAGCCCAGCTGAGCGTTTCCTTGCTGCCACGCGGTGGAGATGAAACTAGGTACTCTCTCAGCTCACAGTCGCTTTCCCAGGACCCAGCCAGCGAGGGCATGAACAATCCCACTCGCCGGCAAGCTTCCTCCTCGACCCATTTTGGCAAATTCGATACTGTTTGACAGGGAGAAGCGACAGCACAACGTGTTTCTCTGTCCTTCCAGGACCCTCGCTTCTCCAGAGCCACGCTCTTGACGTATCCTCCCGAGACTGCACGGCATTGGGTTTCGCTTTGAGGCCTTGAAAGCTGCACTGGGCTGTGCTGGGCGCCAGCAATTTGGCAACACACCCTCAGTCTTTCACGTTGCAAGCCTGGCTCCGTCTCGGTCTCGTCCTCTCACGAAGCACACTCCGTTCCAACGCTCCCGTTCGCCCTAGAATCAAAGGCCCGGACTCTTGAGTCCAGAGTAGCTCGCTCTCACAGCTGCAGTCACAGCCACAGCCCCCCCCCCCCCCCCCCTCCTCCTTGACCTTTTCGCTATCGAACAGTATTAACCGGCCATTGGAGTTTGGCAGTGGACAAGCGGCAGAGTACCCTAGGCAACGAGGACGACATCACCCTCTGCCAGGTCCTTTTTCTGCTGCGACCACGCCCCTCCATCACTTTGGCTTGTCACCACACACGTATCCGTTGGCTAACCCATGATTGGTATTCTGCACGTCTGGCTCTACATTTTCTCAAAAAATTATTGCTTTCCCTCTTGGTCCTTTAGGGGTTTTCTTGTTAGGCTGTGCACACACCTCCCCCATCTTCCTTCCCGCTCTGCCTCCCTCTCGCTCCGGACTCGTCCTCTCACAGCGCAAGCCGCAGCGATTACATTACACTGCGCTCGCTCTCTGGATAGCGAAGCAGTGCGGAAAAGCAGAATTAATAAGAAAGTGCGCTCGTCCGTGACCCGACCCGCCAAGTTCGTACGTCTGTTTGGGTCATTCCACGTTTTAACATCAACAATATACCACAGCCCACATCGTCTTACTCGCCTCCCTCGTCTTCTCACGACGATTCTCATCCCCTTCTGACCCGCACATGCTCCATACAACGAGCAGCGAGCGGCCTGGCATTATACCCAGCATCAACCGAACAGTACCGTAGCGTCTCATCACCTCCCACACCTAATTTCACGCCCCCCTCCCCCCATCCCGGTCGGTTCTCATACCCACAAATACGGGCCCTCCCTCCATCAGATAGTGGTCGCATTCCCATCCCCACTGCCTTTCTTGTCCGCTATTCATACAAAAAAGTTCCCGGTTCCCACTGCACGCATCCACGTTCCCGCCTGTTCACCACAATTTCGACTACTTGCTACGAACCTTCTTGATTGCCCGCCTCCGTCGAGGCAACTTCGCCTCCATTCACCAGTCGCCTCACTAACGAGCCACCACATCTTACAATAGCTCACCAGCGATTTACGACACCCGCTTCGCTATGGCTCGCGGAAACATCGCCCACGTAGAAGACTTTGACGAGGAAAATGGCGTCGTCATCCAGGGAACCGGGCAGTACGCCCAGTCGATTGCTCCAGGAAGCTCAGGCAAGACAAAAGCCAATAGCAAGTCCCGCAGGGAAAAGACGACGAGAAGACCTGCCACCTCCCCGCAACACGCTCTGACCGACTCGGATGACACCGTCCACCCTGTCGTATCCGATAAGAGGGAGAGAGAAAGGGAGAGACGTGCTGGAGAGAGGGAAGCGGCGGCGGCGGCGGCAGCAGCAGCAGCTGATAAAGATGCCCGCCGAGAGGAGAAGCGTCAGCTCAGGAAGGAACAGGAGAGGGCCGCCCGCCACGCTGAGCGCGAGCGCGCTGAGCGGGAGCGAGAACAGCGTGAGCGGGCTACCGCCAAAAAGTCCGCAGTGCGCCCGTCAGCAAAGCACGTCAAGACAGCACCCGTTGTCCATGCCCAGCAATCAGACCAGTACAGAAGGCCACGATTCGATGACGACGCCTCGCAGTACGGCATCCAAACGACATCGGGTTCGCGGCCCAGAGCCATGTCAAGCCGCCCAAGCAGCTACTATGGCCCAGGTTCCCGACCTCCGACGTCCAACAAGCAATGGCATTCCACTCAGGCTGCTTCACCTTTTACCCCGGCACCGAATCCTTCGCCCTTTGCGCCATCTCCTCACGCTCCTCCCCTTGCTTCTCAGCATGCTCCATCGCCTTTCTCCCCGGGCCCAATACCGGTTCCTATGCATGAGCAATCCCCCTTCGCCCCGGGCACATCATATCCCCCACCAGCTTGGGGCCCAGGGAGTGCTCCGTACCCGATGCAGCCACCGCCTCCGCAAACGCCGACCGACTACTTCCCCCCAGACCTCATGTCTAGCAGCCCTCGGCATTCTAACCTGGCTCGACGCTTCCAGCAGAGGCCTTCATCCGCCATGGGACATCGATCCATGTCGGTATCTTCTTTCGACTTGGAGGATTATGGGCCGACCTACGAACAAGAGAACATCGTCAGGCGGCAGTCGCTGAAGATTCGGGACGTTGAAGATCGCAAACTGATGCCGCCGCCCCCGCCGCGTTCGAGGACGGCTGTTCCGTCACGACAGGCACTTCGCCCTCCGCCTCCGCAGCGGCAAATTGCGTCTCATGGCTACGAGTCGGATGATTTTGATGGTGACGAATCCATGTACCAGGAGATCGTCCCTCGAGGATACGAATATGATGATGGTGTGGTTTCCAGGCCTCGTTCGCACCGCCGGGGCTCTAGCACGTACAGTCGTGAGGGTTACCAGATTGAGCCCGTTCCGGCCTCCCGCAGTAGCCGGCGTCATTCATACATGGCTGGTGAGAGCAGCAGCATGTCGCAATCCAAGTACGACTCTGCTGCGGCCGCTGCTTTAGCCTACCAGAACGGCGTGAGCGGCGCTGCGGAACCTCTGACTGCTGCAGCTTTGTCCAAGGCCGAGAAGAAGAGCAAGAGCAGCAGGTCCAGTGGGAGCAGCGGGAGCCGCGATGAGAGCGAGTTTCGACGCAGTGCTACTACACGAACCACTCGGTCGTCCACCGGCGACGGCGAGGACATTACCATCAAAGTCACTGGACAGGCTGTCCTTAGGGTCGGCAACGCTGAGATCCAGTGTCAAGACGGTGGTGAAATCAACATCAGCCAGCCAGGACGCCTTGGTGGCAGCGACAGGGCCAGCACTATCTACTCTGACGACCGTCGGAGCCGCATGGAGCGACTACCAATCCGCGCTCGGTCCCCAAGCCAATCCGACTCTTACAGTCGCGCCCAGTACGATGGCTACGAGCATCCAAGAATCCCGTTTACCTGACGGGCATAGCTTAACGAAGATGACGACAAGACGCAGTTCTCCTTTCACCATTTGCACAATCTTATTAGAGCGAGCGTTGTTTCTGCACTGTACCCGGATCGACAGTTGTATCGATATGGTGGTTGGCCTTTATTATTCCTCTGTTTTTCTCGCTCTATTTCTTCACCCCTTTCTGCTTCTGCGCCTGCTTCAGGTCAACTTTCTGGCAGCGGAAAAGTTTATACCCAAAGCGGAGGCTGTCGCGAGCTCTGCTCTTTGAAATTTTCTCAACATTTTTATACCATTTTTCTTTTTCTTTTTGCAGAATGCTTCATGTACATCCGGATTTTGGTTCTGTAGCGGTAAATGACAATTTGGGATTGGATGGCTGGATATGCTTTTGGCATTCGTTCGTTTTCTGGGCATATGCGGAGGAAAACCGAGTACTGGTATCTCGCCCTGGTGAGAGGGGGCATGGCTTTCCCACCTGACCTGGCGAAGCGTGTGTCGTATTTTCAGCACGGCGTACGAGTTGGAAGACGACTTGATAGACAACCTGCATCGGGAAGTTCGCACTTCTTGTGCTTTTAGGAAATGACGGCACTTGGGAAATTGTCATGGGCATGTACGGGGTTTCATTTCTTCACTTCTACTTAGAATCAAATTTGGCACGATACCATTAGGATGGGGGAGGGGGCAGCTGCTCCTAAGTTAACATCGTTTGGGGGGTTACCATGGCTATCAGTCATCACCAGCTTGGGCCTGGAAAAGGAGGAATGGGATGGGCACGCACGATGCCAGGAAGCGGGCAATTTGCCCCTTCACGGCAAGGACAGATACCCCTAGGATGGCTGAGCCATATAGGCCGCAATGAACAAAAAGTGTTGGAACAGCAACCGCGCAGAATCAACCAATCGTCTCGTCATGATGGTGCCGGCAGTCTGGCACGTCTGTGTAGATTAGCTCAAGGCCAAAGTTAAATCCACACCCTCTCATCCCAAAACGGAGGGCCGTAAGCGATCAGTTGCCATATAGGGCAGTCCGATCAACAGCTGTCAGAGAGAACCGCCTCGGATGGCAGACTCTACACGCGGGTTGTTCTATAGGAATGTTCAGATGAAAACGGTTGAGCGCATGTTTCCCACATAGTCTCCCCAAGCCTGTTAGCTTCCAACAATTGTGCCTGTCGTTCTGACACATGGTTGAAACGGGCGGTTCGGTTGTCGGGAGCTCGAGGAGCGCTGCTCGTAACGATTGGCCGGCTTCAGGAATGCGCCAGCACACGAGGAGCTTGATCAATGCGATGGATGAATATGGGCAACGGGCTTTTGTTCGAACCGTTGGCTTTGTGCGGGAGGACGTGCTCTACTGCCGCCGTCCATTGCGTCCGTTTCGATGCAACGGGAAAGTCTGGTGAGGGTAGCGGTGATTAGGTAAGTTACGGTTGGTTGCTGGGTAACGGATGGATATATTTACTTACGACGTCATTTGTCGGGAGGCTGGGAGTAAGAGAAAGATGGAGAGCAGAGACCCAGCTCTAGTATAGTCTAAATCAGGCTTGGAAAGGCCAGCCAACCGAACCAAGAAAATACCTAGTAAGGCATCATCAAATTGGACGACCGGATCCCGGACGATAATTCAGGCTGGTGCTTACGAGTGGACAAGAAGAAACCCGAGCGAATGCGAAGAGCAAGGAAGCCACCCCCCCGGCACATTCCCCCACCAACCACCTCACTTGCCATCCCAGCCACGGCAATTTCTGGTTTCTATAGGAACAACACGTCCACCACCACGCAGCTGACCGGGGAACTCTTCTCTGCTCTGTAGTTTTCGAGCTTTCATCTGCATCCAGCCTGAATACTGCCGCTACCCATCTTTTTCGATCAAGGTGGATTGCAAAGAGCATTCCATATACAGCATTCACACATACTGTCTCACTCCCGATTATCGCTGGTTCTACCAGCATCTTCAAACCCTCCTTGGAAACCGCCGCAACCTACTCGGACTTCACCTGAAGTCCACTGCCCACCATGGCCCCGGCCGTAGTCACCGGCCTGGCGCACCAAGCCCGCTCATTGATCTCGAGCCGACAACTCTCAAGCCTCCCGGACACAGCAGACATCGCAGCCCGGGCCTTTGACGCCTCTGTCGGACCTCTCGCCGCTCGATCCCTCCTCCTCGCCCGCGACAGCACCGGCTACAAGGAGGACCCTCACGTCGGCGTCACCGACCCCCAGAACATCAACAACACGGCCGTCTTTGTCATCTTCGGCCTGATCGGGGCCACCTTCGTCATCGGGGGTATATGGTTCTTCTTCTGGGCCAAAAATGGCGGCTTCTACTTCAAGGAAAACGACTGGGACGACTACAAGTCAACCGTTCTGCGCCGGAGAGGGCCCAACGGAACACTCTTATCCGGGGCTACGCCTACAACACAGCTGGGTGGCGGAAGTGTGTACAAGGACTACGATGACAATACAACCAGCATCTCAGGAACTACACTGTCGGGCATCACGGCTGGAGCAAGCGATATCGCCGCCCGCGAGAAGCGCGAGAGGAAACGCGAGAAGAGGCGTAAGGAAAAAGAGGCCCGCCACAAGGAGAAGCACTCAGCCAGCAAGAACTATGACGAGACGGGCGTTTTGATTGACGAGGAGGCGGAGCGTGAGGCCAAGAAGCACTTGCGATCTTACCGCCACGAGAAGCCTGCCCGCGTCGGCGGCCTCAATAAAGAATCCGAGGCGTCTGAGTGGGACGGCTCAACTAACCCTACCGAGTCGTCCGTCTCCACCAACCTGCTCTCCGCCCGTGAAACCACGCCGACGTCGACGCCGCCCAAGAGTAGGACGGGCGGCATTCGCAAGGTTTACAGCACGGCGGACCGCAACGAGGAGCGCGAGCGCCAGCGCATTCGCGCCGAGGCAAAGAAGCTTCAGGAGAAGGGTCGCGCCGCCGGCAGCTCGAGACGTGATTTCAGCTTCCAACGCGCGAGCACCGTGGCCGAGGACCAAAACACCCGTGGCTACGCCCTGCCCCCGCCCCAGGAAGAGCCGGAACCGAGCATGCCCGGTAGCTGGGCAGAGAGCGATATCACGAGCGCGGTGGAAAGCGATATGGGTCACAAGTCGTACCACCACGTCATCCCCGGCCTGAGCAGCCAAAGCGCTGTTGGTAGTGAGTACGCGGATGAAAGACGGAAAAGAAGAAAGGAAGGCCGCCGGAACCGCGACCATTGATCGAGAGATGAACAATGGTCAGAGGAAGAGAAAAACGAAACCAAGGCCCCTTGTGACTTGGGTTTCAGATGAAGCAAAAGGATACGAATGAAGAGCAAACTGTGATTGGCGAGCATCTTGCGGATTATGGCGTTGGGATTGCAAGTCGTTTAGTGGTGGTATTGGAAGGGCTTTACGGGATATGTAGATTAGCAACGCGATCATGTAGATTGACGATGGGAGGAAACCAATGAGTATTCATCAATGAGGCGTCCTTCCAAGAGAATGTTCTTGCCCTCCAATTACACCATGACCGTGTTGGAAAACCGCATGAAAGTCTGGCCTGGTGGGTACAAGTTCCAGCTACAATACGGCGTGGTCGTGGTGCACCTTCGTCAGTGGACCCTTTGCGCTATAGGTATGGTCTGATTATTCAGCTATGCCTCCGACGCTGTAGCGGGATAGCCCCACGGTTAGGTACTTAACTATGGGTAGGTAGTTTAACAACGGCATCCATGCAAGTGCGATGGGCGGCAGAGGCCGCTTTCGGGGAGGGGAGAGGAGCAATCACAAAACAAACAAAAAAGGATCCCTTTTTTTTTTCCGGTGGGGGAGGGGGAGGGGGAGGGGGAGGTTGGGAGCAATAATCATGTCGCGGGCTTCCGACAGATTCACTTTGGCTCCTCATTCACTTTCCCCCATATCTATCGGGTGCAGGTAGAGATCATCATCTGTTGCCTGCAGGAGACGCCGCGCGAGCTTCCATACCCAGCCAGTTCCACGCCATTTTCACGGCGGACCTCGCTCGGCTGACACATTTGGTGGGGGTTGCTGCATTGCCCCTCCCTCATCAGCATCATAGCATAGCTGTCTCTCTGTCTGCTCCCACCGGCCACCAAAGATCCAGAACCAGCCAAAGCGTTGGGTACGGTTCAATCCATACGGCCATCACTTACGCCGTAACTGGCCCAAACTAGACACATTGGTGGGAGGCCAGCGGCAGGGCCCACGACAGACAACGGCAGCAATGGCGGACGATGAGCAATGGAGCGGTATGGAGAACACGATTGAGGATCCGGAGGAGACGAGGGTGATATTCTGCGCGCTGGATTCGTTTCTGTGAGTTTTTTCTAGCGGTGTCAAGTTCATAACTCGTCCATGTTTTTCTCTCGGGCTAGCAAGCGATGTGGGAGTTGAGCGACACTGCATTCATCTTGGTCTACTACCTGAAGCCAATGGATATTATTCCCCCGTGATCTCATCATGACCTGTACCATCTCCCATGTGTGAATCTTACTAACACATCCTGCTAGCCAATATGCCAAAGTGGCACATTTCAATGTAACCCACCTCCGCCGACAGTCGTTCTACGCCCTGCCCCAGGCGCACTGGCAAATGCTCGCCGCACCGCCCTTCAACTTCCTCGACACCCTTGAGCGCACCGACGAGGCCATCGAGGCCAATGCCGAGCTCGCTCACGCCATTGCACACAACGGTCTGCGCTCCTTCCACCTCGTTCCGGAAGGCTCGACGGAAGAGCCGCGCTTGCCCGATGCCTGGGTCGGGGTCGCTAAGCACAATGACACCGACAAGGCCCGCAGCACTCTCCGCCAATTCTACCGCGACTGGTCCGCCGAGGGTGCCGAGGAGCGGCGTGTATGCTACGATCCCGTGCTAGACGCCGTCGACCGCGAGCGTCAAGCACGCCCGTCACCCACATCGGCCCCAGCAGAGCCTCTCAAGGTCCTCGTCCCCGGTGCGGGTCTCGGCCGTCTCGTTTTTGAGCTATGTCGTGCGGGCCATGACGCCGAGGGCAACGAGATATCCTACCACCAGCTTCTTGCCTCATCGTATATCCTCAACTGCACAAAGACCGCGGGGCAGCACAAGATCTACCCCTGGGCGCACTCCTTCTCCAATCACCGCACCCGGACGAACCACCTCCGCAGCTGCGCGGTGCCAGACATCCACCCGGCGACGCAACTCGCCGCCGCGGGGCCCTCCGCCGGAAGCATGTCCATGTGTGCCGCCGACTTCCTCTGCCTGTACGCCGACGACGATCACCGTGCTGCGTACGACGCCGTCGCCACCGTCTTCTTCCTCGACACGGCGCCCAACCTCGTGCGGTACCTCGAGACGATCCTGCACTGCCTGCGCCCGGGGGGCGTGCTCATCAACTTCGGCCCGCTGCTGTGGCATTTCGAGAACAATGCCCCCGGGAACCACGGCCGCGACACAGACGGCGACGGCGAGCACGACTACAACAACTCGTCGGGCATCGCGGACCCGGGCAGCTTCGAGCTCTGTGACGATGAGGTCATGGCACTGGTTGAGCGAGTTGGGTTCGAGGTGGAGAGGCGCGAGACGGGGATCGAGGCGCCGTACATCCACGACCCGGAGAGCATGTTGCACACGACGTACCGCGCGAGCTTTTGGGTGGCAAGGAAACCTCTCTAGATTTGGCGTTCTGTCAAAGCCATGTTTCTACCCGTGGGATTTATATGTAACAGAGATGGGTTCATACGGTTATGATATCTTAGAACGGCATGATGGACCCTTGGTCCGGTGGGTTCGCAGACATGTTTGGCAATCAGCGCGATAATACACATTTTTGTTGACATCACCAACACCCTATCCCAGACTCCATATGCAGTAAAGCAGCCCCCTACAACTTGGGAGGAACATTGAGCTCCCCACGCTGCCACAGCGATCCGCCGTCAATAGCAATCACTTCTCCGTTCACATGCGACCCCGCACGGCTGGCGAGGTACACCACGGCGCCCGCAATGTCCTCGGGCCGCCCCAGCCGGCCCATGGGGTTCCCCTTGCCGATCTTGTCGGCGCCGCCCCCGATGTCGAGAAGGCCGTTGGACATCTTGCTCGGGAAGAAGCCAGGGGCGATGGAGTTGACCGTGATGTGCCTCGGTGCCAACTCCAACGCCAGGTTTCTTCCCAGGTGGATCACGGCCGCCTTGCTGGCGCTGTAGCCGTACGTGCCCTGCTTGCCCAGCGTGCCGACGCCCAGACCCGCCACCGAGGCTGTGATGATGACGCGCGCAGGGTCCTCCGTGTTGGCTGCCTTCTCTAGCAGCGGCGTGAAGAGCCGGATGGTGTTGAAGACGCCCTTGACGTTGAGATCCATGACCTTGGCAAAAGCACTGTCGGGGTGCGTGTCAAAAGCCTCGCCCCAAGTGGCGCCGGCGTTGGCGAAGAGCACGTCGACGCGGTCCGTATGCTTCTTCACCTCGGCGACAAGGTGCTCGACGCCCTTGATGTCAGCAGCGTCGGAGGGGACGGAGATGGCAACGGCGCCGGGGGACAGGTTGGGGAGGGCGTTGAGGGCCTTGCAGGCCTCTTCGCAAGCGGCGCTCTTGCGGGAGGAGATGAAGAGCTTGGAGGCGCCGGCTTGGAGGAAGCTGTAAACAAGACCAGTTAGAGAGATGGATCACGGTGGATTGACACGGATGGACATACGCGGAGGCAGCGTGCAGGCCGAGACCACGAGAACCGCCGGTCACAACGACGACCTTGCCCTTGAGGGAGAAGAGGGAGGGAAAGTCGTTGAGCTGTGCTTCGGCCATTTTGTTCGGTCGTTTGGTCAATTGCAGAGATAGAAAGCAACGTCAAACTGCGATATGCCAGGCACAGGTTGGACATATAAAGGAGGTTCGGGATTAGGAATGCGCCGTCTGTTCCCTGCCCAGAGTTAGTTCAGCGCTGGCTGTTAGAGACCCCTGGTCGGTGACGTTTGCGGGGAAGATACCGAGCCTCGGTTGTCCGCTAGTTCCAGTTTCACAGCAGGGGCGAAGCGTGGGTCGATTGTTAACGGATAGCATTTTGACTCTCGGATGCCTAGCGCGAGATGTGCAGTTATGTAATCTGAACTTTGAGCTCCCTGTGAGCTCTTTGTAAAACGGCAAGCTCGTGATAAGTCAATTTTAAGTAGAGCTACATGTAGACGTTTATACTAAAATCTCATGGCGTGGGTTGGACACGCGACGCTTGGCTGACTTCTGCAAGTCTCTAAAAGTCCTGTATCCTTTTGCGCAGATTCCACAGTAATGTGCTTACGAAGGTCATGACAGCAGTGCAACGTTGGACCCCGGAGGCCGGTCCGTGACACTAGTACTAACTAAAGCCCTACTAAAAGCATAAAGAAAATACACTTCACAAACGTACTTTTTATTACTATATTTATACTGATATTTGTCGGTATTCCCTTTACCTATTCTACACTACAGTGAGATATAGGAGGCGTAATGACATTGAGCTCAGAGTCGTTCTCGTGCTAACGAGTCAAATATTATATAGATAGTAAGAGATTCCGTAAATGCAATCTGCCTATGCCCCCCTCCCATGACTTCCACTGCTGTTAAGTGTCTGCATCAATGCTGTTGATGCTGCCAACTCCTTGATGAACCGCCCATGTGACGTAATGACCATTGTCCGACATGATTCAAATTCGGCGTGCCGAAGCTTTAAATACAAAAGGTTGTTTTCCTTCTTTTTTTATAAGAAAAAAAAAGTAACATGAGATGGCCGGACTGTCGGCAAAATAAACTGTCGTCCAATCGTGGTAGAGGAGCATTTAAGTATGCTCATCAAAACGTATATAGTCTTAAACTGTGCGGCTGTCATGACGAAGACGCAAAAAACGTTCGCAAACAAATTGTCTGCTTATCTCTTCGACCTACGATGCGAGTGCGTCTTCCTTTCCCAGCATGTGTCGACAGCATCCGCAAAGTCGTCCAAAGCATCAGGGCTGATGTGACCAATGAAGAAGACCTTGACATTGTGTTCAATAGTCACAAGCTTCGAGTAGTTGACACGAGAAGCTTTATCAAGTTTTTCTCCATCGACGGTGAGTTTCGCTCGCACGGGAGCGAATCCGAGCTCTGGCTCATTCTGTAGTGGCCGGTGGGGCTTGTTGTGATATACCATACCGTGCTTGTGAGCTTTCACGCCCTTCTTTTTACAGGCCTTGCCTTGGTACGTGAGGATAGGTCTGCAAAATTTAGTACAAGAAACTAATATGAGGCCTGGTAATACTCACACGCAGGTACAATGACCTTCGTCATTGGCAACAACGACAAAGCGGCGGAAGCCGACGAAGAGAGAACCGCCATAACGATCTTGAATTGGTTTTCGATCTGATATGGTCGGTGTCCCTCCGAGGCTTGTGCCCGACGGCTCACACCACAGAACTTTGAAGATCTAGTACAATTAGCCAGCGGAAACATAGCCTGAGTCACACCACCAACCGATCCAGGACGAAACTTGTGTGACGGTTCGACAACGTAGCCTATACGCGATTAGCCAAGACCAAGACCAGAGTTTATAAGGCTACTTACGTGGATCTAAATCCTCGTTGGTGCCGAATGTTCCACTGATGCGACTGGGCTCAGCAAAAGATGTAGTATGAGACACAGGGGGTGTTGGCCCTGTTGGTGTTCGCGTGCCGTCATCTTCACTATCTGCGTATGCTCCTGTTGCAGTCAGATACCGGGCTAGGTACTTAGCAATTGCAGTCAAACCCACCGTACGCTGGCTCTGTTGATGGCCCGCCTTGACTCTCTTTTCCATATGTCTCTGCCAAAGCTTCCTGTAGGATTGCGTTGTCGTAGTCATCTGTGTCTGTCGTCCCGTAACCAGAATCTGTTAATGTCAGTTAGGCCCCTAACGCAAACCCGGAAGACTTACCTTGACTATGAGCGGTTGCACCTGAATCATGGGCTGCCGTGTACACATCATGTTCATGGTACATGCTTTCTGTACTATTTTGAGGGGGTAAAACTGCTAAATCGTCAGTCGCTTGTTATTACGTGGGTGAGGGCCTATACAATCTTGATCCTGATGCGCAGCTGGGTCCGACACATAACCCTGGGGAGCCTCCTGCTTGGCACCCCAGAAAGGGTCCAAAGGCGGGGCTGGATCCGCGGGTGGACTATCTTCCCCATCATGCGGCTGTGACTCGTACGCCGTCTCCTTGCCCTTCCTTGAACGACTCGAGTTGTCGTATGATGTTGTCGAAGTTGGATACGTATAAGACGTATCTGCATCGTGTAAGCCAAAGCAAGCTTGGACATCGTCTATCAACTCACTATTCCCGTCATCGCCTTGCGGGGCGTAGCTATAATCGCCGTCTGTTGTAGAAGTGGATGTTGACAGGTTGTCAAAACCGTTGGTCATCTCCTCAACATTTGGCTGCTCGCGTGGGATCGTTTCGACAGGTTGTTGTAGAGTGACCTGTGTTTCTTGCCAGTGATATTTCGGCTGACCTGTCTTGGTCAGCGATATCTCGACTTGTCCTGGGCCCACAACCTACCATTCTTCATGCAGTACATGTAGTATTTTCCATGTTCGGGCGACCAGATCCAATCGCTCCATGGACTACTTCCTCCACCGCCACCACCACCACCGCTACTCTTCGACTTGCTTTTGCTGGACTTGCTTGACTTCATGATGGCATCATGTGTCGACACTCAAGACTTCTGGATATCGGTGCCGGTCATGAGTGGGCCACCAAGTAGGGCCGGGCTCGGGACGGAGACGGCGTCTTGATAGCAGCGTCAGCTTGAGCCGCAAAGGAAAGAGACAAGAGACCAGCCGGGCCTCCAGGTGTCGGGGTCGCGGCAGGATAAATGGAAATTCCCGCCCAATTGGCTGGAGCAGCTGTACGGCGACGCGTGACGTATCCTGGGAGATGTTACTGGCGCAAGGCAACAGTTCTCTGCAGAAGGGGTGGGATGAGCTTCAGCGAGCCTGCATCGTCTTGCAGGACACCTGAATCCTGAGCTTGGGTGAGTAACTCCTAGGTAGGCTGGAAGGTCGGACCTAAGCTGAAGGAGTGGGAGAGGAAGAAGGTCGGGAAACGGGGGACGGAAGACGAGAATCGGGACGGAGACGACAAGAAGAGGGTGTGGCACGGTACAGTTGCCTTTTGTTCCGGCTCTAGCCCTGCAGGGTCGATAAGAACCTCCTCTCGTTACGCACCAGGTATTCCACTCCCGCGTGGAGCAAGTGACAGAACAACAGCCGCAAGATGGACTTTGGTGGTGGTCTCACATATGGGAACCCCCCCCCGTCTCGTTCTCTTCGCTGTTTGGAGTGCAACCCAAGGAGCTCCCCATCCCTGCTGTATGAAGGCCCGAAGAGGATTTGCTAGCTGGCGGCGGTTGGCTCGCGTGTTTGATGGAAATGTCGTACCGGTACAAGCGATTGGAAAAGGACGACGGGATCAGGCTGCGCTTTTCGTCGAGTTGCGTCTGGATGTGGCACGTCTTCCCGCCAGTAACGACGAGGATACCCACGACCCCGCGCAGTCCGTATCCACCTGGCAGTGGACCGTTGACGGCTTCCCCCCACGGGAGCTCAAGCTCATTAGCGGACCAGCTGACACATCTGGCTTAGTATCAGTATTGGCAGCAGCGCAACTCCTGGTCCGTCTCCGCTTAGAACAGGGGCCTAGGACCCGGAAGGAAGGTGGGTCAGCTTACCGGCAAGGGACAAGGTGGTTCCCCCAACGGCTTCACGACCCGGCTTGTGGCTGGCCATCCTTCCTCTCACACGTCTGTTACTGCTGCTTGCTATTGCTGCTGCTGGCATGCAACCGTAATTAGCAGCTTCTGCGGGTGGTGGTGACTGGAACGAGCCGCGTCCACTACGTCCACGACGACAATTTTGAGGTCTCGCTCGCTTCACTATTGTTTTTCGATTGCAGGGCAATCAACGCCGACTTCTCCCTTCTTCCTTCTTGGGTCCATCGGAACACCTCATAGCGATGGCACAGTGCCGCGTCCTTCACGCACCATAGCTTCCCTTCATGGCCACAATCGACTACTCTGGCCGACGGGGCTTTGCCTCGAGCCCGCCACTGGATGATCCATCTCACGAGCATGATATAACGTCCAAAGTCAAGTCTATCGATGGTACCGATAATGATCATGATCGACTTCCACGGTTGCCACAACTACCACGGCCACGACCACGACCACGACCTCCTCCTCTGCTAGCGTCGATGCGACCGAACGTATTCTTCCATGAGTCCTCGATGGCCCCTTTGCCTCTGCAAACAGAGCCTGATATATCTCATCACCACCACACTGTCTTTCAGGCTTTGGGCCCGACCACTCTATGTCCTGCGTCTCGAGATGATCGACAAAGAACAGATTATATGTCTAAACATCTCCCTCCTCCTCCTCCTCCGCCGCCGCCCGCGCCGCTTCACCTCGGACGCCGACAACCCGAATCAACCACCTTACTACATACACCACCGCCACCCCCTCCCCCACCGCTGTCGACTCTTAATACGGCCCTCAAGAGTAGAGGAGCGATCAACATCCCGATTCAACGAAGTCTATCTCCATCTATGTCGTTATCCTCAGGATCATGGCATCAAGAGTACACCAGTTCAGAGTCCGAAACCAGCTCCATGGATGCCGATTACTTTGACCATCAAAATAGGACCACGTTTCCACCTCTTCTGCCCAGTGCCAAAGGCCGGACTTTTGAGCAAGGAAGAAAGCAACTGACCGACTCTATCACGAATAAGGTCTCACGTCTTGAAATTTCTCAGAGCTCTGTCCCCAGCTTGGTTGCATCCGATGCCTCTTCGGCAGCATCAGTGGCCTCTATAGAGGACGACGGTGTTCAGGAGCTTTGGATACAGATGAAGGAGCGGCGTCAACGGCTGAACTTAATCAAAGAAAACATGACTACCAAGCGCAAAGCTCTCCAGGAGCTGCGTCGTAGGAAAGATGAAGCCGATAACACCTTCATGCATATGCTCCGCCCCATTCTTGTTAGGGGTCGGCAAGGTCTACCGGGCATGTCTAACGAATTGCTGGACAAACGCTTTGCAGAAATGCAGTCACTTCGCACAGAGTATCATTGGCTCGAGTCCGGGTACGAGGAACATGAATTCGCGCTAGACGAGCAGGAGGTCGAACTTATCAAAATCGAGACGCGATTTTTTAGCCTTCTGGCTGCGGGGAGCGGGAGGAATATTCGATCAGCCCCTCACACGGATGATTCTGAAGACAGCGAAGCTGAGGAATCAACGGACATACCTTATGAGCTGACCGGCATTTCTCGTAATGGACCGACCGACGATTCCCATCCGCTCTGGGAGGATCTCGTGTCTGCAGTCGGAGACTTGAGCAACGCCAGAGAAGAGTACGATGATCTTCTCCTCTACCACAGCCAATACACCTACAGCATGGATGTAAAAAGGTCTGCTAGGAAGCCGCCTAGCGCGGAAGAGATCGAGTTCATGGACGAATTTCCGGAAGAAGAACGCGAGAAGCGACAACATGTCGACCACCTTACGGAGGAGGTTGACAGGCTCAAGGAGATTTGCAAGCAAAAGGGGGCAATGAAGAAGCATCCATCCTTCAAAATCGCGTATGCTCTCGACCCCAACATTGGAGATGATCTGTCACTCGACAGCCCTCCTCCAGAATCGAAGACCCTCGCTCACTGGCAGTTCCCGGAGCTTTTATCTTGCCCCGACCACGTTCTCCGACCGGAGCCGCTGACGGCTCTGGATGAGCTGAAGCGCGCTGCAAAAAATCCTCTTGACAGCCCAGCGAGGAATCTGCAGCTGTGCGCGGCTCAAAAGGAATATAGCATCTCCAAATTGATCACCGAGTTTAAAGGGGAGGACAAGTCTGATTTCATCACCAGGTGGCTCCTGCACCAGCTGCGGACTTCGCCACTTGCAGTTGAGCTTCTCTACTCGACCTTCACTCAGACAATTCGACTAAAGATTAAGAACTTTCGCCGTTGGCAGCAAGACGTCCTTTTCCACTGGTGGAGAGACAGTGCGGTGAAACCGCCGGATGAGTTCTTCGGCCCACTTACAGGAAGCGGTAGAGTATGGCCTGGACACGAGGCAATTCCTGAGCACATCTCAGAACCTCTAGGGCACGGCATGCAATTTTCTACGCCACCGAGAGCATCGACCGAAAACTGGACGGGTGGCAATGGACAAGCGTATGAGGATACGAGCTGGCCGTCAGCAATTTGATGAGTTTGATCAGCGAGTGCGCTTTTGATTTCATACTTTACGCGGCGTCGGGATCCATACGCACTTGTGAGCCTTGGATACAAACGGCACGAGGCTACATAACATGATCGTATCTGGATTCGGATGACGGATTTGCTTTACTTGGGCAGCCTTTTTGATACCCAGTGTTTTTGGTGTGTACAGATATGATATCGTGAGGGCTCTTTACTTTCTGGATTGGATCATGGGCTATGCTGTCAGATTATATTGGGAATTCAAGCTTATATTCCATGGGGGGCATGTAATCCACGCGGGATGGTAGCAATCATGTTCGAAATTGTATCTATTTGCACATTTATTCATTTACTACTAGTAACTGTTGGGGGGCGATCGAGTTTGCGGCATAAACTAGCCCGTTCAGCCGATATCTAATCACCATCGCTTTGGCTAGCGCACGAGAGCGATATCCCCACACATGTCGGGACGAACCATGGAGAAGGTCCAGTATGGAATGGTAAATCTAACAGCCGATGTACCGGTACATAAGCACTATCTCGCGAGAAACTAATGCAAGTCCTACACAGCATTCTACAATGGGTCCGAGAGTGCGGAGCTGAGAGAAGTGAGGGGCCAAGCAAGACACACATGTGATCAGTCCCGCCGTCCCGCTGAGGATGGCGCTACAAAGAATGCACTCATCGGACAGACGGGGGGGGGTTCACGGTAGGTTGTCGTGGACGCAGTGCACCTCCGCGAGCAAGTGAGATGGCTGACGGCGAGATTGCAGCCAAGTCCACGAGAAGCTTGGCGGACATGTGTGACAGCCCTTTCGGACTCTTTCTTGAAGCTTGGATAGCAGCATGACCAACCAGAGATCCTTGGCAATAGCAGTGACGACAGCCTGGATATACAAGTAGGCTGTTTATTGGAATTAGAATCGGCATCTAGCGGCGACGACTGGACTGGATGAAGTGGTTTGGGAATTGTACTTGCGCGGGTTGCAAAGCTGCCCTCGGCCTTTTGCATTCCCGTGGACGGTGACGAGCCAGGGATGGATGCATCCGCAGGGCTGAGGACGAATCATCAAAACGTGGCGGGAGACTTGGGAGATGTCAATGTTGTTAATGGCTTGTTTCGTATAAGGCCGCGACGTCTTTGGCGGGCGGCGGTTTTGGTGGTGGTGGTGGTGCCACGTTCCGATCAAGCCATCGAGCGTCACGAAGAGCCCGACGGGCATTGCGGGAAGCATGCCATTGTTGTTCAGATGTTATTCGACGCCCAGATTTCAGTGGGAAAAGGGGGGGACGTGGTGGGCAGTTTGATATGTATTCCGGCAATGCCAACAGGAAAAAGCTTGCAGCCTGCTTCTGGCGATGATCGCATTCCTGGTCTCCCAATGCAGTCAGCCTGTCGGGCTGAGGGGAATACGTCTGCTCGGTTTTACGACCTTTCCAGCTCGGCTTGCTCTATCACAAGCCAAACTCCGACGAGTATCTCCCTCCATGTCCTTCCTGTCTGCCCGCCTGCTCTAGGTGATACAGGCAGTTGTGGATGCCTGTTGACAATGAGGGCAGACGAGGCAAGCTCAACCAGATAAAAATCTATGATTTCCGCATCGCCATATACGACGGGTCGGGGCGGCTTGTCCTTGTTTGGCATAGCCCGGTGAAAGCATGGTGACAAGCCGCTGTAATATGCAAGGAAGGTCAAGACAAGGTCCCCGGCTGTTCTCATTTGCATGAAGGGGGCGTCTTCTTCCACCGAATGGATGCATGGAAATGTCAAAGTGCAAAAGACGGGCGGGCCATTTATTATCATGTGTTTGGTTTATAGGCTTAGCGGGACCCTATGAATGATAAAGAGAGGTCTTCCTGTATGGTAGTTTGCGTTTCTTATTGGTTATTTACTGTGGGAACCGAAAAGAAAAAAGAAGAGAAGAAGGTATTCCTTACTGCCCACAAGCTTACCGTAAATTGATTGGGTGACTTCCTAGCAGGTATTAAGAATGAGAAAAAAAACAAATGCTATGTTTCAATGCCTCGTGGCGGAATCGAACCGCCGATCTTCTCATGACACTAGCATACTAGTGAGACGCTATACCACTTAGCCAACAAGGCTGTTGATTGCTTTTTCCCAATGGTGGTCAATACATATATTATTATGAATATCAGCACAGCCAGACGATACTGTCAGTAATTCTCCAATCACCCCTTTCATGAGGACGTGGAAATCAACCGAAGCGGCGGGATATGATCTTTAGCGATGGTTTCTATTTTCTCTCTCATTGCGAAGAATTCTATACACATGCAACAAGCAACAAGCAGCAACATAAAACAAACGGACGACTCTAATGTAAGATCTCGCTGTCCTTGCCTCTAATGATATTCATACGCGGCACTCCCGCGATGGACAGATTGATCATATATGTGTCTCTGGTCATATGTACAATGGTATTTCCTCCATAACCCTTTCCGATTTGTCCGTCCAATACCCTGGAGCTCCAGGCCCGCCACCAAAGATCCGAGAGCGCGGCGTCTGTATACACGGCATCACTGTGATTTGGTTCGTGGGAGCCCCCTCCCCAATTACCGAGGTTTGGTCTACACCTCTTTTATATTGATCCATCTCTGTTGCACTACGTGGCTCAAAACGCCACCGTCCGCCTCCGAAATAGGATTTCCGCGTTGGGGTCAGGTGACTTGCTCATTACCATGATACTTGGCTTTGGCCGCGTCTCCCCGTCCTTAAGCTTGATATCGTAGTTGAGCAGGAAATACGCCAAGACCAGCTTGATCTCGTTCCCTGCAAAGAATCTGCCAGGACAGGCGTGCTTGCCAGCCCCAAAGTTCATGTTCGTGTCGCTAATGCTGGTGAATTGCCACCGGTTGGCATCCTCGTCAGACTGTTGTCGTAGCTTGTAAAACCGCAGCGCGTCGAACGTATCGGGATCTTCAAAATATCGTTCATCGTGCGAAATGCCAGCCTGTGGCGCCAGTACCTTGGTGCCTGGGGGCAAGTGAGTGCCATCAGAGAGATCAATTGGCTTGACAACTTTGCGTATGAAAGATGCTGAGACGTGTTAGCCCAAGCTTTGGCATCTGTCATGTCCAACTCACTAATGTTTCCGGCAAGACGCTGGGTTTCCTTCATGAAGCTATCCAGCTTCTTCAGCTTGGCCATGCTGTCTTTCCTTGCCCAGCCGTGCTCAACCTCGAGAACTTGGTGCGCCTCTTCCCGCAGCATGTCCTGCGCCTCTGGGTGAGCTGCGAGATCGTAAATGCAGTCGGTAACCAAATTGTTGGTCGTGTGGATTGAGGCTGCCGCCAGAATGAGCTGCAGGTGTGCCTGGGACCTGATGTCCATTTTTTCATCTTCCGGCAGGGCTTCGACGAGCCATTGAATCAAGTCATCTGGTGACTTTTCGCCGCTCGGCATCTCCAGATCCCGCAACCTCTCTTCTATGATTGGCTTCAGCATCGCGCTAGCCTTGTCGACGTCGTTGCGAATTTGTCTCAGTTCCGACACCCCATACTGCGCAATAGGCCGGGCCCACCCAGGGAACAGCTGCATCTTCACAACGGCAACGAAGACGTGAATGGCGAAGTTGATGCTAATGTCCATCCACTGCTCCTGTCGGTTGATGTCAGGGCCAACGAACGCTCGGCCACTGATCCGTGCGATAGCTCGAAGGGCGAAAGGTTGGAATTTTATCGGCGTCCAATCTGGAATGGTAAGTATTGAGCGGTTGAGATGCCGGCCGGCGGCTTACCATTGCAGTCGGGAAACTCTGTGGCCACGACGTATTCGAGCTCTCCCTTCAGTTGGGGCACAAGACGCGCAAGGTTCTGTGAAAGCCTGCACCTTACGAGTGTCGACAGCATGTCTGCATGGTCACCCAAAGTGAAGTTTGTATATTTGCTTAACATGGCCTATATGGTCAGTATGATAGATGAGTGAAACAAAACTGGAGGCATACCTCATCTACGGCCTCCGTGGCACTCAGGATCTCTTCAGGCAGGCCTCTGAGCTCCCCGATCAGGCTTGCAGGTACCAGTACTTGCAGGCCCTCCGTGGCCTTGATCTGATATACAGTATCGCGAAACTAAGAATGTTATAAGTAACTCGACGACAACGAAACGTTGATTGCGTCAACGTACCTTGCTATAGCTATCGCGAATCAACGTCTCTGCATCAAACATCCACTTCGTCTTGGCGGCCTTGTAGAAAGGCATGTTGGGGATCGTCTTCTTCCTGGACTGAAATAGCCAAACTACCAAGAGTACGGTGCTGATGGCGACATAGTAGTTAATGTGCCTGCCCCCGGGTACCACGCGAGGCAGGTTGAGTTCCATTGGCATGGACGACATGGTTGATGTCTGATTCATTGGGGGCGCGGTTGACCTTTTCGAAGGCGTTGTGCGTCCAGAATAATGTACGCGTCAAGGATCGGTCCTCAATTGAAAGGGGATTAGAACGCCACCACGTTGGCACGAGCTATGTCGAAATCAAATCGCCTCGCTATCGTGAAAGAATGAAAGTTGCCTTGCCGCAGCACGAGGGGAAGTTTGACGACTCAGATATGTCTCCCAGACATTGGCCATTAGAATGAGCAAATTACTAGCCAAGCCTGGTGCAAAGTCGACGGCCTGATGATGGCATAAAGGTTGTTCGTGGTCGATAAGAGACAAAGTCAAACAAATGCAACGCCAGAAGTTGACAAGAGTCGATTGCTCGGCCGCGTCCCGTTCGTTCCTCAGTCTCTTCGAGTAGTTGTCTGGTATGTAGTTGGTGTCGTCGAGTTTCAACTATCTCCAGCCCCCGGGGTCGGAGAGGACAGACAGGAAACAGACGAGATGGTGGTTTGGGTCTCTCAAGCAGTAGAAGCCGTGAATAAAGCGAAAGAAGACGAAATCGGAAGAAAGAAAAAAAGTACAGATCAAATCGAAAATCAATACGGCGCGCGGCGCGCGAGCGCACATACCAGAAACACGGACGACATGCAACACAGGCAAAGCAGGGCTTCCCACTCTCCCCTCCCGGCAACAGGGCCAAAACACAACACAAGCAACCCCGACCTCGACGGCACCTCACTCTCTCGGGGCCGGTAGGCTTGTCCTTGCGCCTGGGCTGAGCACGAGTGAAATCCGAAGGGTTTGGGAGTTTGGACCGACTGGGACGTGATCGACCTCTGCTTCCTTGGACGTCGAGAGCGGTTTCGCGGACTTGCCAGGCGCATCTGAAACATGGAGGTCAACAGGAGTCGTTCGGGAGCTGCCACCTCCGGATTTTAGCTTGCTGCCACCAGTCGTGCCTCAAAGAAGAGCCCCAAGCATCGGCTCACCAGTGGTTGAGGCGTCCGTTTGAATTGCCATCCATCGCCCGGCGTCCTTGCGTCCACAGCAACCCTTGGCCCGGCTGGTCTTGTGGTTGCTGTTAGCAAATGTTGATGTTGATGTTGATGCTGTACGGAGTATTGATCAATCTACCTACCTACCGAGGTACCTTGGTCATCGATGTTTTAGGTAATCTTCCCCTGTACGTAGCGTACCCTCCCCCTTGGGGAGGGAAAAAGAAACCGGGACCCATACAGTTATCCTCAAGTGCTCTTTCTCCTGTTTCGCCCCGGCAGAGACATCCAGGAACCGTCCCCAGTCTTGGTGATGTGCCCTACCCTACCTACTGTACTTACCTAAACTAGGTACCACCTACAGGCTACTAGGTACCTACCTCTCTGGCACGGATCCAGGGGCATCTTTCGGCTCGCTTAGCGGCCGAGACGCGCCAGAAATTGTTAGTGTTGCGCAACTCCTCCACATTCATCCCATCTCCGACTATCTTCTAACCTCAACCCACCCAAGCCCTTGTCTTCTCGAAGCATCGCCTCATGCTTTCGCAAAAAGCTGCTTCTTCTTCTTCTTCCTTTCCTACTTGTTCAATTTCGCACTTTTATTCCCCGTTGCGTCCAAATCTGGGATCTGCCCCGAGCCCACTTTGTCCGCCCCACAAATGCAACATGTTTGGGAAATCCGATATTCGATATCGCCCAACCTAGTTGTATACCTAGATTTCCTGCGACGAGCACACTTTGACATTGGGAGTCACCCGTGCCGCCCGCCCCCAGCCAGCTAGGTACTATGAACAGCTCCAACACCAGAGCCGCCTGCTTTGACGACGTGGCAACCAACCGACGACAATCAGGCATCCCTTGACAACCACAAAGCCTTGTCTCGGATCCTGCCGCTAGGTACCTCTCGCCGACGGCGCAGTCATGGGCTCCGTGTGGGCTGTTTGTCGTTGTTGTCTTACTCCTTTCCATGCAAGGACCCAAACTTGCTTGTCAATTTGTCCGCGCAGCTGAAATCACCATGGCGTCTTTCGCTGCTAGCACACACACACGGGTTGCTACAACTTTGGGAAACGCATGCCCCGCCTGCCAAGGATGATGTCCTAGTGTAGAATAGGCACATGGGTAATCCTCCGCGAGGGCAGTATTAACCGACGTCGCCCAATGCTTAGCGCTTTCCCCCCTGTCAGCCTCTCCGGCTGGTTCCATCCATCCAAGCAAGCCTAGCAGCGGCCGTTCCCTATGTGCACGGAGCGTTGAGGTACGCGACGCATCTACAGGATTTCCTATACTCCGTACTAGGTATGTAACTGGGAGGGGTATGCGACATGTAGGGAACATGGCCACAAGTTCACAATTCCTCACGGTTCGTCCACGATCATCCCTTGAAGCAAACAACACACTGCCAAGCCCGCCCCTAGTCGTCGTCGATGTTGCCCCCTGACCAGGGTTCGTATTCTCCTCACTTGAGGAACCTTGCAGTCATCGTTTTTGGTGGATGTCGAGAAACTCCAGTGTCAATACTTACCACCCTCTTTGCCAAGACGGCAGCCGGCTTCTACGTCTGCAAAGCTTGTCACGGTACGGATACTGTTTTCAGCTCCGAGGAGGACTGCGCGTGCTTCGTCCATCGTGTTTTAACCATCTCTCGCAATGTTGTCACCCAGTGAGCAGACCTCGCCAATCCGGGTCGAAAAGCAAACGCGGGTCGGGCACTGTTGGTTCGTTCGTTCAATGGCGATACCGGATAAGCCGTGACTACAGATCAAGCATGCAGTTTTGCCACGGTATCTGCCCGTTAGTCAACCTTTACAAGGCTCGCACTGACCGGACGACTCGAGGGCTAATTAATTAATTAATTACTCTTCTGCCGGCACACGTGCCGACCCGAACGTGCTCTTTCACAAGGGGAAATCCAAACGACCGACTGACTACCTACTACCTATCTGGCCCCTGTCTGAACCTGATCCCGCCATAACATTAAGTTTTCCGGGGACGCGGCTCGGTGTCGACCGTCAGGCATCATCAGAATGGAACTGTGCCAATGAATGGACAGATGAACGGAAACCACTAAGCCACAGAAAAATGCCGTGTTCTGTTACGTATCAACAACCAACGCACTGGAGTTCCATTGTTCTCACATGCAGTCAGCTTCAGTTGAATGACGCCGCGGGCAAAGGCCGGCTCGGCTGCTGGTATTCGCAGATCAGCGAAGTCAGCCTTCATCGATCAGGAGAGAGAGAGAGAGAGAGAGAAGTATTTGACCAATTTGACCGACTGCCAAAGCGAAGAAGGCCAAGCAAGCACGCAGATAAGAGAACGGCAGCAAAAAAGCAGGCAGGGTTCCTTCCTCTCTCTCCCTTCTCCTACTTACTATATATATCTATTATCCATCCACTTGCCTGCCCCAAGTCGTGGGCGGTAGGTAGGTAGGTAAGGTAGTATGTTAGCCAGCACTGAACCTTGTTGGCACAAAAGTTGAAGATGCGGTCAGTGTGGATTGAACACACGACCTTCAGATTGATTGAATGAAGTTTCTCGGATCGAGATCCGCTTCAGTCTGACGCTCTCCCAACTGAGCTATGCCCGCAGCTTATCTTCGGATGGTAGATGAGATGAAAATGGTGGCTCATATCGTGGACAGTCAAGAGGGCACCAACCCTGTGTCCGGGGCGGTGAGATTGACGGTGGAATCCGGCTGAGACGCTGGCCCCACAACTGAGTCTACCTACTTACTCCCTATTCATGAGAACGAGTCAGCAGCATCCTGTAGCTAGAGTACGCACACACACAGACACACTCACAGACTCACTCACACTCACACTCACACTCACACTCACACTCACACTCACACCCACACTCTCCTCCGCAACCTTTTCGGTACGCCTTGTGTGCACGTCATACCTCCCCATTTGATCTTGACAACCCGGTCATTTGGAATTTTGGTAAAGTCACCCGAAGACGCCGCCAGTATCACCTTCATTCTGTTAGCTTCAGGCCAGCTTCGCGATGGCTTCCCACCGACGACAACAACAACAGCCTTTGGTTGCAATAATCATCTTTATCAGAGCTGCCACCAACAACATTATTGACCTGGTTGTGTGGTTAGTTAATGAAGTCAGTCTCACAAGCCGAGGCACCTTCGAATGGCCTCATCTCGTTCGTTGAAGGTCTCCGGTTCAAGTCCGGGCTAGATCATACCAAGGGCGACTGGTTTGCGGTATAATGAGCGTTTGGCATGAAAATGAAAATGCGGTAGGTCCAGAGTTTGATTCTCTGATTGTCCGTCCTTCTGGCCACTTCGGTCACTTCGGCGACCTATACATAGAGTTGTGACGGAATTTACGTCTGGTGCTATCTTTTCGGGCGCATCCTGAGCCTTGACTCGGACGTGGCACACTGACTGACGTTGCCGGGAAAAGCTCGAGGCAACAACGCCCGGTAGCTTGGTAACAAACTCTCATTCTTCCATATTTCGGTTGCTGTGCGCGTGCCTCTCGATGGTCTGAGTGAAATGCAGAACGTGGGGACGCGTCATAGGGATGACATCTGACTTTTGGTTTCCTAGAGCCTACATCCATCACTGGTCTCGAATCCTCGTAGTACATCATTTGGCGTCGGGGTGTCTTCCTCGGCACTTGGCACAACAATTTTTGTAAAGTATATGGGATAAGATCTTGTGTCTTGGTCTCTGGACCTACTTGCTCTCCCTGCGTTTAGTTCAGAATAGCTGGAAACTCTACGGTGTGTTGACCTTCGCTTGTGGAGTGCAAAAGGTTGTCCAAACGCATCTGGTTCTCCTCAGTCTGCGACCGCTCGTGCTTAGGGTGTGGCCGGGGGTATCGAGCCTCTTCTTGCTTACCCTCACAGACAACGAGCATGGGAACTCAGCAATCTTCATATGACAAAAAAGACTTGTTGAAGGTCCGTCGAAGGCCTGCTGAAGTCTTCAATGGAAGAGATTGCAAGAAGACAGATAATACGATGTACAGAGACAGGGCCCTCTTACCGAAATATACTGCTCTCCGCGTCCCGTCATCATCAACGACCTTTGCCGCCTATAGTATGAGGTTTATCTCTGGTTCCTCGGCTTGCTGTTTAGTGGAGGGCTGATGTGTTGTTTGCATGTCTGATCCCGTCGACGACGCGTACAGTTCTGGGGATATTCGGATCTTTACGTACCCTTGGGACGTTGTCAGCGGTCCAGTCCTTGGAAAGCCCAAGCCGGCTGACGAGTTCATGTCTCTGAGAAAGGAGGAAATGGCGGCATTGCTTCTATCTGCCGACAAGGTGCAGCCTGGTGTGATGGTAGATAGTCGATTGTTGAAAATTGACGATATCTGACATGAAAGAAGAACGTGGTCTATTTAGCTGGCGATGTGGAATACTGAGACCGTTGCTACCAGCTCTGTTTCGGTGCTGGACATCCACGCCACGCATTCTACATGCCTGAGGGCGCATCGAGGACCTCTATTTTACGGCACTACCCACGGCGAAGGCGATGAGGATGGAGAACCACCAACGTTGAAGAGATCCGTTGTCGAGAGTCCATCTGGAGTCCCAAGCGGCATTGACCTGCGTTGGTGGGTCGACGGCGGCGTCCAATGGTTGTTTCCGGAGACAATGATATCTCTACATGGCGTTTCCAGCATCTACGGCCCTCGCTGTGAACGGAGTTTCGATGCATAAATAAGCAATGACGCCAAATAGTGAGCCGACTGGCACTCATTTGACGTTAGATTAGGGTCATCTTGAGTAGTGCGTATCATAAATGCCTTCAGACCCTTTGAAAGGGCAGGCGGAGATCTTGACTAGGACAGAGGACAGATGCTGCTTGTCGCGGTCTTGGGCCGTTCCAAGACTCATTATGGGTAGCAACTAGCCGGCACTGCAGGTGACAACTTACTGCACACGTACCAGTGGACAATTATGCAGTGAAAGCAAAATGCGATAGGCACGCCACACATTCCGTGCCATAGACGTCAAGCACTCGCGGACCAAACACCTTGATCAGGGGTGAGCATCCAACGGCAGATAACTTGGTCGGCCCTCGGTCAGTGTTCTGACAGCCAAAGAACCCTCCCATGGTCGGTTTGCTCACCATATCGCTTCCAAGACATCCCAAGGTTTTCCATGAACAAACACATATCGAAATGGAACGGGGGCTATGATGTCTGGTAGCAGGCCATCTCCAACCAAACCGGCGGTGCGCTTCATTTGCTGGTATTGGGCTAACCTGGACAGAAAGTACTCAAGAGACAGCCGAGATGACATGGCAGCGGTTTCTATATGCCTATACGTAGAGCCAGGACTGGACCACGTTGGACCCGGGCAATGGTTAGTGGACCGACAGCTGGGATGGAGGAAACGCAGGAACGCGCCTTCGGACTGGCGCCGTGCCCTACGTTGTGGAGAGACCAAGTGGCCGGTGTACATGCACACTGTGATGAGTGATCGGCCAACCGTGACGATGTCGATTGGCCGAGTGATGTGAAGTTCACGTGCGAACACGAAGATGCTGGGGCGGACATTGGAGGCCGAGAAGGAAGAGTCTTGCTGCAGGCCCCACGATGCTAGAAGAGGTAGTCTGATGTGGGCTTTTGACATAGTCGGGCCCATGGCAGCAAGCGGATACTTCAGATTAAGACAAACACATGGTAATGCAGCAATATCGCTTGAATTTGGCTTCCCAATCCAGAACAGCGCGGACGAAGTTTGTCCTGCTTTGCATGGGAGCTGTTTGGAAGCGTTTGAAACAGGGCGAAAATAAAACCGTAGGTCACCGAACGGACCTAACGATGAAAGTCAGTAGCCGAAGGTATGGAACTGTCGATTGGCTAACGGGTTTGATGAAGGGGAGAAGTGAGTTAAGTTATCAGATCGAACCCATGCCTTGTAAAGGGGCGTTGGCAGTGGTGGAGCAGCACAACGGTAGCCATTAAGCCGAAGCCTTGAGTGTACGAACAGTCGCGAGTGCGAAATGAGGATGAGACAGAGGCGTGCGTGTAAGAAGACGCAAGCGGGTCTTGGCTGCGCAGCCCCATGGTCTCGGTTTGTGTCGGGAAGGGTTGCCAGGTTGCTAAACCAGCATGGGCACCAAGGGGTGAGGAGCCGGTCTCGGAGATGTGCGCAATCAGATTAGATGTGATTGATTTGATGAGATTGATAACTGACGATAAGATCATGTGTCGACTCAAGCCGGAAAAAGCCAAACAGCCCCCCCCGGCTGAGTAGAGCGGGCTGCATACCTAATTGGACGAAGGGCTACGAACGAGCACCATACGGGCCAAAACATATGACGGTCCGTCAGGTAATGCAAGATGCGGACAATCAATAGTTGGCCCGTCGGGCAACGGGGAATAAAGGGTCCTTCCTCCTCGGCTAGCGTTCGGTTCGAGACGGGTGCGCTCACGTGAGCGGTTCTATTGGGAGCGGAGGCTGGGGATGGGAAGAAGACCGTAAGTGCTCGGTTCGGCAAACGGCTTCCGTAGCCCGTAGTGTGCCTCAGCGGATGCAGGACGTAACGAGATATGTCCAATCGTATCGCAGCCGACAATGTCTCATTCCGAGGAGGGCTGCCTTTGTCAGTCGTGCAGCATGTGGTGCGCTTAGAGGGTTTATTGCCTGGTTAGGGTTCAACAGTTGGAGCAGACGGCGGTGGCATAAGCGCACAGTGCGCGAGGCGGAAACTAACGGAAAGGAGCGGTGATGCAAGGGCTGATGGCTTTGTGAGATGGGCTGAACCGACAAGCTTCTTGGCCGGATCCTGCTCGTTTCGGTGAGCGGTGAAGTCCGTCGCGCGACTTGTAGCTACTGGGTTCCACTCAGCGTACCGTTTCCATCGAATGAGCGTGGTGTGCGAAGAGATTGCCTCATTAAATCGTTGGGGGTTTAGTCCTCGCCAGGAGCACCTCGTCAGGTGCTGAGGGCGAAGTAGGATGTCGGGGTGCTACTGATGGAGCTGCTCGGATCATTATCGTCCATGCCCAATAGTGTACTCCGTAGGCCATCCATATATCTCATTATGCACCGCACCACCTGCATGATCGTAGCGTAGCGGCAAGTCACGACGGGAAAGAGCAATGGTGAGGGAGAATGGTGAAATAGGCGTCGTCTCAATGGCCAACAGATGGAGTGAGTGCGTCGGCGAGGCCAGAACGCCACACTCTTGTTCTGTTTGGCGCCTTAGTGCGAGAGGTTCGGAAAACGAAAAACATCAGGTGCTTTGAGGAGAGAGGGAAGGAGAAGCCTGGTACCGGGTCGGGTCATTCCACCTCGGTTGATGGAAGAGCCAATGCTGAGTAAGAATAGCCGGGAAAGGAGAAAACGAAGGTTGGAGAAAAGAAAAGATTACGGTACAGCGTACCTAGGTACAAAGTCTTCTCGTCATCAGGAAGGATGGGCGACATCGGCGTAGACCGCGATGGCGAAAGTGGAGGACGAGCATTTTTGATGCTGATTGATAACTGTTCACACGCCCCCTCCCAGGGCCGAAGCACGAGCACGAGCACGAGGCCGTGTACTCGACACTAGGTGCTTCTGACATGTTCTATGCTTTTTTTTTTCGTGCCTGCTCGTCTACCATGCCTCCTGCAGCCATCGCTGTACTTGGTACATCATCATCATATCATCATGCCTGCTGTAATCACGGACATTCAACAAATGCTCAGCTCAGCTCATGCTAAACGCCATCAGCCATCCTGGAGGGTGATGCCAGGGCATCTCATCCATCCCAGCATTGAGACAGTGTGCAGACCTGACCCAGTTCACTGTCCGACTGCGGCCACCTAGAAGTACGATGTACGATGTATGACGGTACGAAGGTGGCGCCAGGGCGATCCCGGGGCCCCCCTGTCGCTTCTCCACCAAACCGGAGAATCTGAGCCTTTCACTTTTCCTCACTTCTCTATGGAATTGAGAGTCCATGCCATGGCTTCGGAGTACCTTGGTTTGCATGCAGACTGATCTCGTTCTGTCATCACCTCTGTGTGGCCCTGTACCTGGTAGTCCCGTCAATCCAGTCAAAACGAGGATAATAATTCAAGAAAAGTGATACTGCTTCCTCGGTCAAGATCGACGGAAAAGGGAAAAAAAAAACACCCCTCGGCCGGCACGCACGCACGCCTTTCCTTTTCCCGGGTCTGGCCAGGTTTCCCCCTCCATTCTTTATTTTTATTTACTTTTTACCTCATCGACCGACCTCCTTAGTCCTAGAAAACTTTCCATTCGTACTACTTTTTTTTACTTTACCCCGTCCAATCTCCCTGACTCCTTTTCCCTCCCTTTCCCTCGCTGCTGATATAACCAACCGGCGCCGCTTATCTGATCGCAGACTTATCTGATCAATAATTCCACACCCGCTGCTTTCATCCGTTGATTAACCCAACCAACCAAGCACTCAACACATACATACCAAGCCACCTTCCCACGTCTTGCCTTATTAGCAGCAGTATGCTCAATACCTACTGACTATCCGCCCCCCGATCCTACCACTCACAATTACTGCTTTACGCCATCTTCCACCCAAAAATCCTGAGACCCCCTGCCACCCACCAACAACACGGGTGACATTATTACTATTATCGCCACCCGAGCAACGTCCTCGACAGCAGACGCCGGAGCGAACACCTAGCGATGCACAGTACAATGGCCACCACCGCCATGGCGTCCTCTTTGATCAGGTCAACTGGCGATTGCATCCCCGAGGAACCTAGCATTTCTTCCGTTGCCCCCTCTCTCACCTACTCGGAAGAGTCAGAGGACCAAGACGAAGAGCCCCAGGCTGAGCCCCCACGCCGACGCCGCGCTTCCACGCGGCTCATCGCACAGAGCCCTGCCGATATCCAACGCATCACTGGTGAATCGACAGCTCAATTGATCCAGAGATGCTGCGGTGGCGGTTGCTGCATGAAGCTGGGGGCCAAGAAGGAAGGCCTTGAGTACGAGAGCATCCCCTTCCCCGACAACGATGCGTACAAGTCGCTCGCTCTCAAGATTGGCGAAATCCCCACAAACCTCACCAACATCGTCGACTTGCCCGAGCAAACCGTTTTCTTTGAGCCCGTACCTCGCTCCGCTGCCTCCGCTTCCTCCCCTACAGACTCTGCCATTTCTCTCGGCGCCGACGCTCGTGGGAATAAGGACGCCGGTCTCGCTACCGTCCAGAACCAACTCAAGAACTTCACCCACGACACCACCGACACCACCAAAGAGCCCCCCAGATACGTGCAGCCTCACCCCCCGTACCATGTGTACGCGGCCCGCATCGACTCGACGCGAGAGTTGACGAAGCCCGGCGCCGAGAAGCGCACTTACCACTTCGACCTCGACATCACAGGCTATCCGGGCGAGGAAGATATGGACTTCAGAGTTGGTGGTGCCATTGGAGTCATGGCACCTAACGATGCTGCCTGTGTTGATGACGTTTTCGACGTGCTCATGGTACCACGGTTCCTTCGGGACAAGCCGGTTCTCTTGAAGACCACAAAGGGTCGTTGGCCGACCGTGTGGGGCGACGACCAGGCCCGCGAGATGGTCACCACACGCCGGGACCTGCTGACCTGGTGCTCCGACATCCAGTCCTATCCCCCGACCAAGCAGCTTCTGCGGATCCTCGCCGAGTACGCAGACGATCCCAATGAGAAGAAGCTCCTGACGTTCCTTTGCTCCGCCGAAGGCCAGGGCGTCTTCTGTGACTTCCGCACCGGACCCCACGTTTCCTTGTCCCAGCTGCTGCACGCGTTCCCCAGCTCCCACCCGCCCTTGGATATGTTGCTGTCCGCTCTACAGACGCTGATGCCCCGTTTCTATTCTCTCTCAAATGACCCCCACGACGCCTACAAGACGCGCGATGGGAAGGTGCACCGTTTGATCGAGATCGCCGTCACAGTTCATGAGACCGCCGACTGGCGCCGCGGTCTCCGCACCGGCATCGGTTCTGGCTTCTTTGAGCGCCAGGCCCAAAAGTGGCTCGAGGCCAAAGGCAGGGGAGAGACCCCCGAGGTCTACATCCCCATGTTCAAGGGCCTCATGGCCAACCCTCTCGCCAAGCAATTTGTCTCGGATGGCCCCATGCTACTGATTGGTGCTGGCGTCGGTATTGCCCCTTTCAGAGGCTTCGTCCAGCGTCGCTTGAAGACGGCCAACTGCGCAAACAAGGTCTGGGTTCTACAGGGCATCCGCGACTCGCTCGTCGACGAAATTTACAGCGGCGAGTGGGGCGTGCACGAGGATGAGGTCAAGCGTGTCGTACAAAGTCGTCGTGGGGAGAGTCGCTACGTCCAAGAGGAGGTGCGCAACCAAGCCGACCTCGTATGGTACATTTCCAACGCCGTCGATGGTCGCGTCTTCGTCTGCGGGAGCACCAAGGGCATGGGCGAGGGTGTTGAGGAGGCTCTCGTCGATGTCGCCATGGAGAAGGGCAATCTCGAGCGCGAGGAGGCCAAGAAATACTGGGAGCTCAAGAAGGAGGCCGGCCAGTATATCGCCGAGACGTGGTAAGCGGGAAAACCCCCCGCATTAATACGCATCTCAATGGCCCGTGACGGATTTTACAAAAAGCCGGGTTCGCTGCTGACGTGGGCTATGAATCGGTCCTGTGCTGTGCCACAGCTTCGGGGATTACGGTGCGGCCTCGGTCGTCGGACCTAAGCGGCGGCCGAAACAAGAAACTTTAAAAGGAGCATGGATGAAGGCATACCGTTTGCACCCACACGGCGTTTTGGGGCGACGCGACTGAAGTGATTTCTGAACAAAACGAAAGAGTTGATACTGTTACAAGACAGGGGTTTTATTTCCTTGGCGTGGAAAGGGGTTCAATAGGCAAATGGGTCCGCATTTTGAGATGGCAATCCATCGACTGCTAATGGGTCATCAAAGAAGAGACAGCATTCATCGGGTTGTTTGTAGCGTTGTTGAGGTTTGCAATGGCTGTTGCACATGTATAGTATAGGCGATGACATTATTGTAGCACCAACAACAAATGATTAAACCTACTGATTTCTTTGGACTCGATAGGATAAAATGGTTGGCTGGTTTCCTTTGACGGAGATGCAAGGTACAAACTACCTACCTATTCGGGTGGGATGTGGGGGGGTGGGGGGGGGGGGGGGGGGCAGGGCCGTTTTCCTTTGCCACTATCGCCGCATCAATAGGTAAGCTACTCAGCATCTGATACAGCAAAATGGCCTATTTTCAAGTCGTTTACGATTTGCTCAAAGCCAAGGCACGAAATGCCAGAACAATAGATTTTCCACCTGTGCCTTGCCATCTAATGGGAATGGGGGCTCCTGAACTGATGGTATTCGTAGTGCTTTGGTGGTGATAATATGGCAACCGGCCCTGCTTCTTTTTCTTTTTCTTTTTTTGTCTTTTTGTCACCCGAGTACAACCTCAGCGTCATCCCTACACATTTTACATTCGAAATGTCGAGTACCGCGAGTGGCACCGAAAACAACAACAGCAATATGTGTCGACGGATAAGAAACTGCAGTGTCACGGAGACATGACCGACCTCGGCATGTTTTTGTCCTGGGTACCCTCCGCAGGGGGAGCTGTGGCAGAGCACATTGAATCGCCAAGCGGAGCGTTGCCTGCCAGAAACCCTCTCCCCTGGCGGACATATGCATGGCACTTGCAACCTCTCCGGCGAAACTGTGGGATGGCTGGTGTGGTCATGGTCGTGTGGCGTGCATGGACGTCTCGCCCAGAGCATTCGAACGGTTGTTTTAGGACCCCAAAGGCGGCTTCGACAAGTTCACAATGAGCGAAAGGCCGAAACTCCGTGCCCGTAGCTCCGTAATTCCGAGATAGGCGAGGACACAACCGGTGCTCCAGCCAGCCCTTGCTGGCATAGAACGCAGCCCGGGGACCGCCCTAATCCCGGATTGTATGCCTCAGCACAACATCGGGGCCGATGGGAGGAGCCTGCGTAGTGAATAAGTATCTGAGTCGATTCCCCGTCCGGGGGCATCTGTCTCCCGACTTTAGCAGCAGTCCGAGTCCGGGATCGAGCTACGCGCCGGTGATTGAGCTTCTCGGGGGTCCAGCATATGAACAACAATTCCCATGCACCACTCGAGTCACGGTGGGGGGGGGGAGAGACGGACGGACGGGTGGGTCCTCCCGCGCGGTTATGTGTCGAGTAGGCTTACTCAGCCACTAGTCATTCGGCCCTACTGCCACGCTGAGGAATCTCGCGCGCGGGGAGAGCCGCCATGGGAACGAGCCGTCGAGGGGAGCACCGAGGCAAGGAAGCCACCACGCAGTCGTTTGGTATGTAAGCAGACAGGCAATTCGAGCCGCGCGGGATCCCTCCCTCAGTGGGAGAAACATGTCAATAGTGTACTACTAGGTGGTCTCCCAAAAGCAACGACTGCCGCCCCAAAGTTAGCATGGTTAGGTGCGGACCTCTGCAGAAAAGGTAGACTTAGGATGCTTAACCCCCTGTCCCAACGAGGGAAAGCTGTTTTAGGTACCTTCTCACCGCCGATGATGAGGGAGTGAGGAAGGGGCTAAAGAGGAATAATATTCTAGAATATTCGTTGGCGGTTTGGATTCTTCGCAATCCCGCGCGAGGTCGTGACGTTTCCCGAGTTGTCAATGTCACCACCTCGTTCCGGGGAATTGTCTTGCATGTCCAGACAGTAGTGCAGCTATACTGTGGTCGTCGGCAAGGACGAAATGGAAATGGAATCCCCTTCAGTGGGAGTTGGGTGCGAGACTGGCGAATGGGAAGTACCTAGCACAAAGCCAGCCAGAGGGGATGATGCCGACCGTAGAAGTGGAAACGCCTGTCTCCATCATCCCGCCTTTTCCGTTCAGGATGGCGTCGTTCCTTCAGAGCACGCTATCGGTTTCATTTGCTTCGCCAGCAGGTCTCGTCGGTGCGTGCGTCATTGGTAATCGCCTTCTCTGATTACCACACGAATTGCTCAGCGGCCGCGCCCCACCAAACAGGTACCTGTTCCCCCTAAGACTCTCCACAGCGCTGGCGGGCGCAATTCCGGTCCGAAGGGGGGGGGGCTCGTCTGATGATCGGTACCGGATCGTGGGTGGAGGGGTACTCGACACGCTCTGGAGCGGGGGAAGTCGCTGTTGCTGTGCTGTCGATGGTGGGGGGAGCGGGTTGCATTGAGTTCTGAGACGTCCCTTTGGACGAGGGGGTAAACAAGGTGGGATGAGTGTTCCCCCGCTATATAACCCATCGGCACCTCCTCTCGCCAGCTATGTCCATGCCAGTATGATTTCCATTAATCGAACAGCTATCCAAGTAACCCGTAGACTTTCTCAACTCGGCTCTATCGTTGCCATCCCACCACGTAGACAACCTTTGTCCCGCACTTTCACCACCACCACAACCTTCAAAATGTCTGCTCTCAGCGCCAACGCCGTCCTCGAGGCCGTCAAGAACCGCCGCACCTACTATCCCTTGGCCAAGGAGACTCCCCTCTCCCGTGAGCGCATCGACGAGATCGTCAAGGAGGCCACCCGCCACGTCCCTTCCTCCTTCAACTCCCAGTCCAACCGAGTCGTCGTCCTGCACGGCGCCGAGCACGAGAAGTTCTGGGACATCGCCGTCAACGTCCTCAAGGCCATTGTCCCCGCCGAGTCTTGGGAATCCACCGGCGCCAAGCTCGCCATGTTCAAGGCCGCCGCCGGCTCCGTCCTCTTCTTCGAGGACCAGGACGTCGTCAACTCTTTCCAGGAGAAGTTCGCCATCTACGCCGACCGCTTCCCCGGCTGGGCCACCCAGTCCGACGCCATGCTGCAGTTCACCATCTGGACCGCCCTCGAGGCCGAGGGCCTCGGCGCCAACCTCCAGCACTACAACCCCCTCGTCGACCAGCAGGTCGCTGCCGAGTGGAAGATCCCCGCCAGCTGGAAACTCAACGCCCAGCTTGTCTTCGGCGGCAAGACCGGCGAGGCCGGCCCCAAGGAGTTCAAGCCCATCGAGGAGATCTTCAAGACCTTCAGCTCTTGAGATTGTCTTTTTTTTGAGTAAAACAACGCGAGGTTTAGAAATAGAGGACGGGAAAGAACGGATCAGTGGAGGAACACATCACAAAAAGCTGCATCTGCTGGAGTTTTATAAGGGTGCGGCAATCCTGCTTTGACCGTAGAAACATCTTAGCGATCGACTTGATGAATTTACGCATTGAATGATTGATTGATATCGTCCCATCGTCGTCAAGTTGGGCAAGAGTGTGCATGCAGGCCGTACTGACCAGCCAGTCGGATGGGAGCGGCCCATCGAAACGGGTGGGCTTGAAATAAGAATCTGACACCGTGCCGCTGGAACCTAAACTAGTGTTACAGAACTTTCTGTGCGAGGCTCTGCTGACGCTGTATGCCGCTAAATCTTTTTTTACAGATGGTCTGTGTTTTTCGGTATGCTGCGCGACGCTTCTGGTCGATTACATATGTGTACATGGGACACGTGTCCTGCAGAGACGAGATATTCTCACTCCTCCTCGACGTAGCCCAACGCCTGGCCCATCCTGACCGTCTGGCCCTTCTCAACGGCCCATCTCCATCCCTTCTTGTCCTCGGGAGTCTTGCCCTCCGTCGGTGCCTCAAAGACCAGCACAATCGTGCTACCCAGCTGGAAACCGCCCATTTCCTCGCCTCTGCGTAGAGCATGCCCGCCAAGCACAGGACTGGCAGAAGCATAGGTGGCTTCGGAAAAGCCTGTGTACGGCTCGCCACGGTTTGCGGCCTCCTCGGCAGCCCGGTCAGCCGCCGTGTCGGTGGTCAAGCTGTTGGTGCGCAGTTCTCGATCGAAGTTGATCTTGATGGAGCCAACGTTGGTGGCTCCAACAGGGACGTAGCTGAAGAACCCATAACGCCATCGGCCGAGCAGAACGACCCGCTCGTTGAGGGTGAAGAGGCCCGGCAGAGTGCGCTGGAGGTAAGGGGAAACGCTGAAGAGCTCACCGGCGAAGTGACGGCGTCTTTCGACGACCCAGTTTGCGGGTGAGTGGAAGCGGTGGTAATCTCCAGGAGCGAGGTAGATGACAGCGTAGTAGAGAGCGGTCTTGTTGTCTGGCGAGATGAGGTCGTACCAAGGCTTCTCGCCAAGAGCAAGATCGGCGCGGACCTCGGAGACGGCAGACGCCGACGGATGCTCGCCGGCCTCGTCCTTGAGAGACCCCCTCCGCTGGGACATGGCCGCACCCGACAGAAGGCTAGGAACCGTGTAAGAGATGCCATTGACGCGGGCGAACTCCTCGTCCGTCTTGACGAGGTCTTGGCTCGGGGAAACACTGTTCGAGTTCTCGGCCTCGACCTCCTGCGGCGTGGACCAGCCGCTTGAGATACTGGGCGTCGGGGTGTTCTTGCCGAGAAGGGCGTCTATGCTATACGTCATGCCCTTGACCTGCTCAATGTCTCCGCCCTGGATCTGGCCGTACTGCAGGACTCGACCGTCAGACGGGGAAAGCAGGGCGTTGGAATTCGGGTCGAGGGGACGGGCGCCGGGCTTAAGCTCACGGTAGAAGAAGGAGGCGAGGTTCGGGTACGTGTGCAGGTCGGGCTCGGCGACCTCAGATAAGCTAGTCGGCGGATTAGCATGTGTTCTTGTGCTGCGCCAAGGATGACTTACTTGACGCCGAAAATCCATGAATACAGCTTGAATCCGGGAACCCGTAGGTAGTATGGAATAGTCAATTCGTTGAAGCGACCCCATAGTCTCGAAATGGCCTTCAAGGGGAGCGTTGACATGACCTGGACCTGCCAGGGTCCATCGGGCCTGATCTTCGCACGCTTCTTGGGTGGTGGCGCGCCATCCTGAACCTCGCCCCTCTCCTCCTTTTCACGCTCGCGCGATGAGACCTTGTAGAACTGAACCAAGCCAAGGAAGCCAATTCCGACTCCAACGGGAATCTGGTACCATTGGACCTTTGAATTCTTGAGGGCGTGGCGCAGGCGGGAGGAGAAGCGCGGGCGCTGCTGCTGCTGAGAGAAGAATCTGGTCGAGGCGAAGGGCCCCGGGATGGAGAAGAATTTGGCAGCCCTTAGCTGGCTCTGGCGAGCGTACAGCGTGGCCATGATGTTTGGGAGACCTCAGTCGAGGTGCAAGATTTGGGCCTCGAACTTTTGCTGGGTATGCAGGGACGGCAATGGCCAGGCGATGACAGATGGGTCGAGCGACCGACTTGCGCCGAGAGCTTGCAGGTCAGCGACAGCTGTGGGATGACGCAGCACAAACCATGTGAGCGCTAGACCGCTTTAGGCGCAAATGTAACGTTCTTCGTCCGGAACCACCACGCCGGATCGAAATACAGCATACCTACTAATACTGAGCTCAATCCGTTTCAAGAACTTGTTTTCTTTCTTGCATTCTGTTTGATAAACTTATTCGGCAGGCAGTGCCGGCAATCATTCAGCTCTCAATTCAGGGTGGTTCAATTTCTGGCCTGCGCGGTTGGTTCCAGGGGGTTCTGCTTCCCCGTCGGAGGTGGCGACAGGTCAGCTCCAGCTTTGGTAGATTTCTTCAGAGGATGACCGAGATGCTGCAAGCCAATCTTGCTGTAATATAATTCGGTCAATATGCCTCTCATCCTCCGGGTTCTTGGCTGCTCAAAACATGAACAAGTCGCCGGTGCTACCGTTGCGTAAGTTGTCTTCGGCAATCAGTAATTACTACCGAACTGATTAATTACTTCTACCTGAAGTTCAGCAGACTGGTCTTCTCTCCGTCATTTATATAAATATATATTTAAAAAAGCCGGTCAAATGAATTTTCCACATATCCTTAGCCCGGAACATTACCTTCGTCATGGTCACAGCGGGCGTCGCCAAAACTGTGCTCAGTTTGACATGGCTTCTGTAACATCTCCTCGGTTAGGTCCAAATATAGGCAAATCCTATACATCTAGCTCCTCTACATTCTCACTATCATCCCGGTATTATTTTCGACCTATGGCGGTTTTCAGTAAAAGTGTTACCCGAAGTAGGTGCTTTGCATGCTTGACGGACTCTTCCCTGTAACGAATGCGCTTGCTCCCATGTTTATTTCCATACTGGATTCGTTCTTTAGCTTTGACTGGTCGTGCTGATAACCTGTTTCCCAGTGCGCCCAAACGAATGTTCCAGCACCCTGCACCGTATCCTGAGTTGGACGTTGTGTGTAGGATGGGGGGGACCTTGCCAAGTTGCTCATACTGATTTAGCCCAAGGTGCTTGGTCCTGGTGAACAATCAGAGGGTCCATCCCATCACAGAGCTTATATAATCAGCATGACACAACCCGCCTAATCGGGACGGCGTGCATGGATCGGGCCTTCCAGTTCCCCAGGGACAGGTTACGTACCCACGTTTTTGGTGAGGCCAGGGGGCCTCGTACCTGAGTTACACTACAGTCTGCAGTCAGTCGGGGAGCAACACATGTCCTAAATTTCCACGTTACGAACGACACGGTGACATGAGCATCGTGTCCTTGCACACCTACAACCATCTGCCTTTCGCGAACTCTCCGACGAACCTGCCGCGCTGCGCTCCGCGTGGCATGACCGATAGGCCTCACCATGGCCTCAGAAGGCTCGTCTTCGACTGCGCACCCTGCGCCAGAGGCTGCTTCTGACCACCTGTCCATAAACCTGCAGGTGCTGTCACCATCGACCGCAGCGAACTCTAGCCGGCCCTTGGTGTTTCCTGGCCTTGCCGCCACCACGACGGTCAAGCAGCTCAAGGAAAAAATCCGCCAAGCTCTTCCGCTGAAACCGAGCGATTCTCAACAGCGACTGATCTACCGCGGGCGTGTGCTACAGCCGGATGGAGAGACTCTCCTTAGCGTCATCGGTGAGGGAGTCGTACGTTCCCCCTCCCCCCTTTTACTAGATTCATGTTACTGATTGACTTGGATACAGATCCGCACCACCGACCAGCAGACGATTCACCTTGTGCTCCGAGATGTGGCCGAACCCCAACCCTCCACGACCCCGACACCGTCAGTGGCTAGAGGAACAAGCCCGGCGCCACCGAATGCTCATTTTCATCAGACGTTTGGTCAGCCTCACCACACACATCACCATGGCAGCCAGCCCACAGCGGCGGCCTTTACGAGACGAACTCCGCTGCATCCGGCAGCAAACAATCCCCTCCCATTCGTCACGCCGTCCCAGATACCCGCCAACCTGACGCCGCAGCAGCTCCAGCAGATACAAGCGCAACAGCACCAGAGTATGGCGGCGTGGATGAACGGACTGCAACGCGAGGCAATGAATAGGGCCATGGCGAATCAGCAGATCAACCAGAACCAAGCCATGAGAGCCTCGATGGGCATGCATGGTGCCGGCGATACGGCCGGTGCGGCTCCAAACCCTGCCGATCCCACGCGTGGACGGGTCAGCCCGCTCAACAATCCAGACGTACAAACGTACGTAAGGGAGGGCCTGATGCCGAATGGCCAGCCGTACCGTGTGACGGTTAATGAGACCTTCCTCGGCGGATCGTTGAACGTCCATCAACCCGGTGGTCAAAGTACCACTACGGCTTTGTCGGCTTTTGATGTGCAAAACATCCTCCGAGCTGCCGATAGCACCCAGGCCACTCTGGCCTTGACAAACGCCATGCAGAGAAGTGCCTCGAGCACTTCCCTCGCCAACGGCAGTTCTTCCGTGGGCGTTACAACCCCATACTACCCGACACTCGGTTCGAGAGCCAGCAGCAGACGGCCCACGCCTGATCCAACCGCGCGCTCGGCGAGTGGCGGTAGCGGACACTCTACGAATGCTCAGCGACAGACGCAGTCTGGTCCAGAGGTTTACATCCTATCATCGCCCCAGGGTCCTCGAGCCATCCTGATCAACAACGCGACGGACTCGTACTATACCCCTTCTGCCAGGAGGCCGGCGCACACCACTTCGGCTCTTCAGCAGACGGCGTCGGCCCTGGCTAGAATGAGAGCTCGCCCTCAGCACATGGCCTGGCCGTCAGCTTTCGTGACTCCGCCGGCTCACCAAGAAGGGCCGCAGCCGGCCCAACAGGCTGAGGCTCAAGGCCCGGCCCAGCCTCAGCCGGAAGCGCAGCCATTGCTTCAGCCCCAAGGGCAACCGCCGGTGGCCGCTGTGCCTGTCCATCCTAACAACCCAGGCATCGCTCCATTGATTGCGCAAGTGTGGCCGCACTTCTGGCTTGTCGTCAGGCTTGCCCTGTTTGTGTGGTGGTTCACCTCGCCCAATGCCAGCTGGTCGAGATGGTTCACTGTGGTAGTCATTGCCGCCAGCATCTTCATCCTGAATACGGGACTGCTCAACAACTATTTCGACCAGGCTGTGGGACCGGTCAGACGCCATATGGAGAATCTGATCCCCCTTGCTGCTCCGAATAACGCCAACGAACCTGTCCATCCCCCCAACAACCAACCGGTTGTTGGGCCCAACGGTCAACCGGATCCGACACGCGCTGCAGCCAGACTCGTGGCTCAGCGGAGACGCAATAATGCGAACTGGCTGATGGATCAGGCACGCCGGCTCGAGAGAGCAGGTCTTCTATTTCTTGCTAGCATCGCCCCAGGCGTTGCTGAACGGCACATCGCTCATCTTGAGGCTGAGGCACGCGCGGAACGACAGAGACAGGAGGAGGCAGAAGCTGCTGCCACAGCGGCCGCAGAGGCTGCAGAGGCTGCGGCAAACAGAGCGAACACTGAAACTCAAAACAACGACGATACGACGGAGAATGCAGGACACAATGAAGCGGGGAACGGAAACGAGGCTCAGAGCGAGCCTCATGAAGGAGGCCAGCGACCAGCAGAAGAACAGCAACCCCTGCTGGTGTAGTGGTGTTGAGGCATTGGGATCCGCATGGAATGGGGTGAGGATTGTTGTACAATACAGATTACCCCCTGGACGCTTCGATGACGTCCCTTGGCGCATGGAGTCGGGTGTAGAGCGTTGTCATCGGAAGCACAGTATCAATGCATCTTGCTTATAGTTCAGCATCAGCCTTTCTGCTTTTCGAGTGCTTTCTCTGTACCTCACGGAAAGCCAGGCATAAGCATTTGTTTCGTTGTCCCATTGGATGGCTGACACCTTGCCGTGACAGCATCGTGCATTCACCCTCGACTATCATGTCTTCCCTCTTTAACCTCTCGTGAGTTGCACCGCTTAGCCATAAGGACCCCTAACGACGAAATTAGTCGGGACTAATTCGACCTCTACAAATACCACACCTTTTCTTTACTTTTTTTTCTTGTCCTTTCCCCCCGTCTCATCCCCTTCTCAGAGGGTGATTTCCTTTTCTTGAATAGCTCCGTCTCTGCATCGTCTATCACCAGATCACAAGGTTTGATAAAAATAAAAATAAAAATAAAAGTCATTCGGCTATATCAACCTTATCATCATTCGTGTAAGAAATGCGAAATAACCCAGTGTAACACCACAGTCCCTAGCGCCATTAAGTCGTCATTAACTCGTCGTGGGGATCGTGAGCCCCAAAACCCAGAAATCCATATCAAGATAGCACACTGCCTCTCCGTGCGTGTGTCTATCAAACGCCAGACAATGTATATGTAAAGATTAGAGCACCTCTCCGCGCGCACAATTTTGACTCGGGCGGCAGTGCCCTTTGGGTCAACGACGACGTGTGTCTTTTGCCACCAGCGGGGCACATTTGGAGTTGCCGGGCTCCTGACCGTTGGGGACTGCTCCTCAGAAGCCTCGTCTTTGGCCGTAGGCTTGTCTTCGGCCATTTCTTCACTTCGTTTGAGAACCCTTGGTCGGAAGATTTCTCCGGGGTCTGGTATCCCTTCGCTTTCCACTTGTCCTAGCCCTTCCTCGACACAGTGTTGGAAGAATCGACATCGGGATCCAAAGATGCAGCGGGGACTAGAGTGGAAGAGGGACGGGAGGAGGAAGAGGAAGAGGGAGAGGAACCAGAATATTCCCCCTCGACCTTGTCCTCTACAACACCGTGGCGGTAATAGCAGTTGGGTCTCTTGCAATCATCGCCGTACCAGCAAACCTTGCTTCGCTCTCGCTTCAGCTTCTCCGGGTCGGCGAGGGCATCTTGCTCCACCTCTGCTAAAGGGGGAGCAGTGTATCCGTCTGTCACGGGCAGTGCAGCGTAAGCGACTAAGCGGGGCGTGGGGGGCGAGATTGACCTTGACTCTGGAGGGGTGTCCGGGAGCTGGTAGAGCTGCTGATACTGGTACTGATGGGCCTGGGGAGGATCGTTGCTGAACTGGGCTTCCATGGGCATGACGTAGCCTTCCGGATAAACGGGCGCAAATGGGCTGTAGTAGGAGATCCCATGCTCCGGATAGTAATCAGTACGGACTGGGTGATGTTCGGCGGAGGGGAACCCAAGCATCGATGGCACCGGATGCTCGTAGGGCTGGAAATGGACCTGTCCGTAAGGGTTGATGTTGTTTAAGTGATAACCCAAGTACTGAGAGCCATATCCGGGACGTTCATGGTAACCATTGTCCGAGTTCGGATCGATGACTGGCCACTGGGTAAATGAATGGGCTGCGGGGATGGGGGCGTGCTGCTGATAGCGAGGCACAAAGGGGGTTGCCTCCTGGGGATACAGATGTGGAGGACGGTGCAGTGGAGGAGTGGGAGGTGCGTTCTCGACGGGGGGCGGGAGACGCGGCGCATGCTGAGGGCGATGGGGGAAATCGCACTTCTCTGGGGTCTGCCAGTATACACACTTTCCCTGTCTGAAGTGACGGCAGGTACTGCGTCTTTCCTTGTTTTTCCAATACATGTTCGGAGCGGCGTAGAGGGTGTTGTCGTTGGAAAGCCTAATCGTGGCTCTCGCAGGGCAAGTATGCGTCAAAGATTCAGAAGGCCACTGTTGATGCTGAGAAAATGCATTGTCCATGGGGGACTGTTGCAGTTGAAACACCAGGAAAAGACGGCCTTCTAATATGTCAAGGATGGCATCGGAGATGGGTCTGGTGAATCCAGTCAAGGTTTGGTCAACAGCCGGGTAGCGAGAGTCGTGGCAGTGAATGGATTACGGAGATAGGATTGGTTGTGGCTGTATGTACCCATTTCAAGAGTCGCTGTTCCTACATCTTTGACGCATCCTTGGACATTTATTGTGACTTGTTCCGGCAAGCAGAGGGTCTGTGACGCCGTGATTCATGAGCAATAGAAGCATGTTTGGATTTCCATCGTGGGTGATTCAGAGGCAGAGAAGCAAACACAACAGGCCGGTAGACCTAGCTACCCACCCATGCACGACGAATCTTCAACTGACGCCAAACCACATGGCGGGGATGAGTGACGGCTGTTCTGGGTGCTGTTGGAGAACATCATGTGCGGCGGTGAATCAATCCTGCACCTAATCAAAGATGGACTGTTCATCGTGGTCCACACACTCATCTCTCACCCACGTGGCGCCGGCTGAGCGGGCCTGGCATGAGACCCGGGCCCCGGAGTGGAGCAGCATGCGTCCGGCCGATCTCCCGCATCGGAGCAAAGTGGATCAGGCAGGGCCCTGATACCTATACCTACCTAGATAGGCGGGGGGGACAAGGTTGGCGTGCTGAGTCGCATCGCAGATGGGCGCTACCGTCCGATTCGCGACTGTGCGGCAGGGCGCCGTCGGGCGCCGTCGACGGACTGACACTTTGACAGCGCCCGTAGTTGATTAGTCGACGGATTTGGCCACGAGGACTGACGGGCCGCTCGCGGTCTTCTTTTTCCTCCCCTCTGGCTACCTGGGTCGGCTGGAGGAACGGACCCTCTTGGACCCGAACACGGACACAGACACGGCAAGGGGGTTTGGGAATGTAGCACTTTGACGACGGGATCTGAAAAAGACGAAAAAATCACGGATACGACCTGGTCATTCGGCGCGTGGGAGATGTTTCCAGGCGTCGAGAGGAACGAGAGACAGAGAGAGAGTCAAGTCAATTACCGATAGCATAGAATGCCCCTCTCAGAAAGGGCGGATTTTGGGGCAAGATGCTGGCTATTATTTGATAACAGGAGTGGAGGGGATTGTCTCAGCGGAACTGAACCCCTTTCCGAGGAATCATGTCGAGCTGCAGTGTTCCGGACGCAAACAAAGAATGGCATTATTGGTTGCGGCAGACGACACAATACTACGTAGGATGTCGAGGAAGAACAAGGGATTACGGCTGAGCACGGTCGTCGAGGAAAGGGGGGGCGTTGGACAAAGAATCGAGCCGGAGCATGAAACCCCAGAGGGATTGAAACCAGTGGGCTGCGCCAGGGTTGCCTGTCACCCTACCATTCCAGAGCGCTCTTTGGCTGGCTTCGACTGCGTAGTCGGCAGGCAGTGCCGCAATGGGGTGTGTGTGTGTGTGTGTGTGTGTCCTTGACCCGACATGGCTTAGGCCTAACCGTCCGGGCGGGTGCTGTTCATGCGTGGGCTTTCTTTCATTCTCACACCGTTGTCCCCGTTCCCGTTGGATCTCGTTGTGAGCTGTCTCCGTGGGTGGGTACGGTATGTTTTGGGGGTTGCCTGCTAGCGGAAGATGGATGGCTTTGGCACGGGGAGACGAAAAGGGGGCTTGCGACGGGCTCGTTCGACGGACCCGGAATGGCAAATGGTTGCTGAAGAAACTAAAAGTCATGCGATGGCCGACCCGGGCTGGACAATTGGTCAGCACGCTGCGAGCGAGGAAGCAGAGGGAGAGAGGGAGAGAGAGGGAGAGAGAGGGAGAGAGAGAGAGAGAGAGAGAGAGAGAGAGAGAGAGAGAGAGAGAGAGAGAGAGAAAGAGAGAGAGAGGTGGAGAGAGAGAGAGGTGGAGAGGGAAGGGGGCCGTTCTCGAGAGACAGATCTCTCTCTGCCCGCCCCAGTCTTCGTCCAGTCTCCGTCTCTCGCCGGCGGCTCCAATGCATCCGGCGGTTGAACAGCAGTATGTTCACCGGGCCCCCTTCGGCGTGGTACGGGCGGATGGGGGGGTACCTTTCGTCTGTCCTGATGGCATTCCCAGATACGGACGGATACAGACACAGTACATACAGTACACCAGACCAGACTACAGGAGCGAATGACGCCTCGGGGTCGGGCAAACAGGAAAGACTGGCGTTAGAAGAAGTGGCAGAATGGAGCTGGAACTGGAGCTGGATGACCCATCAACCAGCGTCATGCAAGCCTGGGAACAGGGTAGAAGGAAGAAGAGGAAGGGCCGGCGGTACGCAGCATTCCCCGCCACATGTTAAGACGGCGCACTGAAAACAGGCAGAAGCTCTAACATGACCAACCCAGTTCACGTGTATCGGAACCCCTGGCCTTCCCGGTATCCTTGGACGATGCCGTGCCGCGCCCGTCCGTCTCGTCGTCAGTGTGGACATTGGACAGTGGACGAGCAGTGTGCCCAGTGCCACCGTCACAACGTTGACGTTGCAAGTGACCTGCCGCGACGCTGATGCTGATGCAGATGCAGATGCAGATGCAAAATGCAGATCCAGGAACCTTACGCCAACGCTATAGACGACGACCTTCTGTCATCCTACGTTTTCCTCCTTCTCCCTCTTTTGCCTTCTCCAATCTGTGGCACCTTCTCCCCCACCCCTATCTAACTCAACACCACCAAACCTGCACAACCAACCTTACCAAGCGCTAGCTAGACATATCAACTGACCTACAGTACATCTTGTAGTGTACAGTTGTCCGAGTCCCTGCTTGACTTTCTTTTTGCTTCTCAGCTCTCTCTCTCTCTCTCTATTTTATTTTCGACTCTGCACGTCCATCCAAATCTATGATCCTGTCTTGAACCTTGGCTCCCCTCCTCAACCTCTAAACAAACTAAACCACGTCCGTCCCCGCCCGACGAACAACGAACCCAGTACATGCAATCACCTATCCAACGACCGGCTTACCTGTGCCGCTAGTCCTCTTACTCGGATTTTTTTTTCCTCTTGCTTTTTTTTCTTTTTCTTTTTTCTTATATCGTATTCTCTTATTGCTCTCTCGTATCCTCCCCCCCTTCCCCTTCGTCTCAATACTCTACGACGCCCTGCATTACACTGCGTCGATACCAGATCCCTCACCACGGTCCATTGAACCCTACCTACCCAGGTACTTACCCATCGCTCCCTGCCTAGGCAGGCAAGATAGCGCCCGTAGCGACGCCACTGCAAGCACCAGACCGGCCAGTCCGCCCACACGCCCCATCCACCTGCGACTTGGGTCGGTCGGAGAACTGTGACAACGAAACCTCTCGCACTGCTCTTCCCCAGCCTGCCTATACTTTCGCCCACCGTCGTTGCGGCACCTACCATACTGTAACCGCCCAATCGACCGACCACAGACAGACAGGAAGGATCCACGGCCTCGACGACGACGATAACGCTTTCATCTCACCCCATCCTGATCTGATCCAACCCCATCGACCGCCCTCTTGCCTTCTGATTCAATTCACCCACCCTAGCGACTTGCCTTTCCGCCTTTGCATTGCCTGTCTGTCGACAACGACGACTTTCCTTTTTGACGCCCTTTTCGCCTTTTACAGCGCCTATCGCCCTGCCCTTCTCTTCGCCTGCTTTCACAACTGTCCATTTGCCCGCGAATGCTGCTTTCGCGGCGGTGACGCCAGCCGTCCCTCCTCTCGATCGACCGATCCCACCTTACTAACCTCCATCCTCCCCCGCCTCCCATCGACCGACCGATCGACTGACCGGATTGAATCGACAAACGTCGCTGCCTCCCCGTCATGGCACCGACAACCCCCTCATCGGCGCTGAATGGTGTCGTCATCGGACTGCTGTCGTCTTTTGGCTCCGCCGTGCTTATCGCCCTCGTTTTCCTCGTCATCTACTTCTTCAGGTACACGGCCAGCGGCCGCATCTTCCTCGATCGCATCGGACGACCCGGCGAGTACGACGATGAGCAGGCCTTCGCCAAGGAGGAGACCGAGGCCCTCGAGTCCATGGATGACATGCAGAGGACCGAGTACCTCAGGGCAAAAGGTAGGCCTACACTTCGTCTTCGCTACCGCCATATTCACAGACCACTGACCCCGAGTCCAGCATTCATCCAAGCGAACCCGCCCGAGTCCCTCCAGACCGACATCTCTCTGTCGCAATACCTCGCCATCCAAGAAAAGGGTGTCTCTGCGTGGGAGTTCGAGCCCGAATTGGAAATCGCCAACTGCTTTGTCGAAGGCCGCACCGAGATTGAGTTCTTCGACTCCGAATGCACCGTCATGAGCAACCTGCCCGTGCCCAAGCAGAACGAGGTCTACTACTGGGAGGCAAAGATCTACGATAAGCCCGAAAATACCTTGATCAGTATCGGCATGGCCACGAAGCCCTACCCTTTGTTCAGGCTGCCTGGTATGTCATTCCCGTCTCCGACACAACCGCGCGACGCTAACCGTCCAGGCTTCCACAAACATTCCGCAGCCTATCTGTCAGCGGGCCAGCGACGTTGCAACCAGCCCTTCGCGGCGACGCCCTACGGCCCTCAATATGTCCAGGGCGACGTAATCGGTGTCGGCTACCGTCCCCGAACCGGCACCATCTTCTTCACCCGGAACGGCAAGAAACTGGAAGATGTCATTCACGGCGTCAAGTCCCAGAACTTCTTCCCCGCCGTCGGGGCCAACGGGCCCTGCATTGTGCACGTCAACTTTGGCCAGGCCGGCTTCGTCTTCATCGAGGCTAACGTCAAGAAGTGGGGACTTGCCCCGATGACGGGCAGCCTCGCGCCGCCGCCGCCCTACGGCTCCGAGCAGGGAGACATCCTGCTGGAGGCCGGTCGCAAAGACGGGTACACGGGTGGCGGGCACCAGCGAGCGCCCTCGCAGACCCAGTCCTACAACCAAGCTAGCCTGGGACCTCGGCATGGGCGGACAAGAAGCGGGAACTTCAGAGTACTACCACCGAGGAGCCCCGGTCCCGTAAGAAGCCCGACTGACATCTCTCTGACACACTTCGTCCCCGACGACGAGGGCGGCGAGCCAAGCAGCAGCAGCAATCGCGGGCACGAGGGGCAAAGCGTTGTAGGGCTTGGGCTTCAAGACGCCTTGAACCCGCCACCTGAATACACGAGCCCCGACAACTCGGAGGCCGGCAGTCGCCGGAACAGCACGGACAGCGAGAACACGCCGTTGATACGGGTTCTCAACCGCAATCGGGGCGCTTCTACGACCGGCGGTAGCGGACCTTCGCACCCTCCGATACCCAGCTATACCGATGCGGTGCGAGCCGGCGCGGGACGGGAGGGGAACAGCACTCCACGACCTAACCGACACGCCAACAGGTCGAGGTCGCAGAGCGCACAATGATATTTGAACTCAAACTGCTGGGCAGGACGACATGATACCATGGCCGAAGCCAGCCGGTGGGCCCCCATCGGGAGGGGCAAGGAGTTGAGGATGGTGAAGCGGTTAAAGCCGCCATAATGTGGTGTTTAGGGCCAGAGCACGCGGAAATCCTGAAACCTGGCGATCTAGGAGTTTGGCATTTTTTTTCTCTCTCAAATTTGTTTTTTGGAATAGATGGGATGCTGGCCTGTCTTCGTCGAAAGGGAATCCGGGGAAAGGAAAGGAAAGGGCTTTTTGCTTTGCTTTTGTTAACCAGGTTGGTCCGGCCGCGAGCTTCATGATACCTTTGGACCTGACCGCGAATCATCGAATTGACGCATCTACTCTCTTTTGTGGTTTGGATTGGTGTGCGTTTGCGGTCTTTTCCCCTTACTCTCACGCCATTTCTGTTCTGCCCCGAATGTACGAAAGAATTCGCACACACACAAAAAAAAGCAAGAGTCATGGGGATGGGATATTTGCCGGCCCAGAGCGCGAACTATACATGTACACAGACATCTGCATCAATCATACCAGTGTATAGGAGTTTACATATGTCGACACGACCTCTGAGCCTCACGTAGCGTGGGTCATGTCAACCAGACGGTTCCCAACTACCCAGGACGATCGGTTCCCGCAGCCCGTCATGGTAGAGTTATAGCAAGGTCTCATATTGTCGCGGCGTGACAGAGCATAAGGTTACTTTCGCACGTCGTGCATGAGTAATAAGCCAGGGTCGCGAAACACAAAATAAAATAAACAGGACATGGTAGTAGTCCGGCTCTCAGAAGGATATAGCTGCGAGAGCTTCGACTTGCTATTTTCGAGGTCTTGCACTTCCATCATCAGAAGGCAAAACTACCTTCATAACCCCTTATTACAGCATGAAGTAACTCCTTATCGAAACGCTACCCACCTTACCGTTTTCACCGTTTCGAATCTATCCATCGCCGCACAACGAACAATGCTCAGATATGCGTACCCTACCACTTGAGGTGAGGCCCCTATCTTCCTACTTCTTTTTTTGTCTTTCCAAAAAGGAGTGCATGTTTTCTAGTTCAGCGGAATGGTCTCGGACATCTACAAGCCCCATCTCCCTTGGCCCGAACAGAGTCCATCTTCCTCCGACAGGTAGGCAATACATAGTAAACGCCCGCGGAGGAACTCCGACTGCTTGGCCAACTGCTTATACCTGGCACGCAATTCGGCGGCGGATCCCCGACCAAAAGTGGAGGAACGGGCGATGGCGCGCCCCCCCACCCGCAGGCGTCGTGTCCAGCGGGTGATCTAGGGAACCCATCTCCACAGCGGGACGGCTGGCGGACGCACTGGCCCCCCCCCCCCCCCCCCCGGGCGAAATACGACGCGCGCGCATTGACCACACAAGGAACGATGCTCAAAGCCGGTGGCCCGAACCGGGACGTAGGCGGTGCGGTGGCGGTAGGTGACGGGCAACGCCCTCTACCTTTCCTCCGGAGAATGAGGGCGGACCTGACCTGAGAGCAGGGCAATACGGCCAGAGCCCCGTGGTTGCGCAACGACGCCTCAAACGCCGAGGCAGTCCAGGGAGGCGCCCCGGGCTGCGGAGACAAGGTCACCAGTAGGATGAGGGCCAGACGGGAAGGCACCGAGATCAAGCCGAAAAGTAACGAACTTAATATCACACAAAACATTGGAGAGGCCCGGGCTGCGCAAGATGGCGGTTTCAGACTTTGTCATCGCCGTATGTACAGCAGTAGATGGATAGCAAAGCCCCATTTGCAGATGCCGGTAACGACCATGTTGGAGCAAGTGTGTTTGCAGATGTCTTGACGGCGGAGCTACTCCGACCGTCCGCGAGCCACAGCTGTCTGATTCCAATGGCGTATAGGTAGGCGTTGGTGTGGAGCTGTCGGAATAATGGATCGGGCGTACGGAGTAAAGAGAGAATGAATATGGATGACTGGAACAGGGCCCGTGAGGCGCCAGAAAGCGGTCCGCCTTCATTCCCAGCGGCTGGGATCTTTGCTGGTCTTCGTTCATGCCCTCCACGAGGAAAAGACCCCCTTATCAGCTCACTTGTTGGAGAACGTGTCGGACGCCGAGTTTTCCAATGGGTATGGTCACGGTCGCATGTGACAGTTGATCTTCAGGATGTGAACGGCTGGCCGTGAGGTCGACGCTTATGTTACGGACCCGAAGGGGGTTTGTAGAGTCCGCCTTTAACAAGCGGGGCGAAGGTGGGGGACGGCATCGATTCGATACACGCCCTGGCAGAATGGTTTCCTTCAACCCGAAATCGAACAAGACGATGTTGCGGTGGTGAGAAAGGGGGTGGGAGACGACGGCTGCCTAGATTCAGTACGCACTCTTCTCAGAGCCATGTACAAGCAAGAACTGTTCACTCGACTATAGGACCAACCTCTTTCAATCATGGCTAAGAGACTCTATCTCTAGTGCCTCGGCAAATGTTCTCTTGGTTTTGGTTTTGCTAGAGTCTAGACGTGGCCGACGGCTGGCACCGCCGTGCTCTCCTCCATCCGCCCTCGAGAGGAGTGGGGCTATACCGAGTCCTATACTTCTCTGGGCCCTTGTCTGAGGGTTATGGAAGCATTCGTAGTCCTCTGGGCTGCAGGCCTTTGGCCCCTACTGGTGTTTCGGCAGTCCAGTGCGACGTTTCGCGCGACAAAGCCCCGGCACAGGGTCACGGAGAGATATCTGACGGCTGACGCGCAGAACGGGGATATACAGCCCACAACGATCAAGCAAACGTATCATGGCTTTTTGTCTCCGATGGCTGGTGTCCTCTCGAGTGAAGTCAGGGCGGGACGGTTCTTGAAGATGGTCGTCTCTACTGTCGAGAAGTGTTTCGCAGACAGTAGCTATCTTCATTCCCTGCGGTTGCCTTCTCAGGTATAATTTTGGGACGCCCTCGAGGAGCCGCTATACTCGAGGCTAGGATAGTAGAACGCCATGACGGGGCGGATCACCGAAGCGGTGTTGGCCAGCCAGTTCTGGGAGCTCAGAGGCTGGGAGGTGGGAGTGGACAAAGGAAATTGGGCCGCAGGTGGTCACCCGCAAGTAGTCTGTCTTCATTATGTGGCAAATCTTTCGTTTTTGTCCCTCGCGGGAGTCCATATCACTGCCGCCAGCAGACTTCATTCGAGCCGGCTTTGCTTATACGGTTGGGAGGCGAGGGGAGGCGACACTCGGCAGACATACAAAGAACTCGCGCTCACGACGGGTTCCACGCCTCACTGTGCCCGAGGACCGACATTCTTACCACTTTGCCTCCCTCTCTTTGCATACTATCATCAGCAGTCTTGTGGTGTCTGGCAACCCCGGTTCGTAGCCGTCCTCACTCGCCGCATCCCACAAGGCAGGGAGGAACATAACCAACGGCCGACCTGTGATTGCGCATTGTAGTATCTCTGCAGTATTTCAACAGGGGAAAAATGAATAAATAGATTGGGTCACTTACCATGGCAGCATCCATGAGGAAATGACTGTCCTCCGTCTCGCGGGCCTCTAGAGGGTTTTCAAGCCATCCGAGGTCACGCGGAGTCCGCAAGTCTTGTAAGTCAATGTGGAATTTTGTGAGTTGGAGAAAGTTGTCTTCTGTGTCTTTTTCTTCTTGATTTGTATAATAAGATGGACGGATGGATAGGTAAAGTAAATAAATGTACTGCAATCCAATGAAAATGGTACACAAAGACATGGGCACATTCTATACAGACAACTCGACTCTGGATTATAAGAGCTAACTGACTAATGATTATCATAAAACATATCAGTAGGCAACTGCCATTTCCCCCCAAGCCCTAACTAGGCGAGCAACAACTCATGCCACACCTCTAGTAAAACAGAGCAGAATGCAATCAAAACCACCTTAGGTGAGTGAGTGGGTGAGTGAGTGAGAGAGACCACCAAATGCCAAAATACAAAAAAGCTGTGCTCTATTTTGTGTGGAATTTAACCACCGAATCCTCCCCGAGGTGGGCTCGAACCACCAACCTCCAGATTAACAGTCTGACGCGCTAGCCAATTGTGCCATCGGGGATGAGCTTAAGCGAGCCGCTTAGGGACGCTGCGTTGAGTGAGCGGGGGGTTTGACGTCCCTTGTAGCTGCTCTCACTTGATGACGACCTCCCCCCCCCCCCCCCCCCCCCCCCTGCTTGCCTGGACCCTGCCGATCTATGATTTTCGACACAAACTACGTATAGACGCAGCTCACAATTTCATCGACAGCCTTATTGATCCGCAAAGCCCAGCCCAGCCCAGCTCCAGTCCCGCTCGGCGAAAAAGTTACGCGCCCGCGGCTCAGTGCAGCCGACATGTCATCTGCGTTGTGTCAAACATTGTCAGTCACTGGCAACCGTCTCCCGCGGGCCAGATGACGGGGCGCTTACTATGCGAACCGAATCCTTTGAGGCGTTCTGAACCTCACTCTCCCGGAGAGTTCATCGTGGACCCGAGGCGGCGCAGATAGCACACCGCCAGCCTAGCCCGCCCCGTCCGATGTCTTTATTTGGTATGGAAATCTGGGCGGAATCCCGGCCCCTCAGCAGATAACAATAACTGCACGTGGCCGGCCGGTCCTGGTACACCCCTATTCACGGGTAAATCCCATGACGGCGCCGGTGCCACCGTGGGGTTCCAGTTCTCCGGTTTGCAATTTCGCAACAGAGTTTTGCTTGGATTCAGACATCCCTCACCCACCACCCCTTGGAGGCTCGCAAATTAGGCAGCCCCCCGTCTCCGGGTCCAGGACCTCAATTAACGCAGCCCTCTCGAGTGCCGAAGTTCCAGCGCATCTGGGATCGCGACTCGTGAGGAAGCTGGTGTCTCCTGCCCCCCCCCCTTTGGTCCGATAGTGCCCCCCTCTGGTCCGATAGTTCAAACCCTCGAAACAATAAAGGGGCTGTGCCGCCTCACGGCACCTCCCCTCTGGCTCGAGGATGCCGAACATGCTGGGTTCACCGCCGCCGCCGTCCTACAACTCGGCCGGGGTGCGCCGGTGTCGAGACCCGACCAACGTTCAAAAGGTGGCCAGCAACCCCCTACTCCTTTTTCATTTTTTGACGTTACCCGGGGAGCGCGTATTTCCCCGTTTTTTTAGCTGACCCATACTCTCGGATGCTCATTAGCGGCATACACTTGGCACATCCAAATAAGCCGTCATGGGTCAGAGGCTCTTGAGAAGGCGAAAATCCGGACGGACTGCCCTGACTCGTAGACAAAGTGTAAACATGCCCTCCTCCGCAGCCGCTCGCGAAAGTCATTGCCGTCTTTCAATTTGGTGCCCAGGTTCTAGACCGACCCGGCGACGAGAGGCTGGCGAGAGAGACGTGAACAGACTTTGCTGGGATCCAGTAATGTGACAGACGGACTCGCACTTTGCCCAATCCTTGTGACGGTACGGTTGGCAGGAGGTGGGCCTTAGTAACGTGCCACACCGGTGTGACGCCGTGCCCCATTGACGTTGGCTCTGGCCTCCAAGACGAGAGACCAGTGGTTGGCGTGCACGTGTGCGATGTCGCCTCCGACGGACCAACCAAACCATCCCGATTCTCCCCGTCTCCCCATAGAACGACCAGAATAGAGTATATTTTGAGTTAAAGCCTCGCGCGAGACCACCGCCTCCAAGGTTGCCGTCAGCCCGTGTTATTTCCTTGAGGGGGCGTACGTTCCACGTCAAGGTGGCGAACACGCATTGTGAAGAAGCTTTATCTGGAGTCAGCCAAGCCCTATCCCTCGTAGGGCTCCTCCAGAACAGGCCTGTCGAATACACGGCGGAAACTTCCATGGTACTGTAGATTCTCACCTGGTTGCTCGTATGTCTGTCCGGCATTAGTTAGTTTATGACCTGGAGATCGTTCGGAGAGGGCCGTGGTGACAAACAACTGAACCCTGCCAACGGGAGCTCAACTACACTAAGCCCTTGGTTTCACCGAGCAAGCCCTCGGAGGGGGTCGCGAGGGACTCCCGGGCTAGAGCATAAGGCTTTTCGACGATCTGGGACACTGGGAGTCCATGTCGAGCGCCCTTGGAGGGACCGCCTTTTCCAAGGAAGGACGACTTCAGCCGACCGTCGATGGGGTTCCGCGCCAATACCCTCTACATGATATAATGGTTTATCAGACCAATAGCACTCTTACGAATCTGCCGGCAAAAACTATCTTGGAAGATGAGAGACCACGATCCAGGGTACTCATCACCGGGGCATATCACCAAGGCACACACGGCTTCCGACCCACCTTGAGCTCTATTAGTGACCGTGAAGCTGGAAGGCACGCACCATAGTCATGGCGAGCGATGATCCCGCCGGATTTGGAGCATGCAGAAGTACTCTTAACGCACATCGGCACACCGCCGAAGTGGTGAACCAAGCAAGGGGTGCTCGTCTTGCGCTCAGCAGCTCCGGGCGCGCTGAAGAACCCACGCAGAAGAAAACCGGTCAGGCTATTTTCTGAGGCTGATGCCGCAAGGTAGAGGCCGTACAACGTTGCACGATGATCGATAGTCTCGGGTGCAGGGAGCCGTCGCGAGATCGGTTTAAGCGCCCGGCCGGGACGCAGAAGCTGAAAAGGGTGGCTGCTCAGAAGGTGGGGGGGGGGAGGGAGAGTTCTCGTTGAGGGTTGAGGGGATATGGGCAGATGGCGGATCTGACCATTACCAGTCAAGGGGCGATTTACGTTCTGCTAAGAGACCGGGACAGGGAAAGCAAAGACAATGTAACCAGAGAGTCCTATTCTGCTCGGCATAATATAGGGAGGGCGGGTCAAGAAAAAGGCCCTGGGTTGATCAGGTCAAATCATGTCTTGGAAAGCCACGAGGGAGCGAAGCTCCCGAGGTTAGGGTCAAGGAAACAATCAAGACCACGACAGCTTTGCTGCGAAGAGGTGGTCAAGGCACTTGGGTCTTGGTTCGTTCAACGGAAACAGCAGTTGGCCGCTGTTAGCTTGGAGCGCTTGTCATGTCGTGAAGTGTCAGAGCCCTGGTCACGGATGAGTGAGTATTGAACAAGTATCTGCAAATGTTTGATGGATGTCACTCTTGGCCTCTTGGTCGCGATATGCAACATTGCGGGATGCAAGTAGCCGGCGCAGGGCGACGTCGCTGAGGCTGGAGTGGGTCAAGGGGAAGCACATATGACGGGGATATGGTCCTTGCAAAGGAGAAACGGCACACGGCGACAAGTGGACCAGGAATACCGGCATCGACTGGCCAGGAACGGACCTCGGGACGGGATGGCGGTGGCCTCTGAAGAATTGGCTGGAATCCAAGACAGAAGTTATCAAAGAGAACCAACCCCCTCCGCCCCCAAACAAGCCAACGTGAGTGAAGGGGCTGCGATGGACCATGAGAAAGAATCGGCTGGAAGGATATGGGATAGTGGAGGAGTTGAATTGGAGATAGTGGGGCCGGGCCGGCAGAGCTGTAGTCGGACCTCGGACTAAGAGCCCGACATCAAAGGTAGCGGAGGATTAACGAAGCACTGTTTCCCGAGCAAGGTTGAGGGCGGTATTGCTGCGGGCGAGAGACTACGTATGTGAATGTTGAGAAAGAGAAATTTGATGATAAAAAAGGGGAAAATAGAAAGAACGAAGGACTGCGAGCTGCTGGAAAGAGCAGTCATGGGGAAGTAGTAGCACGCAGCACTGATTTCATCGCGGCGCTAGACCGAGGTAGGTTAGGTAGGATGGTAAGGTACCGCGGGTACGCATTGTGTGGTAAGTAGCACTCTGCAGTTGAGTGGGCACGTACCTATCTACCGTACCCAGAGGTTCCTAGGTAGGTAGGTACGTGGGGTGGTGAAGAAAAGGGAAAAAGAGAGGCGGGTGCCACCAGCACTAGTACCTGCCTAGTGGCAGGCGTGCAGCGTCCACTCGGGTGACAAAAAAGAGAGCCGGTCGGGCCAGCACCACCAAAGCACCATAAACCCTATCAATTTAGAAGCCTGTCATTTTACCTCCTAACTTAATTACCTGCCGCAACCTCTTTAGCATCGATTTAATCTATTTATTAATAGTAGATTGATCTAAATTATGCCAGGCCTCCTCTACAAGGAATTTCAGGTGGTCTTTATCCTAATGTGGTGTGCTTTGTACATACTGCTTTGGGGCTGACTATGCATTCTTAATGGGTGAAAGATCTGGCGATTTAGGGCAATTAAACTAATAATCTAGCCTATTTTGGTCCTTCTAGGCCTGTACCTTGTTATGGCTACTTGGGCTATGGCTAGAGTTATTAACCTCTTTAAGAGTAAAGTGCTTGCCCTTATTATAAGCTTCCTCTATCTACTGCTTTACGTGAGGCTTAAGAATAGTATTAATATAGACCTACTAGGTTATCTTGCCGTTATAGTTAGTAGGCACGTTATACTAGATAAGGTCGCTCTTGAAGTTGAATCTAATAGCTGCCTAGTAATGGATAGCCTTCCTCTTGTTGTCGTTAGGCTCTCTTTGCTCTTAGAGATTAGAAGGATCGTGACGTGTTCTAGGTTTTTGAGCGATATGTGCTGGACGCTTATCAGCAAAGCTAAAGTGGCATTTGTCGGAAAAGACTTGGTCATGCCAATCAGATGGCTCAGGCCGAAGCCGAAGAGCGTTCTCTGCATGCTGAAGACGTCGATAGGCAGTATCTTTATCCACGTGGGTAACTTGCTTTGCAATCCGCTTGCTAATCTGTTGACGCTTTAATGCCCTCTGGATAGTGCGCTTAGAGGCATTAGGAATGCCTGCCTCGGTCGGCAAGGATGCCCATGGCAAGCGCTTTGCCTCAAAGCCCTCAGTATCGTATAAACTTTCAACAGTATCAAGGTTGGCGTCTTGGATTAGGCGTTTCCGGCCACGTTTTTCTTGGTTGTTGTGGTGTGTACGGTCGGACCCCTCACGGTCGGCAAGAATAGCACGGCCCCGTCTCTCGGATACCTCAAAAAAGGCAAAAAGGTCCTTTTTCTTGTAATCAATACCCTTGGCTTCAAGAAACTCGTGAGCGCCTCGTAATCGCGCCTTTTTTGGTGTATCAAAAGCCTTGTGGCCCATCGCGGCAAGTGGTGGTAGTGGTGGTAGTGGTGATGGGTGAGGGTGGGTGTGTGTGGATGTGGGAAAAACCGGCTCTCTTTTTTGTCACCCGAGTGAGCGTGTGCCTAACAACCCTCGCCTGTTCCTACCCCGTCTCCATCGCCGACCGGGCCATTGCTGGTTAGCGCGTCCAGATCAGGCAGTCAAGATGATTCTAAATTTAGATGCAGGCAGCCATCAGCCCCACCCTATGAGGGAGGGGGGGGGGGGGGGGGAACGGCCAATGACCAGCCACTTGCCATCTGGTTTCCTCCTGGTTTTTCCTTCGCCTTGCACTTTAGCCCACAGCTTTAATTCCAAGACAGAAAGAAGGCCCTGCGCAGCTTAATGAGCTCTCGGCAAATCGGCTCACTGCTCTAGAGCCGTCGGCGCTAAGCTTTTCTGGTAGGCTGGGTACACCGAGTTTTCTTTCGCCCGTGTACTACTCGAAGCAATGTCCTGTACGCTACCTACCTAGGTACGTACTCAAGTAGCCAGTTCACGCTACTAAGGTAGGTGGAACTGCAGTGTGCAGTAGTAGACAGGGCTGGGCGGGTAAGGAGTCAGCTTCCCCTGCCTACCTAGCCAGCCTGCCCTCTTATGTAACAGTAGGGCCGTAGGCATTACTGTACATAGTATGTAGGTAGGTAGTTTATGTACTATGTAGGTATGCATGTCCAGCACAAGATACGTTACCTCGACTGGGGAAGGGCCAAGAGACGGGGCAACGGTGACTCAAGACAGCCAACGCACTTGTTCTGTCTCTAGGATGCCCTTCCCCGAGAGCTAGCGCCATGAGCGAGTGAGCATGCGTTATGTGCTAACCCCCCTTACGATGTAAATGCCCGTCACCGAGGATACCTATCATACTTACGTAGGTACAAAGTACACGTAGCAGACGTCATTACGGTCATCCAACATTGCAATACTCCAACTGTCGAGATGGCCTCGGCCAGGAACTTTTGCACGCCTTTCACTCTAGTCTGCATGCGCTAATCGAAGCATGTCGAGTTTCAACTTTTCCCGACAGCGTCGTGACATGTGTCAGCGTCTTCCGATCCCATGTCTTTCCCGCCTGGCGCCGCTGTCTTGGATCGCATCTTGCCAACATGCACAACATCGGCCATCACGACAAGGTTTTGTTTGGGGTGACGGGCGGTCTCATGCTATGCTGCTGCGTCTCGAAAGGAGTCGATTCCGTGACCCCATCCACGCTGCGAACGGCCAACCACGTTCCATGATCCAAGGAACACAACCGCATACATTCTCCATTCCCTTGCCCCGCTGAAGTGGCGGAACCCCGCGGGCCCGGTGTGTGCAATCCAAGACGCAGCGGGGACCGACGGCCCTGTGCATTTTCCAGAAGCCCAGCAGAACTGCCAACAACCTAGCAATCAACGATAATTAACGATAATTGTCGGCAGCAGTCGCAGTACCTGTTCACCCCTCCCCGGCTGATGAGCTGCTCCGTCAGCAACAACCACGCCATCAGTCCCCTTGTCTACGGAGTAGTGTCCTGGCCATCCCTCCTTTTGAATCCCCGGCCGGCAATAAAGGGACTGTGGTGATGAACCCGTGACAGCCTCTCTCGGCCAACGAGACGCCCGTTTGGCACACGTCAACATGTCCCCCCTCCTCGGGTCATAAACTAGAAATTGACATGCCTGTCCCCGGTTCGAACTTGCCGCGGATAAACCACTCTTATTGCCAAAGGTTCATCGCGTAGAGTAACTAGTGTACCGTCTACCTAGGTAGGTAGCATCGTCTCCGCACCAAAGAGTCGTCGACGTGGAGCGAACCTTGGAGACCCTGGTCAAGCCCTTCTTGGTTCACTACGTAGTAGTAGGGTGAAGCCCGGGGGGGGGGGGGGGGGGGGGGGGGGTCATGCGTCACATCAGCCAAATGTCGTCCATCGAGCCCATCCGCCTTACTGATTGGCATCGTCTGTCTGACTCTGCATCTGCGTCCTACGACTGATGCGAACGGCCACTGACCAACCCGCTGCTCAGCTGAGTCCTGCATGCCGCACATTTACAGTAGCTCGGCGCCTTGCCTACCCATTTCACCGCCCTCAATCCACTGGGCCGACCTTGATGCTGCTTGTGGCCACCGCCTGCCTATCTGCACAATGCTGGCTGCACTGCAGCAATGCAGTACCTAGTTGCTAGCGTACACACACACACTGCACAACAATGGCGGGTCAGTGCGGAATACATTTGTCTCCGAGACTCCGTTACCCTAGCTCTGTGGCGAGCGAAAATGAAGGACCCACGCACATCTGAGAGAGAGGGAGGGAGAGAGAGAGCCTCACGATCTCTCCTAGCAGCCAGACTTTGATTACGAGATTTTTTATTATTATTATTTTTTTAATTTTTTTGTAGAGTTGGAGCAAATGGTTTTCGACAGCAGATTTTCTTCTGCACTTACTATCCAGTGTGCTTGCTACCTATCTAGGTAGGTAGTCCATTTGGTTTGTGGCGGTAAAACGCCCACCCATGCTGTGGCAACCTTCAGCCTACATAAGCGGGTCGATGATGCGCACAGGGTTACCTCTTTGCCCAATACTTGACGGAGCCAATGGCCGCTGGCTCTCACCATCACATCACGCAGCGATCAGCATGTGCCATGCCCTCCCTCCCTTTGATCAGCTCCATCCGTCTTTCGACGCCCGATCTGAAGACGGCAGTGGGGAATTAATGTCAGATCAGTTATCTACAGGGACACGAAAAAAAGGTCCCTGCCACGAAGAGTTTACTTCATTACGACTTGGATACGTCCCGGCCGGCAGCATCACCTTTGCGCCCGAATGAGATTCGTCGACGACGCCGATCGCCAAATAGTCGCCCGGAGATGAAGCGAGTGGCATGTCCAAAAATACTGCCTCGATCAACAGTGGGCCATGGAACGTTGCTTTGTTTCTTTCAGCCACCGGCTTCAATCAATGCACACGACACGCGCATGACAGCGCTGACGACACACCGAGGAGACGGGCCAATATTAGCCATCTCCAGATCAGCAAATACCATTGTCCAATGTACCCCCGAGAGCCAGCCAGCAGTTGGGCTCTTCCGGCGATCGAGAGGATCCTTCAGCACACACAAAGTTCCTCGCTGTACGGATACAGCTACTATAAACGTATGTATGGTTCGGCCGAAGCAGCCTCGCATACGCAGACGACCAGACTGAAAGAAGGTTATTTAAGAATAGAAACCCGCCTTGCCCTATCCGGCAAGGTCGTGATGCTCTCTGCCATGGTCTCTCTGCATGAAGTCCGGCTTCAGCCTGCCCCCCGTCAGAGGCTTGGGCTGCAAGCTGTCTCTATCGCTAGCCAACCGACCGAGACACACATCGACTTTGCAACTTTACTCGTCGGCAAAAAATGACTGGCTGTATGGACCAGAGTGCGCAGACGGGCCGAAAGGCGTCCGTCCGAGGGCGTCAGAATGTTGCGACTATCTCTCGACTGACCTGCACCGCCGACCTGTGGTGCTCCCTCCCCACGCCGCCTGTTCCTGCATTCTTGCCTCAAGACTTCGGACAACGGTCCCTTCGGGGGCACAAAGGGACGACTGAGCGAGACCAGTGGTCGCCCTCCTCCGGGTACTGACCTTGTTTGCCTGACCTGGCTTCTTGCACGAATCGAACGCCCCCATCGCCCATCACTCGCCCAGCAGGGCGCAACGAACCCACTTGCTATCTCTCCTCGGAAGGTTATTTCGCTGCTGCTGCTGCTGCTGCTACTTCACACCGCTTCCAGTCGATAAAGACAGGCTCCATGACAGTTTGACGTGCTGATCCCAATGTGCCCTGTGTTTGTAGGCCACCCTTAATAATCTGACACGGTTGCCAGGAGGGCAAGGCGGTCAGGCACAAAGAAGCGGACCACGCGGGCCACCAACAGGCGACCCTTGACACACGCGCCCGGCTGGCCTGTGTGGATGTTGAACCAGTCAGTGTAGTATTCGTCATTGGCCGCGCTAGACAGCAGCAGCAGCAGCAGTGGCGGCGGCATCAGCTCCCTCGTTGGTTTGTGATGTGATGGACCATCTGAGATGTCGTCGACGATTCGGTAAGAATTGCTTACCATGTATGACGAGCTATAGTCCGCAGCTGGCTTTTCCTATGCTGCAAGACAAGAAGAGAACATGGGGACATGTCAGAAGACGCCAAAAATGGACACGAGAAACTGTTGTTTCAGCCAACCAGCAGCGGTAGGGAGCCCGCAACTCCGATCTCCCAGCATCCCTCCCTTGCAGAATGCTAGAGGTGCATTCAGACAACAAAAAGCCAAGACCAGTGACGGGGACCCTGGGATCCGCGCTGTCGACCCCGGCGCCCCTGGTTTGCTGAGCGGGACTCAGCCCAGGTCCAGCAGATTTCGGAGGAAATGCGACGATTGCCCCAAGAGGCAGAAGATGGGACTCTCCACCCCATAGAAAAAAGTTTCGTTTTATTTGAGACAGAGCTCCTCTGCTGGGGTTGATCTGATTTAACGTTTGCTGTCTCCGAATTGTTCTTATCCATGACTGACTCGCCGCAATCTCCTCCTCAACGCTAGCGCAGGGCAAGGGCAGCAGCATCATCATCGTGAGGATTCCTATATTCATGACAATGACAACAACAGGCAGCGCCATCAAACCTTGGCCCCAAGATCTGGCCCAACGGCCGCTGCCATGGTGACGGTTCGGTAGCCTCCGAGTGTCGGGACAACAGTCGAGGGACAACAGATTCAGCCCCAGCATACCAAGTGAATATCTGGCTCTCTCTTCCGAAGCAGAGTCTACGTAGTGTACACTAGGTAGTTGCAGGGCATGTTTTCTAGGGATCGAGGGGCACGCGAGTCGGAGAAATAAGAAAGGAGACGCCAGGCCCCCAAACATCCCACGATTTGTATCTAGATGCCGCCCTTTTTTTGATTTACCAAACGTAACTTTATCACCGAGCTAGGTAATCATCTCGGCAGCGGCAGCAGATCCATACCGTGAACGGTGGGTGATGTTTTTTTTTTTGTTTTTTTTTTTACTTTTTCCACGGTGGGTTCTTTCTTTTTTTCCTTTTCTCGAAGTTATTGTACTTGAACCCCTGTCATGGGAGAGAGAAAGCGGTGGTTCGAAAACCCCCGTGCACTACGTACGGCACAGGCTTGAAACCATGTCTTGAACGGCCGTCAGGTCTCTCTGGCTGATGTAACCACGGTTAGCAGCCGGTCGTTTCTAGTGTCGCGGAGACGATGCTGCCGTTGTGGCTTGGCCTAGCGGAGCGAACCTACTACCTACTACGGACACTACGTAGAGCTTTGCATTCAGGACGGACTTCAGACCTCCACCGGTGAGGTGCCGGCACGCTGGGCGCCTCAGTCCTCGCTAAAGCGCTGTACGAATACCACATCCGCACCACACCTACGCCTCTTTCGGCATAGCCTGCCACGGGGCAAGGTCAGCATGGGCGACGGAAAGACGCCCAAGGGAGAGAGGCAGGGGTGTTGTCAAACCCATGACCGCATAACGTGGGTTCAAATGGGAACAGGGTCCTTCATCATCCGGCCGAGATGGGAAAGGTCGATTTTTTGGAGGGGGGGAGGACGGGCGCCAGTTGGGACTTTGGAGCTTTTGATCCTCAATGCACACAAGGTTGTGTGTGTGCATGACGAGGGTTGTCGAAAGTTTGTCGATGTTTGAACAGTTCTCGCCGCAGCTCGCAAAGTTCCAGAGACTCTCCACGGACGACGACGACGACGACGACGACGATGACAGACCTGTAGTCGTCATGCAACATGAGACGATTGCGTGTGCAGCTTCGGGACCTTGGAGATGCCGGCCAGATAAATGGCCGAAGGAGGTTTAGGTGTTGGCGATACCGACACAAAGCACGGCCGGCAAGTACGTATTCAACGCCCACGGAGGAGGCCATGTGACGAAGTCTTTTTTATTTTATTTTATTTTTTCGCTACCTACGAATGGGTCGAGAGGATCGACTCATTGGTGATCATAGGGTAGGTAGCACGGCAGGTAGCGAGACTAGAAAATCGGGTGCGGCCGGGATACAGCCCAAAGGCACGAAACGTCTCTCCCTCTCCCTCTCTCTGCATAGGGTGCTTGCTGCATACCTCTCGCGTATGATGTTGGTAGGTAAAGTAAGGTAAGGTAGGTTAGGTAGTATTAGGTAGTAGTGAGTAGGCAGAGCATCCTTTCAGCCCACAAGTCCGTGCATGACCAATGTGTGCCGATGGGGGGCGGTTGGATGGTTACTTTGGGCGGTGGCTCAACTCAAAGTTATCGACGACCACTGCCTCCCGATTTCATGTCCCCGCAACACCCTGCTGTCGACGTTATTGCCCAAGAGTGCTAGCAGGGGGTGGAGGGGGCAGCAAGAGGGAACAGTTGGGCGCGGAGAGACGAACGCCCGCGGGGCGGAAACATGAAGCTTTGGTTGGCAGGACATGTTTGTCTCCGAGTATTGGAGCCTGTTGCTCTCGAGTCTTTATCTGGCCCTTTCGACTTTGGACTTTGATCCGTGCGAGCCAACAATATAGGACAGAGACAGAGGAAAGAAGGAAAAAGGAAAAAAAAAGGAGGGCAACCGACACTGCTGCTTGTCACCCGAGCGCCGGCCCGACGGGGCAGCAGCTCTTCTTTCTGCTGAAAAGTGTCACAAGCAAAGGCAAAGGAGGAGGACGGAAAAGCCCAAGAGCCCAAGAGTCCGGCCGCATGAAGCTGAGCCAAGTGGTTGTCCGGGACTGGACGGTGTGGGTGTGGTGCCTCCGTCATGGGCTGAGCCCCGAGTGGACGAGTCGCACGAGCACTGCGTAGTGAAGGGGACAGAGGAAAACAACCAGAGTCACCAGCACAGACGTTGGCACAGACGGGCAGAGGTGCAATAATGGCTTACTACTGGTGATTGCTTCGCCTCCATCGTGTTGACTAGCCTCCTGCCGACAGACACCTGGCACCCAGCGTGTGTTGCTGGTCTGGATCGGGACAAGGCACGCCCGTTGCCCTCCCCTCCCGTGCCATTCCTCTGAACCATGACTCTCAATCCGAGGTGCACATTACTATAGAAGCTATACGGAGGGAGAGAGAAAGAGGAACAGTACGGCATAGCACGACATTGCACGGCACAGCATGGCATGCTACCGGCGGCGCGATGGAGGCGATGCAGGCGATGCAGGCGATGCAGGTGATGATGGACAGGTAGCGGTGGCGGTAGCGGCAGCGAGGGGGGGAGACCCCAAAGGTAACAAGGCCATGCCCAAAGGAGACAAGACGAGCAAGCAATGGGAGAAAGGCAGCTCGTAAGAGGCAACGGTGCCCTGTGAGATGAGGAGAAACCATTCCCCTTGCGACCCCGGACAGGCAAGGCTGGCTTAGCCAGTCGCGCGGCGCGGCATGGCATGGCATGGCATGGCATGGCAGAGGAACGCGCTAGAAAGTCATCAGATGGTGAGCTGGTGCGGTTGCTTTAGTGGTTTGCTTCGGACCGTGAAGCAAAGATGGAAAGAGCGAAGCGACAGACAGACAGACAGCTTGAGGCGCAGCCAAGCGCAGCAGAATAGCGGCGGCGGCCTCTTAGTAGTTGGACTGGATTGGAAGGGGAGTGAGTGAGTGAGTGAGTGAAGGAGGAGGGTGTAGAAAATTAGGTGCGGGTGAGGAGAAAAAGGCACTAGGACGGACGGGATGAGAACTTGGTGGATGCTGCCTATAGGTATCATTCTCACCTGAGACTAGCCTCTTCCAGCATTAGCGGCATCGACAGTAGACCAAGTATCTTACCTAGCAACCTAGGTGGGTAGATACTTGCCTGGCTAGGTAGGTACTGTTGCTGGGTAAGCATGGGTAAGAGAGAGCAAAGTTCTACCTCGACCAACCACAGCAGATCCCATCTCTCAGGCTCACACTCCCTGCCCCACCCGTAGCCATACGGCGGTCAATCATTCGTCTGTTTTCGTTCTGTGGTCACTCAATCCCACTGGCAGCCTGCCAGTGGCAGGCCACCCACCCCCAGTCTTCTTCTGTCAGCCGTCCTTGGGACTTTCGCATGGGTGAGTCGCCGCCGCCCGTCGCCGCCGCCGCCGCCGTCGTCCTTGGTTGGGCCCAAGAAGCCGGCTCACCCACGGGAGGGAGGGACCAGGTTTATTTTTAATTAGGGCCCTTCTGCATCGGCTTTGTCGGCGAGTAGAAAGATGGAGACGTCGTCCTCGTCGTCGACGGCGGCGGCGGCGGCGGCGGTGCGACGACGGGAACAAACAATAACAGCCCATGCAACAGAGTGATTGGGTCAATAGCACAAGCACACGTAAACTACAGACGATACAGGACCGACCTCCATCTCTCGTCCTCTTTCTCCTTGACGACGACTATTTCTGTTCGGGCGTGGCGTGGCGCGCATTCTTCTTTTCTTCGCACGTCGCCCGGCAGTTCTCCGGCGGCCGTCCTTGGCTGATAGCAAATGTGGACTTGGGCAGTAGCACCGTACCCAGTACCTTCCTCACCTTGGTATTTGATAGACATGGGCAATCGCGGAATAGCGCCGAGTCTCATCGGCTACTCATACCGCACAATCTCAGACAAGTGACCGGCTGCGGATACCGGTAGTGTGGTGTGGTGTGTGTACATACATACTGGGCAGCCTCGGCATGCCGTGCCATTACAGCCTCCGACGACATATCGTACATGGCATAGGTAGACTAATGGTATACTACTACATGACATGGTTTGGATGGCATACATACATACATACATACCTAGGGGTTGGGTTACTACACTAGTGTGGCCGTTGCAATTCAAGCTCATCGGCCATGACATCCGAGTTTCCATCACCAAGGGCCCTCGTTCTTTCCTCGTCTCGCCTGTCTGTACTGTACTGTACTGTACTGTACTGTATTGTAATGTATTGTACGGTACGTATCGCCTCACCAGTTCCTTTTATTGTGTCTGTCGAATCCTCCATCAAACAACCATTCCTTCTTTCCTCTCACTCTTCCTCCCTCCCTCTCTCTCTTCCCCTCCTCCTCGTCGTTCTATTCCCGCGCAAGTCACCACCTCGCGTGCATTGAACGTAAAGCTCCAGCTCATGCACACGCCGACATTTTGAGTTACCTTGTGTACGTATGCGCCAACCACCTTCACCAATCCCGCTGCGCCTTAGCACTCTTACTGACCATGTCCAAGACCCCTGCATCCAAGTATCCCACCCTCCCATCTATCCCATCTATCCTATCCCATCTCGTCCCATCTTATCCCATCCCATCCCGTCCTAGTCTACCTACCTACTACGTAGACTACGAATGCTGCGTACGGACACCTAGGTTTAGGTAAACCAGGTAGCCCCTCACCATCACGATTCGCTTGCGCCCCTTACGGAGGAAGGACGGTAATAGTGCGTTGCGTGGACCGTACGGGCGGAAAGCGGAAAAGAGCAAAATCAAGACTCACCGATTCACCGATACACCCACCCGTCTCTCCTCTTGTTTCGACAGGGCCCGACCCCGGCGCGCGAGGCCCAGTGTATCATATTTGTTTTTTTACTTCTTCTTTTCAACAGGAGACCCTTGTCTCTCCTCAGTCCCTGGTCCCCCCCCTGGCGGATCTGTCATCGTTGCTCGTGCTATTGCTACGTAGCTACTGCTGCTCCCGCACCCGCACCCGCATCCGCGCGCGCAGCGGCGTTCGGCCTCTTGCCATTCTCAACCAAAAAGAGCGAAGCATTCATCCTATTCCCAACTAGCAAGCATAACCACACGCGCACAGACGGGGGCATCCAGTCTAGTCCAGACAGCAGACAGACAAGCAGAGACAGACAGACTACTGTGCGAGTGGGCGAAGCGGTACGTACGAATTTCCACAACCTATCTACTTGTATTTACCTACCTACCTAGGTAGGCAGGCAGTGTACCTTAGTCTCAGCAAACCAGCGCAGCACTCCCAGCACGGGCGGCACCTCCCCCCCTTCCTTCCACAGGCCACTCCTGCCCCCCCCAATCCCCCCTGTCCCATCCAGTCCTGTCCATTCTTCCTCCTCCTTAGACCTGCTGGGGTCTGCGCACCCGGACATCCACGAAGCATCACTATGTCGCCCACCTCGTCCATACACACCCCAGCATGGAGGAGAGAGAGAGAGAAGGAGAAGGACAGGGTTTCCCTCCTCCTCATCCTCCCCCCTCCCCTTCCTCTTCTTTGCTTTTCTCTTCCTTACCCCCCCCCCCCCCCTAGCCCCCCGGGCGCACAGGCTGTGCCCCGTCATTCCCACCCGGGCGCGCTGCCTTGCCTGATTAGGTCGAACCGGGTGTGGCACCCTTTTTCCCAACCGTGCCGCCCTCACTCTGAGCTTGAGCCCAAGCTTCTGTGTGAGTTTGTGTGTGCTTGTGTCGGCTGCCGTCTCTCTTGTCCGCGAGGTGCCATTATTTAATTGTATCTGCCCCCCAACCATCTACCGCCGCCATTCCCATCTCCCCTCCCCTCACCTTAACATCAAACATCAAACATAATCAGCCTCGTTGAGCTGCTCGTGCTGCCCTCAACCACTTTCGCTATTTCCTAACTCTCTACTCCTAGGAAGTCCTCGTTGACTCCTGTCATTCGCTTTTGCGTTCTTGTGTTTTTTTTCTTTCTTTCTTTTCCCTCACCTCTCGAAAGCCAACTCCATACCCTCCCCGAAGCCAAGCAACCTCTATCTCTATCTCTCGTCCTCTGCCACTTCTTTTCTAACAAGACACCCCAAAGAAGAACCCTAAAGGCACAAGGAGCTCTAGACCCCTCTAAACTGCGTCTAGTCTACTCCGACACCCTACTCTCGAAGCAACCAACCATCGCCAACACCCCTGGTCTTCAACCTCGTCCACTCCTCGGGATACGCCAACTCAACAAAGCCCCTCCCCCAATCCCGTTTCTCCCCCAATCCCGTTTCTCCCACAACCCGGCGTCAGCCAACAAATGCTTCACCTTTGAACATCGGTCTTAGGATCAACCACACTCGCTTTTCGGAACCAGAGAGGACAGAAGGAATTAAGGGGAAAACGCACAATCTCGCGCCCATCGACGATCGCTACTAGTGTTAGGAACTGGGAACAAAACAGAAAAGGCTGTTTTAAAGAGGTGAAGAAAAAAGAGAGACCAACGCATCACAGAAAGATACGTGAGAGGAATCCTACCAAGCCGATTATCGAGCATTGCGGAATTCTTAGCAACCATTTCTGTCGATCGCCTCTCACCAAGCATCAGACCATTGCGCTGCCGGTCGCTTACACATCCAAATACGCTTTGCGATCCTTCGCATCGCCTCCTCCGAGTCACCGACTCACCGTTGTAGTATAAAGCCTGTCTCAGGGACCTTGCCGCCTTACGTTCCTCACCGGCAACGGAACTACACTCGCTTCCCATACACGGTCCCTCCCCGTCCGTGTATATACTCATGTTTGTGTACTCCGTTCCTGTCTCATCATCGCCGGACTGACAGTGTGCAGCTCTTTCGTTCAAAAACAAACCCCCTCCACCTTGTCTCATAATGGCCGGTCCTGGTGGTGGTCCTCCCCGCCGCAGTCACACCAAGTCCCGTAAGGGCTGTGATACCTGCAAGCGTCGCCACATCAGATGTGACGAGAGCTTCCCCCAATGGTATGTTCGTCAGCCTATGCCTTGGTAACTTTCGCTGACTCGACCAGCCGTAACTGCACCAAGCACAAGATCCGCTGCCCCTACAATGACATGCCCGTCCCCGAAGATAGGTCCACGACCCCTGACAAGCCCGATCTTATGTGGACTCCCGAGGTTGAGGCGGCCATCTCAATGTGGCAACAGACCGGGCAGTTCCCCTTTCCCAACCTCAACATCTACCCGGCGCCGAACCCGCAGTACCTCAACGTCGAGGACCTCAGACTCGTCTATCATGTGGCTTCCATCTGCGACGAGCTGGCCGCCTTTGACGCCAACGGTTTCACCCTCTGGACTCGCCAGATCCCGACGTGAGTTGGACTCTTTGCTCATCCGGCATCAACCATTGTGCTGACCTGGAATAGCATCATCAAGATTGGTGCCACAAACGCCTACGTCATGCATGCCCTCCTGGCCTTCTCGGCCACGCACATTGCATTCCTCACCGACTGCCCCCTGGTCGGTAACATGGCATATGAGCACCGCGGTGTCGCCCTCAAGGGCCTGCAGGAGGCTATTGGCACTTTCAACCGCGAGACGTCGGATGCCGTCTTGGCCGCCTCCCTCGTCTTGTCGTGGCAAGCCACGGATTGGTAGGCAACAAACTGCAACCGCCCGTTCTCCACGGCGCCCGCGCTTACACACCTCTTCTCTCACAGGCGAAGCTGGACCCAGCTCATGCAAGGCACCTCGTCGGTAAGCCAAAATACCCCATCTGATGCCGTGAGCCTTGAACAACGCGGCTAACCCCCTCTCTCTTTCCAGGTCATCGAAGCCATGGACTCCTGGAAGCACGAGTCCCAGTTTGGCGATTTTATTGCCGAGAGCTGCACGTTCCCAACCGCTCCCGCCTCGCCGAGCCCGGACCACAAGCCTAGCCAGCCGCACAAGGAGGATCTGGACGCCTTCAACCGTACCCTGCAGCAGCTCCAAAAGGTCGAGGCCCACCTCAAGCACAACAAGGAGGACACAAAGTCGATCCAGCAGTTGGCCAGCTTTCTCAAGGGCGCCCGCAAGGTCAGCCCGACGCTCAGCGTTTCCCAGCAGTTTGAGCGTCTGCGCCCCCTGCGCACCTGGCTCTTCTGGCTGCCCGTCATGTACCTCAAGCAGACGGCCGGGTCGCCGAGCGCCCTCATCATCATTGCCCACTACTACACGGTGGCTCTGATGATGGAGCGTCTCTTCCCCGAGATTGGCGCCGCCTACTTTGGCAGTCTTTCCATCGGCCCGGTCGAGGAGATTGCCCGCCGCCTACTATCCATCAACATCTCGGGCAGCCTTGACGGTGACCTGCAGACCCCCTTGACGCTCATGGAGTTCCCCATTGACACGGTCAACGAGTTCCGCTCGCGTATGGGCTGGATTCAGCCTGCGCGGACGCCCTCGTTCCCGCAATTCAACCCACCCAACTTCTACATGAGCGAGCCCGTGCCCCTCCCCCCGGCCAGCGACTCGTACCTGTATGGCCAGAGCCCTGCCTTCAGCTACAGCACCGAGTCCCTGCACTTGCTCAACGCCGAGTCGGGCCCTCCCAACAACGTCTCGCCTCTGGTGCTATCGTCGCCCTTTGTCAACTCGCAGTACCTCAACATCCCCAGTCCCAACTACGGCGGATATAGCCCGGCCTCGTCGACATTTGAGGGCTCCGTCGCGTATAGCGATAACGAGGAGTATGGCTCGTACGGCGGCTACGACATGAGCGGCCTGCCTACCCCCATGATCGGCGGTTCAAACAACACTTTTGGCGTCGGGTTCGTCTCTCCCACCCAGCCCGTGTGGATCTAGAAAGGCCCTGCCCCTCACTCCATGGCACCCTCGATAACCACTACGGCTACCAACACAAAATGCACCACTTGGAAAGAATGCCGGATTGACCGCCGACCAGGATGCCAACGACACCCACATACCCGCCCCCGGAGGACCCGAGCGTCCTGGCTTCTTCGCTGCACACGCTGCCCCCCTCCCCGTTCCTCCACCCTGAACAGTTCGGCATGCTGCCCCTCCCAGAGTCGCCTGTTCCCCACCGCTCGCCGCTTCACCGGCAAACGCCATCGTCTTCCGCCACGGGGGAGTCGCCGCGGTCCGTCAGCGCACCATTTCCGCAGCGCCATGTCTGGGTGCCTTCGACGCCGACGTTCCAGTTCAACAGCGAGAAGGGCAATGAGTGGGAGACGTAGGCCGTCTTCCACTCTGCTCCTCCATCTCGAACCCCGTTCCATTTCATCACCATCGCTTGGGAGCCCTTTTTTGATTTTCCGAAATACACTTTAATAATGCTGCATCGACACAAAAACGCCAATGTACAACACGTTCCTTTGAAAGAGACACCGGCCCAGCCCGGGACCCCCGAGCTAGCCTCGACGCACCCACGACACTCATTTTTGTACCAACTATATATGACCTCAACGGCGACTACAACAAACTAACTAATATACGACGACACTCCTTCCTAATTATCGAAGACGATACCTTCGATACCACACAAGCACACACACACACACACACACACACACACACCAAAACATAGACATTCCTTATAGCATCGGCATTGGATGATACCCCACTGCATCACACTCCTTATTACGACGTAACGATCCTCCAAACCAAAAAGCATTTTCCGGATTTAGAAAGGAAAAAGGGAAGAAGAGACTCACACTCCTTATGGATTTACATTGGCCAACAACAATCCAAACTTGCATAGCGATTTGTTTTTCGTGTTTGATGCAAAACACACCCACAACCAACACGGCGTTATAAAGGAAGTACACCACAGAAGGGGGGAAAGGATGAGCTTTGATCTCTCCAAAAACAACTGCATTGGGCGGCGTTTTACATGTCTTTATTGTTTATATGTACCGGGACGTAGGCATGCCTCGCCGGATAACATGTTTTTGTAATCTGATACGTATGGGACATGGTTTTGGATTTAATGAGGGCTTTTCCAGCTGCAACTCGGAGAATCTCAAGCGTCGGGATTGTTTGTAATGATCTATGCTTTTTGCTTGGGCTTTTTTTATTTTTTATCTTTCTGAGCCCTCCCTCATGGGAGTGAAGAAGAATACACTAGTAGCTTGACGTACATCATTCTGACCCTTTTCTACTTCTGAGTATTGGATCGTGACATGTCGAGAGCTAGGTCGAGGCAGCTCTGTTTATTACAATGGTAACTGAGGAAGGGGACATGGGAGGAAGGCTCGGTTCTGCCCAATACATACATATATATATATATATATACATATATTTGTCTTGACTATTATATGCCGTTCCAGTAGGCTAAAAGTTGCGAGACAGGACGACTTCACGTGCAACTACTGTGCCAACCCGAGACGACCTGGGCAAGCAAGGCAAGACGAAACGAGCATCTCTCGTCCGGCGGCATCGTCGTCGTATTCGCCTTGTGCTCTGCGGACAATATCATCCCCGTGTGTTGGTTTGGTAGATGCGTGGGCCACAGATGCGGAGCACCCGTGGCCCATGCTACAAAACCCTCCCCCAATAACAACAACGACCAGCCAGCATCACATGCGACGTGCATGTCTGGAAGAATCTCACTAGAATCTGAAAGATGAAGAATAAGCAGCAGAAGAAGAAAAAAACTCCAGTTCCCGTCACCCCCGTGGGGCGGGCGTGTTGGCGTAACCCTATGCTAAGCTATCTACCCTATCTACCTATCTACGACGGTGGGCCCTTTCCCTGCATGCATCATGACGCCTTCGCTGATTCCTCCCCTCCAACCCCTCCTTCCCTGTCGGCCGTGTATTTTTGACCTGCCTGCCTTCTCCCCTTTTTTGTATCTTTCCAGCCGATATGTGTCGTCCGAACTCCAGCCATGTGTGATGATGTTGGAAGTAGTTCGACCCCAGTCGCGGATCCTTCCACCAGGAGTAGCCACAGAAAAAAGAAAGAAATAGGAAAAAAAAAACGTGGCCCGTTTAACCCAAGCGACAACGCCGTCCCGGCGCTGCTCTGCACCCTCCCCCCTTTCCTTGGGGAAAACACATCGTCATACTATGCTGGGCTCCGTCGGTAATGCATTCAAAGATGAGAAGGGGTGTTTGGGGGGGGGGGGGGGGGGGGGCAAAAAGAGAAGAAAAGAAAAACGGCCTCGTTTCGACTCTCGCGCCCTCTCATCACTTGTCGCATAAAAGAGCCAACCGTTTCACGTCGCAACTCCAGCAGATTCTTTCTTTCGATGTTGATTCTTCTTCTTGAAGACCAATTACAACAAGCCTTTGGGGGTGGTTTTTTTTTTCTGTGGTTCTTTTTTTTCTTCTTCTTCTCTTGTCTTCACTTCCGTGATATGTTTCTTCCTCTCTTCTGCAGAAAGCGTCGTCATCACTCATTCGTAAAGGACGCTTCGGTGGTATTTTCCTCCCCATTTCATATCAAGAAAGCTCGCTCAGCCAAGTCCAATTTCTTCGTTCAACGTCATCTTCGTACGCTCACGTTCAGGCCGCGTCCGCATGTTTCGGTCATGTGGAGTAGTATGTGCGGAGTGCCTGCTGGTCCTGCGGTTGCATCTGGTTCACAAAGTCATTGAACTGGGGAATCATCTCCCGGTACATGTTGATGACCTGACTAGGTTAGCTAGGGATCATTGAAATGGCAATGATGTGTATACTACTGACCTTCTGGAAGTGCTCGTGCAGTTCGTTCTTGATCGGGTTCTTCAGGTTAATATCTCGGTACCTTGCAATGGCAACGAAGAGCTGGGGAAGCGCCTTCTCCATCGCCTGCGGATTCTGTCCCACAACCAGGGTGAAGCCCTTGAACGCAGTGGCCTTCTCCTCCAAGAACTCGACGTGCTCCATGGCCGACAGGAAATCCTCGGCAAAGGTCGGCAGAAGAGGGGCGAGGACCTCGGAGTGGTGGAGACCAAGACGGCCGAGGGCGATGGCCGCGTTCTCGCTAACAGCCGCCTGAACGCCCGGGTTCGAGATGATCTCAACGAATCGCTGGAGAAGCTCCGGCACAAAAGGAGAAATGGCCTTGCTGTTCATCATGACGATCTCACCAGCAGACCAGCATGCGTTGTTGACGACACTGAAACCGCTGTCAATCTCCTCATCGAGTATGTTGTCCAGGTCTAGCTGCTTCAGCAAGATGGGGAAGACCGAAGGCAGGTGTTTCTCGAGCTGGGGGAAGACGTATCTAGCGCAGTCTCCCAACAGAGCGTAAGCCGATTGACGCACGTCGTCTTGGGGGTCTTCCAGGCAGAAGCCAAGAAGCTCGAAGAAGGTTCCCTCAGAGCCCTTGACCAGCTCCTGCTTCTTGTCCTCTTCCAGAGACTGGATGATGGCACTCAGCAGGTCGAGACTCGTAACGAGAAAGTCCTTGTCAGGGGAGTCCATCGTAGGGTTGTTGGTGGCCTGCAGGCTCTGCTCGAGGTTGGTGTGGATAATGTGGACGCATCGTGTGAAGATAGGCTGCGCGTACGGTGTGAAGGAAGATCCAAGCGCCATGGCCACGTAAGACAGGCACTCCAGCAGAGGAAACAGCTCGCGCGAGTCGTCGTTGACCTTCTGGTAGCGGTCAATCAGTGCAGGCATCAGCAGACTCATAGCGTTGGGCTGCGCGATGACGGGTCCGATGTTCTCGGCTAGGGTCTGCACACAGTCGTAGAGAATGTACATGTTCCTATCCTTGTACCGTGCGAAGCACTGGACAAACTGCTGCAGGATCGGTATGCAGTAGGGCTCGAGGACCTTGCCTGACTTTTCTTCCAGGTTGGCGAAGGCAGACGCGGCAGCCTCCTGGACCTTTTTGTTCCTGTCGAGCATCTTGCGCAGGATGCCGTCCATCATCGGCTCAAAGTAGGTGGCCTTCTGGTTGGGGTCCTGGAGACTGGCGGCCCACTGCGAGTAGCGGCCGAGCGTCCAGCAGGTGATTTGCCTGACGATGGGCTCGTTGTCCTCAAGAAGGGAGAGGAGGTAGGGGACGAGCTCCGGGAGGTGGGGAGTGACGGCGTTGATAGTACCCTCAGCGACAGCTCCCAGGGCAAGGACGGCAGCCTCCCTGTACTGCCACTCCTCGTGCTTGAGGTTGCTCGTCAGGTACGGCAGGATGGCGGTGAAAACAGGGTCGGAGAAGTCTCTCGCAAAGACGTCGAGGGCGGCGGCGGAGCACTTGCGAATGGTCCAGCGCTCGTCGGGGTTCTCGTCGCCGTCGTCAATGTCGTCGATCTCGCCCTCCTCCAGGTCGTCGTCCATGCTCGCCAGCTTCTCATAGGCGTTTCCGTTCTGCGCAGGGTCGGCCGAGGCCTCGCCGCCTTTGCCCCTGGCCGCCGACTTCTTGGCAAACTGCGGCTTGATGTCTTCCTCGCGATCATCCTCCTCCTCGTCGTCTGATGCACCGCCGAGCATGGCGATATCCTCTCCGCTGTACACCATGCACTCGAGCAACACGGGGATAATCTTGTCGAGATACGGCGTCAGAGCGCGCCACAGGTCATCGTGCTCGCCAACGGCCAGCCAGAACTCGGCGGCCTCGCAGGCCAGGTCCTCATCGTCACTCTTCTGCTGGGTGATGATGTAGTCGACCAGACCAGCAATGTGCGGCTGCAGCTTATCGGGGCGGGTCTCGACGAGCTGGACAAAAGCGTGACACACCTGGCGGCGCACGTCAGGGTTCTGATCACCGGCGAGGATGAAGAGGTGGTTCAGCAGGCTGTCGATGTTGTTGAGCATGGCCTGGGACTTGCGCGGGGTGAAGACGTTGATGGCGGCCAAGGCCTTTGCGCGGACCTTGGGCAGGTCGCTCTTGGTGGCCTCGATGAACTTGGGGAGCAGGAAGTTGAGGGGGCGCGAGCCGTTGTGCTCGCGCTCCAGGACCTTTACGTTGTCCTCGCAGATCTTGGCCATGGCGGACATGGCACCCTCCTGGCCCTCGCTGGAGACCTGGCCGTTCTCGTTGGAGATAAGGCTGAGCAGCTGGGGCAGCAGTTCGGACCAGCTCAGGATGCCGCCTCTCCTGACGATCTCGGTCGCAATGTTGCCGGCGTAGTTGCGGATCTGGGAGTTCTTGTCCTGGATGCCCATGGGGACGGCCATCTTGACGAGGGACAAGCTAGACTCGGGAATGTGCTTGTAGCCGGTGCGCACGTTGTTTTTGAGCATGATGGCGGCGGCGGAGCGCACGAGGTGGTAGTCTTGAGGGGAGCATTGTACACCCTGGGGCGGCTCGGGGCTGGAAAAGAGGTAGGCGAGGTAGTTGTTGATGTCGGGAGAGGACTTGGCCTGGGTGAGCATCTGCGCATCGATGCCAGGTTAGCAGGTATAGCGGGAGGCAAGACGGGAGGTTCGGAGGCGGCTCACAAGCTCTGCCTGCTTCTGCGCATTCTTGTCGAAGCCGCTGAGCGAGTCCTTGAGGCAGGTAGCCAGCTGGCTCAGGGACTCCGGGGCCGGCTGCCAGGCCATGACTGGCGCCTATTCGGGGGTTGAAGGAGAGGAAGTCAAAAGACTGGTTCAAGAGGTTAGGATTCGGAGGGAGGCCCGGCGACGCGAGGGGGGGGGTAAGTGAGGTTCGGTCGGTTTGGGGGTTGTTGTTGTCGAACACGGCGGAGGAGGTAAGGTAAGAATAGGTAGTGTAGAGAGGGGCGGTCTTTGTGAGGATGTTGGCCCAAGACGCAGTAGGTAGGCGGGCGGGCAGGTAGAGCGAGGGCAGTGGGCGTTGACATTGGCGACGGCGGGACGACTAGCGAAATGGTGGGGTCACCCTGTCAGCTTTTTTTTCGCGATAACTATGGTGCGGCGGAGCACAAGTACCTAGGTAGGTCAGCGTACATGGAAGTACCTCTGATGGGGTATCGGGGGACAGAGGTGGTCTGTTGTACGCCGTACTGTAGTTTAGGTCTCGGTAGCGCATCTGGATTCCGCAAGGCCAAGTCACAGCAGCGACTGTATGGTGCGGTACGTACGGTGCGATGCGGCGCGGTGCGGTGCTCGCTGTGCTGCAACCGCTACACACTTCAGTGTCATGCCACCTACCCTGACGCAACGCCATGTATTTGTACGCGTACCTCTGCTCTACCAACAGCCAGCCCAGAGGTGTGTTGAGTTCTAGTCCGTCTGTCTGGCAAGTCTGATCTACGGCGGCGGCCGAGGTAGTCAAGCTGGAGGGACGGGAACAGACGCAGATGCAAATGTACATGTCTGTGGAAAGCAAATGCTAATTTTAGCGTTGCCGCGCCGTCCTCCTCCAGTCCCTCCAGTCCTTCCCGTCCTCCCTTCCTCTCTCTCTCCCTCTCTCTCTTCCTCCTCCTCCTCACTCTCCCTCTCTCTCAACCGTCGTGGTGGGATATACACGAAGTCTAATGCGCTGTGCTGTGTAATGGAAAACTGTGTGCCTGTCAATTTGCCCCTGCCTCTCCAATCAGAACTTCGTTGTCCAGTCCTGCTTGTGTGTGTGTGCGTTCACAGGCCAATACAATTCATGGTGCAGGTCGGCCAGAGTGGATGTCCGGCCGGGGTTGGACCGGGGAGGCACTCGGCAACAGGAACTGAATGGAAGAGTTGTAGAAACGGCAGAAATCCGATGTCGTTGAGGGTTGAGAAGAGACTGGGAAGGGTAAGAGAGGGAAAGAAATAAAATAAAATAAATATTAATTCCCCTAACAGAGGATGGGCAAGAGAGCGCGAGCTCAATAAAGGCAGAGCAACAGAACAGAGGGGGGAGTGGGGGGGGGGGGGAGGGGGAGGGGCCACGGTGCGTAGCAAAAACTTGTCGGTGGTCTTGTCTTTCTTCCGGTACCTGCCTAGCAATGACTTACCTGCCTGCCTGCAAGTAGTCACGTAGTGTATCTACCTGCCTTGTCTTGTGTCAGTTGCTCAGTCAGTCAGTCCTTCCACTCTTGCTAACATTGGTTGGCTTGCACCTGCCTGCTGCACCTGGCACTGCGCTGTTGCCCATCCTTGCCACACCTTCCTTCCCCCTCCATTGCGTACCTGCCACATTAACAGGAAAAGGAAGAAAGAAAGAAAGAAAGAAAGAAAAAGATTTACCCCACCGATGAGTTCCTTCCCTTCCATCCAAGCCCTTGTCCGTGCTCCTTACTCTCCTCCGTACTCTCCTCCTCTTCTCTCCCGCCATATCGATAAACTGTCGTCTTTGCCGGGACGGCCAGGGGTTCAATTCTACGTGTATCTCAGACAGCACGTGGGTCGCTTTCTTGCTTGCTTGCCCTGGAATCCAACGGGAATTTCCCAGACCCCGGACCTCCTCGCTCGTAGTGACATTGGCACAGTTTGCCGGTTGCTACCTGCCATTGTCTAAAAGTATAAACCCGGACGGCGTTTGAAGAGAAGAAAAAGAAAGAGACGCGTATCCTGAGAGGCAGTTATAGAAGAAGAAGAAAAGAAGAAGGAGAAAAAAAAAACGAGACAGGTCTAACCCACACCCGCTTTGGTACAATGTAAACTACTTTCTTGACGTTGCCAAAAAGAAAATAGAAATCCCATGTACAATTATGCGCCTTTACGTTTTCCCCAGGTATCACAAGGAATCACCATCTCGATTACTACTCCATCTCCCCAAAAAGGCCATGTTCCTCGGCTTCGAATCCTCAAACCCCGACGAGTAAGGATCAAACTCGAGAATTGCATATACCTGGAGCCATAAGGGTTTTCCGTCCGCTGCCCTCCCTATCCAGATTCAACTTGACAACCCTTGCTTGTTCAAAGTTGCAAGATCTCACCTCCGGACTGTTGGGAATACATATTTCCGCCCCCCCCGCCTTTCCCCCCTATTTCTTTCAATGTTTTCAACTGAGAAGCTTGTTATCACGACGAAACTCTCTCATAGGTCCATTGTAATACGTGCTTGCCAGTCCGTCAGAGCGTCTGCCTACCGACAGTTCCCCTCCCCCCAAAAAGGCCTTCTCCCGCAATTATGGGCCGAACGCCTTGTCGCGAAACAAGATCAAACGACATCATTGGGCTTGGGGAAACGGATGGCCAAGACTACCTTTTTTGAAAAGATGCTTGGACTCGCCCAAGCCAGCTTCTACCTGCCACAGCGCGACATGGCAAGCGAATCCAAGCATTCTAGAAGGCCGTCAAAACGTCCCGCACGAGATGGGGTGACATCGGATGAGAAAGAACCTTCCTGTGTGCCGGACGCGATGCTGCTGGCGCCGCTTACCCCCGGCCGTCCCGTTTGGATCACTTGCAATGTTTGTGCATATCCCGTCATGTCATGGCGACCTAAACTGCAGCCCGCATCCCCTTGGGAAGGGGGATGACGATGTCGTCGCCCACATATGACGTTGGATTGGTTGCTTGGTTGTTTCGTTGATACCCGCTGTGCTATATCCCACGTTACCTCCTACATCATGCCTGTCGCCTCCTCGGACCTAGGCAGTTGTCGTAAACACACACCCGCCCGCCCCGACGCTACTTGTCCACTCCAAATTGCCCGGCAGGTTCGCCGCGTGATGCGTCCTCGCACGCACATGCCCGGCGGCTTCGGAAACCGCACGCAGCGACCCTGATCTGTTCCTGGGCCGTCCTCACTTGAGACCTTCCAGAGTGCGGCGGGAGGCTGCGAAAGATAGGCGCAGGGCTCATGTAGACGTATTCCATATCAGCATACACCCCCTGCTCCCCTTCCCCTCCCACCTCCATGCCCCTCAGCCGAGCCACGAATCTTTCAGGAGACACCGTTGATGGCGGCCTGGCCGCTCCTGAGATTCCCCGTGACGACGTCGACGATGGCCCGGAACGCCTCCATCTCCTCCTCTACGGAGAGACCCATGGCCGAGCCGCCCAGGTTGATGGAGCAGCCTACGTAGACGGGCATGCCCGTACGCTTGGCAAGCAGCTTGGCCATTCTCGTCGTGAACTCGAGCGTCGACTCTACCGAGTAGATGGCCGTTGAGATCGGCTGCGCGGGCTCCAGTCTCTGATCGTCTGGTCAGCATAGACGTTCTCTTCTGAAGAATGGTTGAAGGGGGGGGGTTGGTGCGAAACGTACGTTTGGCAGGGCGTATACGAAGGATCCCAGCGCCGCGGGCCCCGACTGCTCGTCTTGCGTCACCGAGGTGAGGAAGAGGGTGACCGCCTTGGCCTTGGTGGTGAGGTGGATGTGGATGCGCGTGTCCAAGGAGCGGGGCAGCGGGAGGGAGAGCTGCGTTACGGCGCCTTCCGACGACATATTGGAATGCTGTGTGAGAATATCGAACTGGCTGGTGGCGAAATGGTCTGGGACGTCGATCGAGTGAGGTTGGCAATGTAAACGCCTCGATGAGTTGATGAGGTGAGTGGATGGCACAGTGCTGTCTGTCCCAGGTCTGCTGTGTATACACTGTGACCTCCAGCTGGCATTCAGTGCTGTAGGTCCGAACCGCCGGGCTTTGCTTGACGATTATCTTCTTCAACAAGATAGTCTATAAAACCAGATTTCGTTTGAACTTGATTTATTCAGCCATGTCCTGATTGAGCTTTGGCCAGTATTCCAATGTAGATGGTTCAACCAATCTGTTTTTGTTTCTTTCTTCTTTTTCTTTTCTGTTTTTTACCGTATGGCTAGATAGTCAAACCATCTTGCCTATACTGATATTGCCTGGTTTTTTATTGCCCAGCTAGGTATGTAATGCACGTCAGATTGCTATAGATGTGTTGTGAAAACAGGCGTGAATGAAACCAGCACGTTATCCAGGACATCACCGCAAAAGGCCGTATACGCGCCATCTAGACGATACCAGCGAGGGACGTGTCAGTAGTTGAATGAGCGACAAAAAGCGAATAACCGATGTTGTGGGCTTTTTCTTTTTTTTTCTTTTTTTCTTGATCTTTCCGTCCACAGACTCGAATACCATCGGAATCCGCTTCCCCTTGATCCCGCTGTCTAATTATATATTTACATCTGAGTCGTGCTTTCTTTTGGAAGTCGACTTCTTCCCAATATGGGATTGTCTATATCTATGTCATGTAAATGTACAATATCATACAAGTATCAAGTACAAGTCTAGGTGTCGGCGCAGGTTATGCGAGAACCATAACTAGTCAGGAACCGTCTGTCGGCATGGGCGTGGGCCTCCGTCTCGTTGCTAGAATCGATCAAGAGAGCACCACTATAGACGCGCCGAAACGTCCTCGTCCTCGTCAGAGGACACCGCCATCTCAGACGCGGGTTCCGCCGCCGAAACGTCCTCGTCCTCGCCAGAGGACACCGCCGTCTCAGATACGGGCTCCGCCGCCGCAACCCCGCTGCCGTCCTTCGCAGCGGACGCCGCTTGCCGCGGCAGCCTGCTAAACACCGCGAGGAAGCCGCCCCCGACGACCAGCGTCCCGACCTTGGGCCGGCAGACGTGCCCCCTCGCTGCGGCGCCCGTCTGCCCCTCCTTGATCGCCTTGCGGAGGTTCACGACTTTGACCTCCCAGTTGCGGCCCCCGGCGCCGTCCCGGAACCCGCTGTCGCCGCCCGTAGTCGACGTCTGCAGCTCCACGATGCGGTCTAGCGCCAGCGGCTGGTCTGTGTCCTTAGCCCAGATGACAAACTGGAGGATCTGCGTGATGGACGGGTAGAAGACAACGAGCTTGCCGCCGGGCTGGAGGGCCTCGACGGCGACGTCGGCGTGCGCCTGCGACTCCGGCAGGTCCAGGATTGCGTGGGCGAGGAAGGGTCGTCCCCCGTTCTGCGACAGCCGGGACGAGAGGTACGATCGGATCGTGCGCACATGGAAGTCGACGTCGGGCAGGTACATGCCCCTCCGGAAGTGCCTGACGAGGCTGTGTGCTATGCGACTCGAGGTCGGGTTGACGTCCAGCGTGTGCAGGATCGCGCGGCGGCTGGCGGCGTGCCCAGCGTGCAGCGCCGCCAGCTCCGGTTGTTCGGACAAGTCGAGCGCGTGCGGCGAGGTGTCGTACCCGGGTGCCTCGTCGTCTTCATCGGTCATGACCTTCCGAGGCAGGTTGTTCCGCTCGTACGGCGCCGTGCACAGCGCGTCGCGGAGCTGGGGCGGCACGGGTGGGTTCGCGCCGTGGATCGCCCGCGCGAGATAGAGAGTCAGCGCGCCCATGCCCGTGCCGGCCTCGAAGATCTCTACCGGCGGGCCGGCGTCGAATTCCAGGTCCTCGCCGGGGGCCGGCAGGTTCAGGTCGAGGAAGGAGACGATCAGGTTGGCGTCCTGGGGGTAGATCTGTCCATTTCCCGCGCGTTCAGCCATGTGTAATGTGGCACTGGGGCCCGTGGGGAAAGGGCTTTTCGCTCATACCGGTGTCGCTACGCGCGGGGAGTTGGCGATATACTGGGCCAGCGATGCCTCGAGGAATCGCACATCCCGGCCGACGCTGTCAACGATCGTATCGGAGAAGGTTTTTCCAATGATGTCGGACGCATTGACGCTTGCACCGTAGGCAAGCTTTATCGGTGTGTCGGGTCGTAGAGGGGGCGATAGGTGGAGCTTGGGTTCTTTGGCGCCTCGCTGGCGGAGGACGATCACATCGTGTTCTGCGCAAAGGTTAGGTGATGCATCTTGGGGGTGTTTTGCTGGAGTAAGGACCTCTGATGGACCGGCTGGAGCTGTAAAGGCGACACAGAGACCGTCTTAGATGGTTCGGAAAGCCCAATGGACCGAGTCTCGACGGCATTGTGTAACTGTGTGATTTTCGGACTGTTGTCGTCAAAACAAGCTTGCAAGGAATCGTGAAGCTCAGCGAAAAGAATTTACTGGTAATCGAATAACTCTGTTTAATGCATAACTAACAGACATGACTTCTCGCTACCCACTGCTAGGATGTGTAGCACGAGTCGCCGCATTGCATTACATGGCGACGGTTCAGATCACAGATTGATGTCGTCCTTCTTTGCCCATCCATGGCAAGCATGACAGCCTTTGCCCTGGCGACATTTCTGCCCCTTCCCATCTCGTTTCATCGCCGAGCGACAGAGTGACTTCATAGCCAAGCTCAGTGATTCTCTGGGTGCCTTTGACCACCGCATTTCTTCGAGAAATCCCAGTAGTTGCCCCGTTATGAGGCCGAATTCTTCTTCGGTCATTTCTCTACCGGCGTTCTTCGATGCGAGCTTCCCACGGGCCTTCATGCGCTCCGATTTTCTCTTCTGTCCTAGGATGGCATCGCTCTTGCTGCTGTTGGCGTAGGCTTCAATGCAAGCGATCGGGTCAAGCAACGCAGCGACAGAGCCGAGTATATCTTCCTCTGTAACAGAGTGTCCATCGGGCTCGGAGTCAACACCGAAGCCATTGCTGCTTTCCAGGCTTTTCTTTTGGACAGCGTCACTGTTGATCTGCTGTTTCTCTTCCTTGGGGCCATCTGCGCGGCAATCAAAGATTTTAGAGTGTGTAGAAGCAAGGGACAGAGCAAACTCCATCGCTGCGACTGGATGCCGACCTTGTATAGCGCTCTCCCAAGTCGTCGTGCCAGAAAAAGGCTCAAGTTCATCGATTTTGGCTCCGTTGGCCAGAAGAATATGAGCCACTTCTTCCTGCCCTTGACAAAGAGCCAAGTGCAGGGGGCTCCCAAAACCCGATTCCTTAACGCCGTCGCATTCGCACAGATTCATGAACCTGAAGTCAACGGGCACGCCATGGCTAATCAACCAACGGACGACTTCGGCCTGGCCCTTCAAAACGGCGCGGTGGATCACGCCCTCGTCAGTCCTACCAGCTTCCAGGAACACCCTTCCAATGTTAAAATCTCCGCGCTCGCACATGATTTGAACTACTCCGGTTATTCTTTCACTGTCGGGTTGAGAAATCTCCCTCACGTTCAGGTCCTGGCCTGCAGCTTCAAGAAGCTCCAACGCCCCCAGGAGACCTTCACCGGCGCAGTGAAACAGGGCATCGTTTCTTTCGCGGCGAACGGCTTCGTGATACAGGGGCGGCGTGGCGATGATGTTGAAGCGCCGGTTCATCTTGGCCATGGAAGCGAGGCCACGGATATCTTGGACGGATCTGGCGATGGCTACAAGTAGCTCGTTGGGAAGGTGTTCAATCCTTGCCATGTCTGCTATACTCTCTTCAGTCGACGTCACTGGTGTCGGATGTCAACAGTACTTACTTGTCGTTCTGATTGTGAATGACTAAGTTATGAAGGGTACGGCGGGGGCTTGTTCCCGAGGGAGCAAATACAGAAAATACAAACGAGGCAGACGATGCTTACGATGGATAATGAAAAGAGGCCGATGGTAGAAGAATGGAGATGCGTGTTGTTACCGGGAAGAACGGGAGATGGTGACGATACTGGGCGAAGAAGGTTAGCGGAGCTGAGGGGCAGCCTGAAATTCAAACGGACAAGAATGGCCCAAGCAGCGAACGGTAATACAGTCCACCTGGCCGCGTCTTCCTTCCATAGATACACCGTGAATGTGAAGCGCACCTTCCAAATCACCTCAACTTCTTTTCATCTCAGCTGGCGTTCACTCTTTTGCTGACCAGTGGTTGCCGGATGCTCCATTTCTCGGGATACCTACATATATAGGGCAAGTCTATACTTTAGGTGGCTTTCACGTTCGATAAGAAGACACAGGTATTTGATGAGAAGCAAATTGTTCATTTCCGCTACTAAAAGATTGGGGGTATCTCGTGTCATGCAAAACGCTTTCAAAGGACAGTCCAGACATCCAGCACATAATCATCGTGTCGTGCTTGTTCGCATCCCCGTCCTTCCTCCCCCGCTATGCGTCTCTGGGCCCCAAGCCACCGCACTTCTTCCAGACGTCTCATTTCCTCTCATGAACCAGATAACCGACCCAGCGCTCCGATTGAGCGCAAAGAAACGAAGTGAGAGACGAATCCAAGGAGAAGCGCAACAGCCCAGCCATCACATTAAATCGCACCATACTTTCTTCCCGTCTCAGTTCAGTCCAGCTTTTCTTTCCGATCCAATCAAGTCCCATTCCAACATGATCGTATCGCTGATAAGGTAAAGAAAAACAAAATATTAAAGTTGTGCTTTTGTGGTAGTATGTTTGGAAAGGAAAAAAAGAGGAAAAAAAGGAAGAAAAAAAAAGGGGGGGGGATACTCTCCGCCTCGGCACGGCCAGCCGGCAAGATACAAGACCACGAGCTTTCATAATCCAATACTATGAAATACATCAGGCGCCAGCGGTGGCTCGACATGTAAATGTAAAAAGAGATATATCAATAAAGGGGACAATGCAAGACGTGCCCAAGTCACCCAGTCAAGTGGTCGGTACATTTCCGCCCGCAAACGCCGTCCTGTGCGTACCGGCTACTCTGCTCGTTGCAAGAAAGTGGATAAGAATAGAAAAAGCAAAGCTCAACCACATTTGCCTTGATGGCGGTGGGAGCTGGAGATGGGCTCGCGCCCTCTTAGATCTTTAATTCTAGTGTTCTCTCCTCTCGTTTGGGGACCCTGATGATGATGATGACGATGCCGGATGACAAAGATACGTTGAGGTGGGTTATGTGCGTCGGTGTAGGAACCGAGGGCATTAGAGGAATAGTGCTGAAATTAGACAAGAGACAAAGGTGGGGGAAAACTCCCAAAGAATCAAATGCTTGCGGTTCGAGTCCGCTCAGGGACACGCGCATAGCAGACCATGAGCTTGAAGCTGGTCTTCAGTGCCTCGCATTCGGAGAGCAAAGCGCCATCGGCCCATATGCTCTTGTTGTTGACCGTGCCGGCGGAGCTCTCGTAGCAGCGGGTGTACCACCAGCGGCCGACCTTGGCCACCATCTTGGTGATGTTCTCGTCCGCCGACTCGCCGTCATCGTTCATCATCTCGGCAAGGCTGCGGACTTCCTTGGACTTCCGAGAGCCTGCCAGAGGCGGCTTCTTGCTGTTGCTGTCCGATCGAGTGATGATGCTCGCGACCGGGACGCCAACACGGCAGGTCTTGACGTCGGAGAAGCCTTTGCGTCCGAGGAGGCGAAGGATGAGGTCAGAAGTAGAACCAATGCTGATATCTGGGTTCCGCTCGTGGATTCGCTCCTTGAGGCGGCGGATGGTTCGGCGCCCGCGGTTTCCCATACTGTTGAGGTCCACATCCAGGATGGACAGCTCCAGATACCCGCCAGGCTTCAACACGCGGCGGGCCTCTGAGACTATATTGCGATAGTGCGACTCAGGCGCCGCGCCAGGGAAGCGGTACACCACCGAGGTGAAGCTCTCGGCGCCGAAGGGGAACTTATCCATGTGTGAGAGGTACTGGATTTGATGGTGGTGGGGTGGACTCAGCGGGAAGCTCGACGAGTTCTTGTGCTCGTCCGGTAGCGGTGCACGAGGTGACAGGTTGAAGAATGTGGCCGCCGGGTATGTCTCTGCTGCGTAGAAAGACCAGTCATCGTTCCCGAGACCGTCGACAACAAGGATCGAGTGACGCTTTAAAGAGCCGACGACATCCAGAAGCTGATCCCTGGCCGGGCTAAAGAGGACGTGTCCAAAGGATAACCATTTGCTGACGGTCATCGAGCCCACGCGAAGGTTGACCTGAGAGAGAGGTGACTCATCCTCGGAAGACCGATAGCTGTAATCGGACCGTCTTGACTTTCGAGATGAGCCGCTGCTCCTCTGCGATGCAACCGTTGCCCTGCGCGCCAATTCTGTGCTCTCGTGGTCGATGGCACTTGCAGGAATGTCGACGACGGGCACAAGGGTTGTCGAGTCATCTTCGGGTTTCAACGCGAACGCAGCCTTGAGCCGTTCGGTCATATCAGCACTGTATACGCTGGATGTGGGACCGCTCGTGTCGACCTCGATGGCCTTCTCCAAAGCTCTTGACGGAGGCGCAATGGTGGGAGACTCGAGAGGCTTGAGGGACCTCTTGGACATCCGCGACCCGTATGTCTCGAGATGGAAAGGGGCGCCCTTTGACGAGGTTGCAGATGGCGGCACCTCGCCTATGAGATCATTGTACTCGTCCCAGATCTCATCCTCGACCAGCGGAGCATTGGGGTCCGGCACGAAGGCCATGGCATCTGCAAGAGTATACATCCCGCAGCTGCTCGAATCAGTGCTCGTGGTGCACTCTGAGTTCTTCCGAGGAGAGAAGGCTAGGAATTCCTTGCCAATCTGGATCATCTCAGGAGTCTTCTCCGGTACAAGAGAGGAGCGAGGGTCCGAGTTGGTCTTCTCGCCGGTCGCTGCAGATTCTCCCCTGGAGAGCTCGGGAGTGGATACATCCGACGGAGTTGGGCCCGAAGCAACAAAGTCAGGGTTAAAGCCCGCAGCCTGGGGCTGCATTTGCAAGCTGATTCTATTGAAGGGACGGGAAAAGCTCCTTGACGACGTATGCTCCGGTCGGGAGGTGACGACCTTGGGAATGCGACCCACTTGGGGCAGGCGACTCGGGCGTGCTTCTGCTGGCTTTGACAAGCTGCCCTGCGGCGTGTGCGTCGGTTTCATGGAGCGAATTGCCGGGATCGATGTTGATTTAGGGGCTCCAGTAGCCGAGTTCCTGCGAGCTTGTGATGACTTGGTCGGCTGGAGGAGTCTACTCAAGGATTCCCTCCTCTGATCCTGGCTGGCGGAGGAAGTTCGTCTTTCCTTGAACACGGGCTGTGGGGAGGGAAGATCAAAGACCTCGGCCTCTCGAAGGATCTCTTCGACGTCTTGCGTGGCGGCGTCTTCTTGCTCAGAGCCATCCATCAACGTGTAGAAAGCCGCGGGCTTGTGCTGTATGACCTTGACAGTCGCGGTTACCGGCACAGCTTCCTTCTCTTTCTTCTTAGTGTCCGGCTGACTCTGAGACCGGCTGAAGAGGTTCCACTTCCTTGGTGAGCGAGCTCTCTTGGTAAGCTTTTTGGGGGTTGTGGTGGTGGCTGCCGCGATTCTGCCGCGAATGGCTTCGCGGTGCATCTCGAATTGCGAGTCGTCCGAAAGAATAGTCGTGTCTTGGCTGTTGATAGACGGCGATGTGATCCTGGTCGTGTTGATGGGCTGGGGTAGCTTAAGGGGACTTTGGTCGGGGGACGAGCGCAATCGCTGGACAGATCGCCTAAAGGCCAAGGTGGACTTCATGGGGACGGCCTCGGAGTCGCTGCTATCCGATGGACGACGACTGCTCAAAGACGGATGGGTATGGCCTCGAGGGATAGCCGATGGAGCAAGGCCTCTACCCGCTCTGGAGGTCGTCGACACTTCCGAGGCATAGCCAAAGCTCTGGTTGCTCTCTGATCGACACAGGTCTAAGCTCTGGTTTCTGTTCTCGACGACCTCTCCACCAGAAATCACAACCGGGTTCATTCGCTCTAGGAGGAAAGTGTCAGTGGGCCGGGTACTGTTCAAGCTGTCCTGCGATGACCCAGGTCCTAGGTTCGTTCGGGCCAAGTTGGTTGTCGAACTACCACTCTTCCGCCGGATTCCTCCGAGGCGTCCGTACCCCTCATGTCCAGTACCAGCAGCGGGGCCTTTGCGAGAGGGCTTGTCTTTCTTGTCGATCAGGGGGACCTCCGGTGCTGTCTTGGAACGACGGCTGAAGAAGGGGAATCGAGAAAACGTCGAGGTGTTGGGGCTGGGCGTGCGGATTACACGTCCTTCGTCCCTCTTCTTCTTCTTGGTCTCGGAGGTGTTGGCCGGTGGTAGAGCTGGCGTGGCTCCCGCCCCAACTGGTAGTCGAGAAGGTTGTTGAGGCATGTCCGGGTAGGTCAAGGGAGTTGTCGATCTCGATAGGGCTTGCGGTTCCGGTCCGCGCCTGTCACCCAGCAAAGATGTGGATGACAGGTTGCTGTGGATAACAGGCCATGGGCCAAACAACTGAGACTGCAAGTCTGGGGTATTGTCTCTGCTGGGTCGTGTCGGTGGTGTTGGCCTCGGAGATGCGGCTGATGTCAATCGTGGGGGTGACTGAACTGGTATCAGCGAAGTCGTGACAGGCACAACAGGCTCTTGGGAGGCCTTTGATGGAGACTCGTCATTGTCTTTGCTGTTGGAAAACTTTTGAGAGGACTTGCGTGGAGGAGGACTCGGCGGCAAGGGAGACAGCCCCTTCGGTTTCTTGGCATCCTTACGATCATATTCGCGAACTGTCGAATTAGACGAGGATGACGTCAAGGATTCGCGTACTGCGGCGAGTCCGTGAGGGTCGGCGCTGAACGCCTCCGTCTCATTCGACACGCTTCCAGCTCTTCGGGAGACCGGCGGTCGTGTTACAGCAGGGCTCACCTGTCTCACTCTCGGCACAGGCAGTCTCATCGGGGCCACCAGACCCGGCGACTGGGACGACATGGACGTTGGGGTCGTGTCGCGACTGTACGGTCCTGGACTCGTTGACTCGGAGAACCTGGTCGACGGACTAGCACTGAATGCGCTGAGTTGACTGCTGGTGCCGGAAAAGACGGGAGTCGGCGGGGGGAGGTCCTGTGTGGCCAGCCTGTGGAGGAAGTCGGCCCCGGAGCCTTCTGAAGACATGGAGGGCCGCCCACCATAGTCTCTGTACCGATCGAGTTCGGGATAGATGGTGATGGCCTGTGCCTGGGTTTTGGGGAGATCAACAACGTGCGCGATTCGAATCTCGGTGGGACTCTCGGTGATGCCTCGGTCGAGGTGAAACCCGGCAGCTGGGTCCAGCGAGGACCGAGATCGAGAGGCGGACGAAGAGGAACTCGTGTGAGTCGAGTCGGAGTTCGAATCATGGCGCAGACTCGGGGTCTTGTGAGGGACGGATGACTGCTTCCTTCGTAGCACGTTACGTTTTGGGTTGGAGGTGCTCGGCTGAGAGAGGCCAGACGAGGAGGAGGAGCCCGACACCGTTGCGGCATGGCTGGGTCTCCCGGGAGCCGTGCTGTTGGTGCTCCATGACTGCGTCTGGTGGGTTAACGGAGGGCGATTGGAAGCCATTGGAATAGATGGGCGGCGAGTGGAAGCAACTCGTGGTACCTGAAGCGATGGTTTGGTCTGTGTCGGCTGTTGAATGGCGATGCGAATGTTTTCCCCTTCTCTCCGAATCCGTCGCGGCATGTTTTGTGCGTCTTCTCTCGGCTCCGTGGAAGCGGCAGCAAGTCTTCGTGCTCGTATCTGCTCATCCGGGCGGCTCGGCAGGCCTGACCCCATGCGTAGGGTTGCCATGATGTTCCGGGTTCGAAAAGTACACTGGGCCTGTCCACCATAATCCGACAACCTTAATGCCTCATATCTCTGCCAGTATCATGCGTGTAGTTCTGGTCATGTGTTAGCAGCGATGCTTTAAACCGAAACGAGTGACGACGGAAAACAACCTAGCAGTTTGGCCAGCTCGGGTTGGGCAAGTAGATGTTCGTCCAGGACCGTGATGCTCAAGACACAGCCTGATGTAGCAGGGTCAGATGCAAGTTACAGAATCAAAGGACGGGATCCTCAGTCCTAGCAAGGCTGACTGGCGAGGAAGAACAATAAAGTGGCGGCAGTCCCAAGAAGGGTCCCGGAGGAAGCTAGGATGCGTTGACAGGTCCAGCCAAGGAGAGTAAGTAGTGTTATATGAGAAAAGCAGTCAGGAGAGGCACGGCAGATGGAAAGATGAGGATTCTCCAGGAAGGATCAGAACGACTCGAGTGAAAAAATTTATCGACACCAAATTCTGGCGCGGAAGAGGGGGAAGACTTCCGGGCTGTGATGGTGAGGTGCGAGAGATGGTGGTGTGGTGGGAGGTTGCGCGGCTGCCGTGGGAGAGCCGATTCGACTGGGATGGTCGTAGTGGTGGTGGAGGGGTTCAGAGGGGGAGGGGGGATCTGAGATGGTGGGGGGAGAGGGAATCCGTGTCTAGACAAAGAAGAGCAAGTCTTGGCGCCCGTCGAATATGGCAAGGTAGGCTGAGTCGAGAGCTGACGATGAGAGTTGTAAGTGCGACGAGATTTGAGTCTGGGGAAGAGCAGAGGCCTTTGGGTTTAGCTCACGAGGTGGGAGGTGTAGGTGAGATAAGTGTGTGCGGAGAGGAGATGAGATCAATGTGGACGAGATCTAACGTAATAGTGAGTGGCAAAGAGAGGGCAGGCAGGGAGGGCGAGGAAGCAGGAGCAATGTCAGAGGCAAAGAAGAAAAGAGAGAAGCTAAGGAAGGGCAAAGTATGTACTATGTAGGTAGGTAGCAACAGCCAAGTTGGGCCAAAGAAGGCAACATTGGCATTGTATATAGGCCGGACAGGACATCTGGGTATCTTGCAGCATCTGGCTCTTGAGCCAGTTATCTGGAACGGCGTGAATATGCAAATGTCAGCCGGCTTCAGCGGGCAGGGGTATGACTAGCAGATAGGGTACTTCTGCAGGGCCACACACTACATCTGGGTTTTGCGTGCGTCTGTCTGTCTGTCTGTCTGTCTGTCTGTCCGTCTGTCTGTATCGGCAGACGAGGGTGCATGTCGATTGCTATTTCTTTGTGCGTGGCGTCTGGACATCACCTCACCCCCCTCCTCCCCCACCCCCTGCCTCTGGGGCTTTTTTTTTACTACGCAGTGCTTATGTATACAATACGGTATACCGTACCCAAGCAGGCAGACTACACCAACAGTTTTCTTCTTCCTTCCCTAGGGCCATGGCCAATGCAGCGGTCAGGAATTAGAGATCACGAGTCCTGGTCAGGTGAGCTGCTGCAACCGCCGAGGACGGGCGAGTTGGGATTGGGCACAAGGCGTCAAGGAATGCACGCAGGAGGGAGCAGATCGGAGGGCGGCTTGGGCCAGTCAACATATTGACTCATCTCAGAAGAGAAGCGAGGGGCGTCTGGAAAGGGCAATGCTAGGTGCAAGCTGGACGAGCATCGAAATGCGAACTGCTGCCGTGGTGGGAACCGACCCATGAGGACGAGGGGCAGTGTGCAGACTGGGACGCATCATTGGGGACGGGGGAACATGGCTGTGGGAGAGAAGAAAGCAAAACAGAGGTGCAGCAGAGAGGGGGCCACGGACATGGGAGGGGGGTCAAGTGTAAGATAGATGGAGGAGATGGTAGGTCGGCAATATGCAGGGTACGGAGAGTAGGCGGCGGGGCGGAATTGTCGAGACGGCTTCAATGGCCGTGAGGCGTGCAACAGCAACTGCGCCGCCATGCGTGCAGCTTTTCTCGCCCTGGACTCTGCATACACGGCGTGTCCTATAGGAGCGGAAAGGAACCTTGGGATGGCGGCTCAACGATGCCATTGGACTGCGAACCCCTGTCCGGCCCTTATCCGCATTTGGACCCGTTTGCGCGTCTGGGATTTTGAGATTCTGGGGGGGGGGGGGGGGGGGGGGCGAACAGACTTTTTGCTGGCAGGTTGATTTCGATGTTGTGCTTTGGACAAACGCAAAGACAATGGACAGAGAAGAGACGGGGGATGCGATGCGGCATGCCATCATGGCTTTCCCGAGATGGTAGCCAACACGTGAGGCGAAAGCAGCGGGCGTGGCTGAGCCCTATACCGCCAGTCCGTCTGCGCTACTCACGCTTCACCGACGGCGTGCGCGGCCGGGTAGGCAGTCTCTTTTGGGTTGAGCACGGGACTCGGGATAGTGTACCTAGGTAGTGTAGGTACTCTGTAGTGTATCCGTAGATTGTCGGTAACACTGGATGGCGGCGGAAGGCAAACGCCCAATGCTCTGCTGGTGGCTGGGCTGGGAGGGGTCCTTGGCGACACTCGAGAGCAAGGGAATGGCCCGCCCCGCTAGATGAAGCCAAGTGAGATAATACTTGGGTACCGCGTTATTATCTGGGTAGGTGGACGTACACACTAAGTAAAAGGGGAGGGGGGAGTGTTCGGGAAGGAAGCCAAACTACGTAGTATTGTCGTGTGAAAAGAGTAGGCAGTCAGAAGGCAAAAAGTAATATGTGTGATGTGCTATGGATGGAGAGTGGCAGGGGCACTACACCATCTAACTTGGAGAGAGAGAGCAGGAAAGGAAAAGGAAGGTGACGGAGCAACGAAGGAGAGGAGGAGGAGGGAGCGGACGGACGGCGGCCCAGGAAGTGGGGGGATGGGGAGGAGGGGGGCCAGATGCACCTGCCTGAGAATGGCTCTAGCGCCAGCGGCACAGGGTACATACCTGCGGGTCAGCACGGCTCAATTGGAACGTGCATTTTTCACTGTGGGGTCACCGACCCCCGGCTGGCTATCTTTTTTATTTCAGTATTTTTTCGGTTTTGTTTCTACCATTTTCCACACACGGCTTTCTTTCGTTGTTCCTTCCTTCGTGGTTGGTTGTTCCCAAACCTCGACCCAATTCCATCCCTCGGGAGCCCACCCCAAGTCCAAGGTCCTTGTCCTTTTCAAACCTTACCGACTGATATGATATCCACATCAAATACACACATGACAAGTGCTGGGTGGGAGCCCTCACATATACGACGACACGCTAGATTCTCTTGCTCCATCGGCGCCCTTACCCCTGCGTCACTCTCTCTCTCTCTCTCTCTCTCTTTCCCCGCAACGCTAACAACCGCCAACGTCGAGCCGCCAACCTCCGTGCGAGTTGGCTAGACCCAGAGACGCCTTGATTCACCAGCTGAGGCGAGACGACTGTCGTCAACATGTCATCCATCAATGATCCACTGCATGTCTCATTTTAGCCTATCCGAGAGGACTGGTTTCTGCGTGTCTCACTCTCATGCCATCTTCCCTGCTGATCGCCCGCGCTACCGATAGGCTTGTCACACACGCCCCACCATTCCTCCAATGCCCGGCGCTTGTTTGGCGACATGCCCATATTACCTCGGCCGTCCATCCTGGCTGACTAGACTGCGGAGAGCCATCCTCCAAGTGGTGTGGACGGCTCGGCCGGACTCAAGCCTCGAGAGACACAGACGCTGAACATCGCATCGCATGATATCAGTTATCGACAAGCTACTACGCAATTGATTACGAAAGGTGCTTGTTGCTGGACGGTCTCTGAGGGAGCCACTCGATTTTCTCTCGAATCTCTGGGCTTGCTCTCGTCTCGTAAGAAGCCAATAAGAAAATGTCGGTTGGCAGGCTCAAGCCCCGAGGGTACCTGATCGAGAGACTGGTAGGAGGATCGACATAGAACCCCACCACGAAGCAGCAGCAGCAACAGCAGCAGGAGGCTACTGGCTGCCAAACTTGGCCATGATAGATGACTGCAGCGAAAAGCCTCATTGACGCGTCGTCAAACCAACAGCCAACAAGCGCCATCAACAGGTATTATGCGCGGTTCTCGACTCCTAGTACGTCGAATTAGCATTCGGATATGGGATTGACCAAAGTAGGCCGGACCCTCGACCTACTCGGGGAATGGGTGGCACACTTCTGAAGGCTCAGCCCACCATACCAACATGAAGGAAGGACGGCCTGGGGCTTTTTTCTCTCGCAAGAGACTAACCAACGAGTTAATTTTCCGCCTGGGCAAGCAACGATACGCTCACAAGTGGTCATCTATCTCTGCAGGCTTACCACCATGGCTGATACGATCTGGTTGAGGCCATTGTCAATAGCTTGCCTCACAGCCTGCTTCCTCACTGGATGGGTCGGGATGGGCTGTCTGTACTCGGTGCACCAACTTGGAGAAAGAAGACAATCTGGAAAGATTCTATTCGCACGGCGTGCAACGCTACCGATCCCCTGGTTTGTGTGTACGGAACCGAAGTCTGAGACTGTCTCTTGTCGATACAGATCCACCCAGAGCCATCGCCCCCCCCCCCCCCCTGACGCCGTAAAACATCCAACCACCACAGGCAAGCGAAAATCATCGATCCCGCCAGGGTTCGACGACACTATACTACCACTCCCATTGGTGCCGACCAGAAATGGACTTCTGGGCAGGAAGGGGCACGGCTCCATTCTTGGATTCTGATTGGTCAGTTCTATTGGAATTATGTCCAATCAATTGGCACACCCGAGACATTTCCTGCCATCTGACATTCGTCTCCAAGCACCCATTTCCCCTCATGCATGTCTCTCCTTACCCGCATCTCTTGGAACCAGCTCGTCACCAATCGTCCACTTCGCTTAACGACGACAATTCACTTTCAGGACTGTTGCATCGAAGAGAAAGTGAA